AGGGGCCTCGCACCGAGCTTGGCGGCTCTGCGTGATTGATAATGATACCCTCCTGCGATGGGTTCATGCAAAGCTTGCTTGTCCCCGTGAGCCTTAGCACTCTCCACCAGAGTCCACAGGCCGAAGACGACGACGACGACGACAGCGCAGACAAAGCGGACGAGCAACACGTGCGTGTGCGTCAGGGGAAAGTCTCCGTAATAAGCAACTAACGGCCAGGGGGGCGGCAAGCTTGGCGGTCGTACGAGCCTCTGCTTCGAATGGCGCGCGGAATTAATAACGCCAGTCCTTCTTCGCAGCCAAGTCTTATTGCACGGCCCCGACGGCTGTAAGTGCTCGTGAGCAGCCGCGCCCATACGAAGCACGGGCGCGGCGAGAGGCGAGTCAAGTCCACATTGGGAACCGGCCGAGACGCAGACCGCCGCCGGAAACGAGGGCAATGCAAACGACGGCGAGGCAAGAGGAGCAACAGTCATGATGATGTGACGTTCTGCTTCAGGAGCCCATCGCCGGGGCTGTCGCTGTGCGATTGGCCGGGGAAGGGCTTCGTCGGCGGAACACGATGCGAAAAAGTCAAAAAATCTCCTTCATCTTGTTCTTTTGCGGGCTGTTGTTTGCCTTGCTTCGACTCATGCCATGTCTGCGAATACGTCAGAGGTGGACGGAAGATGAGAGGGTCAGAGTTCCATGTGATGGGGCGGCGGCGTGGCAACTGGCTGGCTGGCTGGACCGGGCTGGGCTTGGAGGCACGCCTCCATCGAAATCAAATGGAAGGCAAACGCAGCGGGATGGAAGGTGAGAGAGCGAGCGTCGGCCAGCGAGACAACGAGAGTGTGTGCGGGTGCGTCGTTACATTGCAGATCCATCCGCCTTGTCTGGGCTGCTGTAACCATCAAAGGTCGACTGCTGAAGCTGAAGGTCCCCACGGAACCTTGGGAACCTCCATCCGGCTTGGAGTGGGAGGGTCCAACGCCGATGGCCGCCCCATGCCCCCCCATGGAATGCCCACGCCGCCGCCTGTGGCCACGCCGCCCAGACAGGGCAGGGCAGGGCAAGGCAGGGCAGGGCCTGCCAACCTGCGCGGTGAGGCGTGTTCAAGTTGCCAGGAACCTGGAAGGTACCTTCGCCATCCCACCCGCACGCCGATGATGCGCAGCAACAACGACGGCAACAACAGCCACCTGGAACAGCAGCAGCGGCCCATGGAAAGCACAGAGCAGGAAGGGGCCTGTGCTTGTGCTTGCATTTTCTTCTTGATGAGGGGTCTGCAATAAGGCCACCTGCTGCCCAGAATGGAAGGCTCGAGTCTCTCCATTGAGCCCGACTTGGTGCTGGTGTCGCACGTTCGTACCCGCGAGGTTTCCAACCTGACCAAGTCCCTCGAGCAACCAAAAATAGTACTTTGCCGCCTTGACGGCATCGCTGCAGAATCTAGGTACCATGCGAGATAAACAAGGTATTAGCATTGATCGAGTACCCCGTAGGTGCCCAGTGCCTCCTTCTTGCTGCGGCTGTTGTGGCAGGAGCCGACCAGGAGCTGGCTGGCCTGGGGCAGGTGCAGGTGCAGGTGCACGCGCAAGTGCAGGGTGCTCGGAATGCGACAGGAAAGAGCCACCAAAGCTTGGTCAGGCAGCGGAACGCAAGGAAGGAAACACTGCGGAGTACCTGCTTTGTACGAAGTACGACGCAGGTCACCTTGTACGTAAGATACCTAGTATCTTACAGCACAGCCGTGCAAGCCCTCGTGAAGAAGGGCGAGGAGAACGTTGGAAAAAAAAGACGAGACGCTCGTCGCCCTGCTCGACGACCCTGTCGAACTCTGCTCGTCTCATCCTCTTGTCCCGCCCGCGCTACCCAGCTGAGGTGCAGTCGGCTTCGTGAGCCGTCGCCTCGACATACTCGCACAATGCCTGCGGCGCGCATTGAGTCGCGACACCTGTCGCTGCTGGCTGAGCCTTAAGGCGGCGCGCGCAAGACGGGAGATCTGACGGGACCTCGACTCCCATTCAGCCCACCAGGGCGGGCAATTTTGATGGAAAGCCTCCCGTCGCGTCCCTCAGGCGCCCTCCTAGCGCCCGTTACGGAATAGGCGCCCTGAAACGGTCGCTGGCGCGCCCCTCACCTCCCTCGACTCGACTCCTCCCCTGCGCCGGGGCTGCGCTGGGCGTCGCCCGTTTTCACCTTAATCTCACCTCTGAGCACCTCGCCTCGCCGTCGGTCGACTTGCCCCCCTTCCACGGCTTCCACGCGACTCTTCGCCCCCCCCACGGCCTCACTTGACCGACCAATCGCGATGACCCGGTGGGAATCGGGGCTTCCCCGATGCGATGCTAGGGACTTTGACCCCGACCCGACAGACTTGACAGCTCTTGCTCGAGGCCCTGACCTTGCCAGATTGACGTGGCGTGCGTCCACACGGGGCTCGGCTGTGCCATGCTGGTTGCTGATTGTCCCGCACGCCGCTGTGGCATGAAGCTGGCTCCATCGAGACGGGGTCTGGCGAGAGCAGGAGCAGAGGGCATCGTCACCGGAACCCACTCGGCACGTCTCCATCTTTGCAGCCTTATGGGAGCCTCGGCATTCGCTCCGAGAATGGCCAACGTCCTCGGTGGAACAGAACCTTCTTCGAGCCCATCTACGAGCGTTCTTTGCCTTGAGACGGGGCCACGCGAGTCAAACCTCCCCGTCTCGTCCTGGGCACGCGGGCAAGTATCAGGTCAAGACATCCACGGGCAAACCGTCTGGATGGTCTCTTTCATCTGGCCACGCCCAGCTCGCCATGGGCCACCCAGGCGACTTCCGTGTGATTGGCGAACTGCTCGTCGTGCCATGCCACCCGGCCGACTTCCCTCCTAACCCTACCCCGGTCAATATGCCTTCTCGACTATGGGCCTTGGGGGGGCCATGCTCCTTGCCCTCGCGCTTGCCAGCACGCGTTGCGCCTCTGTGTCCCAACTCGGAGCCCACGGGTCACGGAAGTGCGGAGCAACAGGCCACAATGTCCGGAGCGGCACCTATACCTGTACCCACTCGACGGAGGTTTTCATGAGCACACCTCTCGGGATCTTGGGACGCAGGAACGCAGACACCACACGCCCTGCTCCATCCGGCTTTGGCTGCCAGCCCAGCCCGCCAGCCGGCCAGCCCAGCCGGCCGCCCACCACCCTGGCGAACTTGCGTGGGATACCTAACTTATCGGCTACCCCTCATCATCTGAACGCCTCAGACCTTTTGAAAAGCGTGGATTAAGGAGCTTGTGCGAGCACTTGCGTCGTCGCCGTTGCAACCCCGGCCTGGCCTGGCTACTGCATCGCGCACTTGCACGGGACAGATCTCGCCCACCTCTCCAGCTCCGGACAATCTGCTTCTCATTGGCTGCGGCGACCAACCCACCCAGCCATGCCATGTGTGTGTGCGAAGCACACCCCGTTGGCGGGCAGCAGCTACGTACGTGAGGTACGTTGGTACGAAGCACCTACGGAGTACGTATGTACGTGCGTCCTCCGTGCCAGATATAGCCCGGGTCCCTCATCAACCATGTGCTGCTCCGCCGGTCCGCGGTTCTGGGCCCGGCTGCTCGATGGGGATCTCATCTGCCCATCCCAAACGAGTTTCATGTACCATACGCCCCCTTTGCTTCCTGCAAAGGCGGCTCCTGGGACTGTTTGATGCGCAACAACCGAACCGCAGATGGCATGCTCTTGGGCCAGCTCTGCCCGCCCGTCCCTACCCAGTCGAGAGCAGGGGACACTACGAGACTTGGCTCCAGACGCCTTTGTCCCGACTGGTCGACGGCCTACCACATTGAGTCGCCATCGCCATCTTTCTGGGGCCGTCATGTCGCTTCCCGCCTGCCTGACCCGAGCCTAAACCAGACTATCTACGTGGGGGCTCCCCCCCCTGGTTGCCAGACCCGTCCTGATGCCGATTCCACTGCAAGGCAAGGGTACTGTAATGTTGCCAGCGGGCACAGACCGAAGTCCGAGATTTAGAGTCCCTGGATCGGCTCCGTGAACTCATGCGTAGACGAATCAGCGGACTGCTTCTCCAAATAGCAGGCGGTTGCTCGAGGCGCCGCGGCTCCTGCTGGACCGTCGGGCGGGATTTGCCGTCGCAGACAGCTATGCTGCGTTGTTCCCTCGAGGATTTTTCTGACGCCATCGTACATCAACCGACGTCCCCGCGGCCGATGAATCGAGCTGTCTGACTGATTGATACAAGCCACAGAGATCGCGCCGTTCGGCCTTGGTCATCCTCGTCGACGTCCAGCCACCCGCGAGCGGAATCTATCCGGCCAGCCCGCCCACCCAGTGCCGTCGTTTTCCACACGCACGCAGACGGACGTCTTCAGCTTCTGGAACCTTGAACCGTCATCTACCGTCCCGCCAATCCCTGGCGGTAGCGTCGTGGTTCCCTGTCGTCGTTGGGGGAGGGGAACCTTTGCACCCAGTCCAGGTCTCTTACTTGCTTGCCACCGCCACAAGGGCTCTCTCCGACCTTGGCCTGGCCGGCTCGCTCGCCCGAGGCCGCGTTGCGTGCTTGCTTGCTTGCCCGCCTGCCTGCCATCTGCCTGGTCGCCCGCTGCGTCGGCGGCGACGAGCTGCCTCTTCTCCCACCACCCCCCGCAAGGGGCACCACCACCCAAGACCACAGGACCGCGCCGCTCGGGGGGGTCGACCAATCCAGGTCCGCGGCAGGGAGGGCTCTACAGCGGACTGCCGACTCATCATTCGGGCTGGTGGTATCAGAGGGGGCTCAACGCACACACACACACATCTTGCAGGCGGCCCGCATGATGGTAGTGTAGCCCGTTTTGGCGTCTTGCTCGTTTCGTGTCGCCGCGCCCACCCCAAGGCCGTGGCTTAACCTCTATCCACAGTTGGTTTTATCTGGGACGCCTTTCCTGGCGAACTCTCGATCCATCCGCCCTTCATTTCCAGAGGACGACGACCAACTCGAGACTGTCCAGGGAGCGCACCACGCGTCTCTCTGCCTACGTGTATCTGCATGGGCCTGGTACTTGACTGCCGACAACCAGAAGGCTTGCTTTCTTGGGACCGCAGCAAACTCGACCAACGATCACGACCCGACCTCACCATGGCTGGAAATGCCGGCAACTATCTAGATTTGCCTTTTCTTCAGCCAGGGAGACATGCTTCGACTTTCCAGTATCTCGGTGGCGGCGAGCTGCCTCTTGCGGCCGACGACCCGCAGCAGTCGCCGCAGCAGCAGCATCTGCATCACCAGCAACAACAACAACAACAACAGCAACAACATTACAAGTTCCAAGGCGATCCGCAGCGACAACTGACCCTGAGACAAGCGCCAATGCATGCTCGAGTGGCTATTGGCAAAGAAAAAGGTGCGTCGTTTGGGTTGTTGCGCGAAAAAATTCAAACCGAGTTGCCGCGTTGTTGGGTGCTGACCAAGCCAGACCGCAAGCCGATCGATCCGCCTCCCATCGTGCAGTTGTTGGACAAACGGCATGATGGCAAAAGCGGACTATACGACAGTACGTGACGGGAAAACCCTTTTGATCCGGAGCGTGGATTCCTAACCGGTGCTGACTTTTAGGCCCCTACCTGTTCATGACATCAATGCTGGTCCCGGAAACGTATGGCGAAGCGTCCAACGATCAAGACGTGCCGTCAAATTACCTGGTCGGGTCTCTCGCTTCGTCTATTCACCGGCTTAGGGACACGGATAATGTCGAGGGCGGTTTCTTCGTCTTCGGGGACCTTTCGGTGAAGCGAGAAGGGAGGTTCCGGCTGCTGTTCACGCTGTACGAACGGGACCACCACAGCTCGATGCCCAGTTTCAACTACGTATCGGAGCTCGTCACCAACGTCTTCACGGTGTACCCGACGAAGCTCTTTCCCGGAATGGCAGATTCCACGCCGTTAACGCGGACGTTCAGCGACCAGGGAGTCAAGGTGCGGCTCCGCAAGGACTCGAGCGGCATGGCGGCGAGAAAGCGGAACAGGAGCGCCACTGAAGCCACCGACAACTACCTCGAAAGGCAACCGAAACGCTCGTCATACGACCGAGACTTGCCGCTGAGCAGCAGCAACTATTCGCTTTCCACCGATCTGAGCCACATGGACCCGATGGGCGGGAGCCACGGGGTGGTCAGCTCTGCGCCGCCGAGCGATTTCATAAACGCGCCGGACGCATTATCTACGACGAGAAGCGCGGGCATGGACCTGCAGCTGTCGACCAGCGGCTACTACTTCGCGGGGCCGCAGTACTACTAAGGGGGGCTATGGTGGCACGACCGACACCCCCTGAAAAGTCGGGCGAAAAGCATAGAAAATAGATTATACCCCTGCGAGTCGGCGTTTGTGGGAGTTGCAAAATGTACATTAACGTCTTTATAGTTTGATTTCAACAATTCTAGGTTTTCGAGATCCTTGAATAGGCACACGCGGAAGCGCCCTCTTTTGCCGTTCCTACCGATGTCCTCGAAGCGACGGTGCTAAAGAAAATCCGGGGTGACGGCTACGCGGCGCGCAAGAACAAAGACGATTGAAATTGGTCGGAAACTACTCTGATGCTGGTCTCAACATCAAGACGGTTTCTGCGTCGACGGGCCCGTTCCACCGGGACAGGTCTGTGATGATGGTGGCGACGCGGCGAAAACCGTTCTTCTCGTACAGCGGGGCGCCCTCCTCGCTGGCCTCGAGGTACGTGGGGAGCCCGAGGCGGTCGGCCTCGGCAGCGAGATGCTGGAGAAGCATGGAGCCGGCGCCCCGGCGCTGGTGGTCGGGGTCCGTGTGCAGGAGCTTGAGATCTGGGGCAGGTTAGCATCGGGGATTTCGGCGTCGCAATATCAATGGGAAGGTTTTCTCTGTTTTTTTTTTCCCCCATTGGGGGAAGAGCATGAGCAACATGCCGTGCTTTGGTTTACGGATTAAGGGGGTTTGGAAGAGGCTTATGGATCGGTTGTGACTTGAGACATTCATGTGGGACGGCCAGGGGCTGGAGAAGGAGGCAAGATGTATGGACGCGTAGATGGATGTACGGAAGTACGGATGCAGGGCCACGTACATGCATGCGGCTTGCCAGCCATTCGGGCGAGCCACTCGTCGCGCAACCTCCCAAAGAAGAGCTCGCACGCCTCGGGGTTCGTGCCGGGCCCCCAGGCGGGCCGCGGGGGCAGCGAGTCGCGGGGCGTAGTCCAGAAGTAGCACATGGCGAAGGCGACCATTTCGCCGTCGGCGCCGCTGCTTCCGTCACCGTCGCTGCCCACTTCGCCAGCGGCAGCGGGAGGGATGTCGGGGTCGACGACCTTGAACCAGCGGCAGGCGGCGGGGTCCTCGCGCAACTGCGTGAGGAGGGTGTCGACGCGGGCGGCGTCGGGGCTCACGCCGGGGGCCGGTTCGGGAAAGGGGCCGGGGAAGAGGGCGACGCTGCTGCGGTTGGGGCCGTAGGCGCGCTTCTCGATGGCGACGGAGCGGTGGACGTCGGGGGCGGAGGCGGGGAGGACCTTGAGGGCCATGACTGCGGATTATCGGCGGCGGCGGCGGTTCGTGCTGTCTGGTTGGACCGTTGGCGCAGATGAGATGCTACAGAAGGTACGACTCGGGGTTCCTTTGAGACTGAAAGGGGAGCGTGGTTGGTGACGCGTGTTGTTGGCTGCACGTTTGATTTATACCTATGCCTACTTATTATGTATGTCGTGTAAGTAGTGGCCAGGCTGGCGATCGGCCGGGCGCCTTTTCCGTGGGCTTCGGCTCCGGGGCGCGCGTCGGCGAGCCAGTTTGGGAAAGTCGCCGGTCGCGCGCGCCCCCCCTTGATCGGGCGGCGCGCCTGTTCCCAGGTGCGCCGGGGGAAGCCGAACAACTGGTGCCCCGCAGTTTGGGGACGGCTTTGGGGCCGGGCCACGGGGTAATGTTCCGGCTGATTCTACGACGACGGACTACCACCCTGTGCGGGGCGGTCTTATTTGCACGACTGAAGGATGGTTTACTGCATGGCTGCACTTGCTGGGTGCCTTTGGTTCTTTGGCTGTGGCTTATCCTTTGGCGCTGTGTTCATACAGAGGGATCCAGGTGTACTGGGCTGATTGTTCGTCGTACATGCCAAGTATAGAGCCGCCCGTGCACGAGATCGCCGGACGAGAAGAGACAGCACTCGCCGCCACGGCCTCGCAGCATTTGCAAGTACAAACCAGCTTCCAGGCAAAGGTGGTTTTTTTCATATCTAGCTCTTCACATCTCCCGCTACTCGCTTACAGCACTTTGACATTCATTGATGGCCCGATTTGGCCGTGGCGGGTGGTGACTAAGCAGACTTTCCCGGCACTAGCCCGCAGAGCCGCGCCACGGCCACTGATTGGCAAAGGCAGAGAAAAATCGGAGCTCCCGAAAGAATCCATCGGGCCGGGCAAGAAAAAAAGGGCTCTCTCTCGTCACTCTTCTCTCTCCTTGCCCCGTCACCACTACCACCGCTCTTGGCCTCGAGCACCGCCCTCCCACGCGTTCACCTCCCCTTCCCCGCGGGCGATAGCGACGACCTCTGCGACGGCATTGAAGCCACTGCTACGACACCCCATCCGCAGCGCCGTTTGACGACACCCGCTCCTCCTCCCCGCGGCGTCGAGTAGCCTCCCGGGCTGATATCACCACCTCCTCCTCTTCCTCCACAACCACAACCACAGCAGCAGCCATGGATCACGGTCGCGATCCCTGCCCCTGGGTCGTCCTCAACGACTTCGGTGGCGCTTTCTGCATGGGCGTACGTTGACCCCGTAATATGCATGCGCACGAGCATGCGGCGCCGCGCTGTCCCCCAAGCCGGGTATCATACGCCCAGAACTCGCAAGCTAACGCGCCAACTAGGCCATCGGCGGCACCATCTGGCACGGCATCAAGGGCTTCCGCAACTCCCCCTACGGCGAGCGGCGCATCGGCGCCATCACGGCCGTCAAGATGCGCGCCCCCGTCCTGGGCGGCAACTTTGGCGTCTGGGGCGGCCTCTTCTCGACCTTTGACTGCGCCGTCAAGGGTATCCGCAAGAAGGAGGACCCCTACAACGCCATCATTGCCGGCTTCTTCACCGGCGGCTCCCTCGCCATCCGCGGCGGCTACAAGTCGGCCCGCAACGGCGCCATCGGCTGCGCCGTCCTGCTCGCCGTCATCGAGGGCGTCGGCATCGCCTTCTCCAAGATGCTGAGCGGCACCACCAAGCTCGAGGTCCCGCAGCCGCCGCCGAGCATGGAGAAGGCGGCGCTGTAGTGTTTCTTCTCCTCGGGGGTTCATCTGCGACGGCCACGGCAGGACGATGACATATGACGACGCCGTTTGGACGAAACCGCAGTCGCAGCCCGGCATGGGCTGCCCGGGAAGCATACACGCATAGCTGCCCGCTCCGGCCGCGGCCACGACGACGCCTCTCCCAACTCATTGTACTACAAACTACATGTGTTTTTTCTATTTATTTTTATTTCCCGCCTATCAATTTCTTCCACCTCTATGCTGGTAATTTGCCTGCGAGGTCAGCGTTCCGACACGATGAGCGGAGCAACGGTCTGGATAGTCGAGAGGTGGGGGCTAGCACGTCCCCCGTCAAGCGTTTGTGTCTTATGGGAAACGGGACAAGGGATAAAAGAGGACGGGAGCGAAGTGAGGGGAGAGAGGAGGCCGAACGGAAGACACGCGACGCGACGCGACGCCAGACATCGACATCATCATCACATACGGGGCTGGTTCATAACTCGACTCGCATCGCACCGGCGTTTACTGTGTACTATAAATGGTTCGGCGGGGAGGGAGTATAGCGTCACACTGGAATGGGGATGGATGGATATCTTGGTCGTCCCGAGGGGGGGAGGGCGCGAATTGAAAAGGGGGCGCGGAGGGGGGTGTGATACGATATCAGCCGGAGGTGTATGACGGTGGGGAACGGAGTGTCGACTGCATCTGATCGAATGTACAGCGAATACAAGACACCGATACCGCATGCTGCCTCTTCCACGCGCGACTGACCTCTGTGCATGCGGGTATCGCTTCTAATTAGCTCTCGTCTAGCAAGATCTACCACTCTACCACGCCGAATCTACACGCTTATGCGCGCAAGTCTTTCTTCTCGACGCCCTTCTTCTCGACGCCTTTCCGCAACAACGCCCCCCTCCCCGTCCCGCCGCCGACATGACCTCCACTCATGCAACTACGGCCGGTCCTCATCCGCCGCCCCGTCCGTCCACACGCTCATGACAGCCTCCCCCGCATCATCGATCCACGCGCGGTACATGCCCCCGCAGTTATACCCCATGACGACCTCGCTGCGCGCGGCGAGCACCCTCCCCGTCGCGGCGTCGCGGCGCAGCGCGCACTCCACGCCGATGATGCCGCCCTCGCCCTCGCCGCGCCGGCCCCAGCGCGCGCCCGCGCTGCGCTGCAGGTCGCCCCCCGGTCCCGCCACGGCGGCGAGGGCGCGCGCGGCGGGGAGGGGCCGCAGGCGGGCGAGGCAGGCGACGGTGTGGGCGGCGGCGGTGCGCAGGAAGGAGTCGCCGTTGCCGGTGCCGGAGAGGCCGGTCGAGCGGGTTTTTATGACGTTGCTGCGGTTGGGGTTGTGGTTGCGGCTGTCGTAGAGAGGTGGGTAAGGGGTGGTGGGAGGCGGCACGGGCGTGTAGAGGAAGGGTGTGGGGAGGCAGTCGGCGAGGAAGCCCTTGAGAGGGCCGGCGAGGGTGATGCCCGCGGGGGAGCTGGCGAGCGCGTCGGCCGCGCGATCCCACATGGACTTGCCGCCGCTGTGCCCCCGGTGATGATGCCCGTGCCCGTGCCCGTCCTCCTCCTCCCACTCCTCCGCCCAGAAGCCCGCGCCGGGGACGGGCGTGTCGCCGATGCGGCCCGTCAGCTTGTTGGTCATGCCGCCCGTGCTCGTCGCCGCGCAGATGACGCCCCGGTCGTCGAGCGCGACGGCGCCGCAGGTGCCCTGCGGGAGGTACTCGTCCGCGGACCACGTCGCCGTCGCCGTTGCCGTTGCCGTACCCGTCGGGCAGGTGGAGGGGTTGGAGGAGGAGGAGGAGACGGAGGCGGCACGCTGCTGCTTCTCCCGCTCGAGGGCCCGGATGTGCTCGTCCCACCGCTGCTGCGTAAAGTAGTAGCTCGGATCGACCATGGCGAGGCCGTACCGGCGGGCGAGCTGCTCCGCCGCGCGGCCCCAGAGCATGGTGTGGCCCTGCGCCGAGGGCACGTCCAGCTCATCATCATCATCATCATCATCATCATCATCATCATCATCATCATCATCATCGCGGCCTTCATCATCATCGTCGTCGTCCTCAGCACGCGCCCTCGCTCGCGTTTCACAAGCAGCATCCATGTCCGGCACAAACGACGACGACGACGACAGCCGATCGCCGCCGAGGTCCGCGTCCCCGCGCTCGAGCAGCGCCTTGGCCAGCAGGATGGGGTTGCGCACGCGGCGCAGGCCCGAGACGCCCACGCCGCGCTTGGCCCTCCCGCGGGAGACCATGACGGAGGCCTCGAGCTGGTTGATGCCGTCGCGGGTGAAGACGGCGCCGTGGCCCGAGTTGAAGAGCGGGCAGTCCTCGAGCTGCACGACGGCGTGGGCCGCGATGTCGAGCGCCGACGGGCCACTCTTCTCTTTCTCCTTCTCTGACAAGCCGCTTCCTCCTCCTCCTCCTCCTCCTCCGCCGGCGCTTACGTCGCTATTCATAAACGCATCTGTGTTTCGCACCTGAGCGGTTCATAAAGTCAGCGGAGGGGGCTGGCTACACACGACACCACACCCAGCGCCACCACGCAGGACGACATCATCATCGCGAGCAGAACAAAACCGTGACAGGGATTTTTTTTTCTTTTTGCTGCGACGAGGGGAACGGAACGGGACGCACAATCGTGAGCAGCGCGTGGCGGTACTCGTCGTACTTGTCCGCCGGGTACCCCTTCCGCTGGATGTTGCCCGCGCCGCCGTGGATGATGATCCGGGGCGTGATGCGGACCCGGGACGCCGCCGCCGCGGTGGTGCGGTCTGGTGGCAGCTGCGGCTTGTACTCCATTGCGGCTTTAAGGCGGGGCGCGTCAAGGGATGGATTCGAAATGGTCGCGTGTGCGAAGCGAGTGTGCGAGTCTCTATGGTCTATCGGTGAATGAGGTGCGAAGACTGTGGGTGAGCTCGGGGGAGACAAGCCGGGCGTCTTGTAGTGGGCAGGTTGACGATGTCGGAGCGGGGCGCGGCGCGGGGGCCACTCAGCCCGGCCACACGGCACCGACCCGACCTACCCAGTCGGGAAAGTCCTGCTTTTAGTTCACAACACTCCGCTGGGACACTGCCTGTCCGCGGCCCCAGACGAGCAAAGTATGGGATGAGCGTTTATTACGGATAAATATCCCTGCCCTTTGTATGTACTTGCACTAAATACTTTGTAACGTAGTTACCGCGCAGCTCGGCAATCTACACGGGTGCCACCCAAACCGACCGACAAAATCAGGCGCCCATGCTAATGCTATCAACGAGGAAGAGCGTGAAACTCCGGGTATCGTTCCGCGATTCCAATGGGAACGCGCCTCTGCCCCGTGCCCAAATGCGCCATGTCTGGATCAAACTATCCAATGCTGTTCCCACCTCGCCCAAGTCATATCGCGTTGTTCTCGTACAATCTCACTGCCGTCTAGTGAGCGGCAACCAGTCCGGCAGCAAGCTTCACGGCTCGGTTGACGTCCTTTCGTCGCACGCCAGGTGTCCTTCCCAGGCATACTGACGTACCAACGATTTCTGTCCGCGGTCAGTCACCTCGTTGCATTAATCACGGGGCAGTTCGCCTACCATTCACCAACATATTCACATCGACCGTGATCTTGGCCCTCGACCAGGCCGGCGTCGGCTGCCAAATTCCTTCCAGACCAGGAGGGCAGATGAAGGATGTGAGGCTGTTGGGAAAGTCCATGGCTCCCGTTGTCACAATGTTGTGGAGCACGGTCGACATCGGCCGCGTGTGTGCCTGTATATCCGCCGCCGACAGCCCATGGTGTGCGGACCCCGGGCTGTTGTTCCCCCAAGTCCCAGCCCCGGCTGGCCCGCTGTCAACGCTCCCGTAGCCAGAGTCGCCGGACAGCATGCTTGCGTTCCCAAACGTGCTAGGCTCGCGAGATGCAGAGTGTCTCGGGACTGGCGATGTGTCGTCTTGCAGCTCGTCGACGATGACCTCGGCCTCGACAAAATCGGCACTCTGCGGTATGGTGATTCCGATGTGGCGCAGATACGTCTCGATCTCGTCCGCGTCAAAGAAATTGCCCTCAAAGCCGGGATACAGCATGCGCATGCGATGATCTAGCCGGTCGTCGCGAGTGGCTTCGACTTCGGCACTGAACGGACCCATGGAAAACCCCGTCATCTCAGTTGGCCGAAAGAATTCACGGGCACCCTGGTTTCCGATGGGCAGCGACCCGTCATCTGAGCCATCCACTGACGGCACGCCGCTTGATTTATCGATGAAAAAAGTGCCAGCACCACCGAGGTTGGTAAAGGGAGCCTTCCAGTGGCTAAGCCCCTCCTGCCGGGTCCGGCTCAGAGACAGACTAAGACGGCGAATAATGGCGTCGCGGGATTCGAAAAATAGGCAAAAGCCGAAGACGGCAGCGTATCGCTCTGGCGGCGGGTTGGCCATCGAAATCAGGCGCAGCCCAGCCTCCAGAGTGGCTCGTTGGACCCGACGGCCGAATGTTGCCTCGTGGGCAGCGTATGTCGACGGTGGTGGCAGCGAGGCATAGGGGTCGGGGCTGGCCAAGTGCCCAATGAAGTGATTTGAAGATGGTTCCATGGAAGCATAGAACGGGAAGCTGGCGTTGCTGGGGGTGGGCTGCGTGACAACCTCGTAGGATAACGAGCTTGGCATGTGGATGGCGGGAGCGGACGGCGAGATATCGACCGAGGCACCTTGTGAATACGGCTGATGGTGGTGGGTGGTGATTGGAGGTGGCTCGAACCTCGAGTACTCAGAGCTGGAGCCAGAATTCTGTCGGCCAGGCAGATGGGGATCTGGCTGGTCCTCGGTGTCGGCAGACGGAGACCTATTGCTGCTGGCCGAACCATCCTGAGCCGTTGACGGCGACAGGAGATTATCCGCAAGTGACTTGAGACGAAGGGCAACTTGAGGAGCGGAGGCGCTTCCACCATCTGCCATGAGGAGCTTGTAAAAGTCGCCAAACTCCTTGCTCATGGCTGCGTTGGCCTTTTCGAGTTCCTTGACCTTTTGCTCGAGTGAGGAGATGGCGGTGTCCTTGCGGTGACGGTAAGCTCTCTGCGCAAGCCTGATCTGGGTGCGCCGGCGGTCCGCAGCCGTTTCGTCCTTGGTGTCGAGCCGCGGCCGGCCTCTGGACCGCTTCTTCCTGCCCTCCTCCTCGTCATTGTCGTTGCCATCGGTATTCAGGTCTGCGGCATCGGCAGGCTTGGACCGCTTTCCGGTCGCCGCCGTGGCACGCTTGGCTGACCTGGGAACCCTTTGCTGGGCATCTAGCTGCTCAGTAGGAAAAACCCCTTCGAGACCGTACTGCTGGACACCGAGGATGGGAAGATCGGACGTCGCCTGCATCCTGCCGACGTCCCGTGAGGGGTGGGGTTGAAATGACAAGGCTTGGTGCACCACGGCGTGAGTGGTCACTGTGGCCATCCGGCGGGGAGGCTGATTCGAGTGGTAGTCGACGCCAGGCCAGCTCGAAACCCACAGATTGCCGACAACGATGTCGGCGACGCTGTTCGAGCGTTCTGGAAGTTGTGGAGGCTGCGCGGGTCGTGTTGCGTAGGCTGCAGCTGCTTATATGAAGGCTGGCGTTGCCGGGTCTCGGCGGGGCGGGCGCCAGGCACCGGTAAGCAAAACGGCTATGAAGCGAGATGACCGACAGTGCCGAAAGTTTGGCTGATGGCGCTTCTCGAGTGGCGGTCCGGTTGTGGTGCGGGTTGGACGGAGCGCTCACCCCGGATGTCGGATGAGCCGTGCGAACTGCTTGTGTCAAGCGCGAAGTGGCAGACGATGTCGCAGGGGCTGTCTTGGAGGAGCAGTTGAAGGCATCGATGAGCGACTGTCCTCCTGCCGACAGGGTGATGGGTGGCAAGGGTAGTGAGGCTGAAGAGAAGGTTGAGGAACGACGTGGTGGTTGTGAGCGGAAACCAGGCGCGAGAGTGGCTTGTCTGTTTGTCAGCCTTCGTAGTTCGTACCGGAGCGACTCCTTGGGCGGCGGCACAGTGAAGGTTTAAGGTACTGGGCCGTGGTAGTGGTAGTAATAAGGCACAAGCACAGGGACTAACTAGCAGCAGGCATGTAAGCAACCACCACCACCAGCACCTGCCACGATGGCATTGGATGACGGTTGACGGGTGACGGACGGAAAGAGGGGGGGACGAGCGACGAGCGACGAGCGACGAGCGACGAGCGACGACGATTGCTCCTGCCATCCCAAGCCGTCGGTGCCAGTGGCGCCTTCCCTCTCGCGCGGACGCACGCTTAACGGCCCAGTAACGTGCTCCGCCCGGGCCAGGCCAAGCCGAGCCAAGTGCGAACGAGCCGGTCTTGCCAGTGGCTCCAATTAACTTAAGCCCCAACCAAGCCAGGTGCAGCATCGACACGGGGGGAGGCGCTAGCCGCCCGCCGTAGCTTCCCAAGAATCCCGTCCCAAGTCTCCCCCCGGCATCGCCTGCTGCGCTGGCACTTGATGGCACTTGCGGGCACTTGCTGGCACTGGGGCCAGGCGCTCCATCTTGGTTGGGCTTAGGCCCTCGCGCGGAACATTGCCGACTAGCAAACCAAGCCGTCTCCTACCTCAATTGTGGTCCGATGAGCCCGAGAACAGACGATGTCCGCGGGAGCTTCACCTGGTCGACCTTGACGACCAACAGACGCCGATTACGGGGAAACCATCCGGGCGCTTGGGCATCGCTTCGACACTCGCCTCGCCTCGCCTCGACTCGCGACGCTTGGATCCTTACCTTGTACGCAAGGGATCCTCCAACTCTCCGGACTGCCCGCGCTATTCGGACGAGCCTTTCCAGTCGCGTCCGTGTCCAGCGTGTTGATGCGATGCACTCCTCCTGGCAACTTCCGCCACCGGAAAGTCTCATGTGGCCGCGCGCTTCGCAGCGCCAAATCTGGCCAGGCATTCCCAGGCCCCCAACCATCGTCGCCCCTGTTTCACGGCCCTCCCCCGAACGCCCGCCATCCGCCGCCGCGGTTCACGCCAAACATTAAACAACCCTTACCCTGACTTTGCCTGTGCCTCTGCTACAGTCTACTAACAGCGGCTCCCTAGGCACGACCCACGTACTCGGGCGGGCCGCCGAAATTGTTCGGTAACCAATTGGCGCGCCATCCGGAAGCCGATCTGCTGCCCCCCCTCGCCCTTAAGACGGGCCGCCGACAAGTGTCGCCCCAGACTTCGCTGGCCAAACTCCAGACGGCACCATCTCGTTGCAGGAACCTGCGCCAGAGGGCAAAAAGGAAAAGTGGTACCGGAGAAAAAAGAACAAGGCGGCTGGTCCGTCGTCTCGAACGGTGTCAAGGGCCAAGGGAAAGGGGTCTGGCGATCCGGGGAAAGCAACGGCGTCGTGGTAGCCGGCTCCATCTCCGTTGCGCCCCAAAGCGAGACCATGACAAATTTCCTTTCAACGCTCCCCCTTTGCGCGAGTGCGCCTTAACTCCGAAAGCGAAATCGGACCTTGGGACTGCTCTCCAGATCCTGCCGTGTTAGCGTCGATCGCGGCCATTCCGATGAGGCGCAGCGCAACATCGCCCGTCACCATGTGGATGCCGACTTGGCGTTGAATACTTTGGCAACAGCGTGCAATTCGCAACCCTACTTGCCTACACTACTTCCCAACTAAATCAACTTGCTCATCAGGGGAATTCAGGCTGTCTTGTTCCCGGGCCTGTTCTGGGTCCCACCCCGATGCGCTTGACAGACCTTGGCTGCTTTTCTTTGTGTGGACTCGTGCAGCTGTCAAAGACTCAGAATCCGTACGAGCCCCAGCGTTGTCTGACTCGATCCTGGACGTCCTCTGGGTACGACTCTCGGAACGAGCCCTGCTTCCAGAAACGATGGGAGGACGTGAACTCGACAGGGAACAAGCAGCATCGAACTACCTTTCTGTGATGTCCAGCTGCCTCGATGCCGTGGCTGACATACGGTATCAGCGGTATGTTGGGATACTCGTCAAAGAAGAACTCGTTCGCTCCAGGTTGACACCTCGTGGCCTCAGCCCAGACTACGTCCTGCAGGCTTGATGGGTCGATGTCATCGCTTACTAGGTATATCTTGGGAATGTAGTACCCGGGCTTGGAGCCGAAGACGATGTGACCAACCCGAATGCTAAAGTCGGCGATATTTGTGGACAGTGCTCGCAGCTGCCGTGTGTCGACCTGTAGCACGAACCACAGGCAGTGGGACTCAAACGGGTTCCAGACCGTCTTAATCGGAAGCCCCGCTGCCTGACAGATCGAGAGAACTTCTGCCGCCTGCATGACACCCCATACCGTGTGATTCTCTTCGACGGCCTTGCCCGCTACACAGATTGGGACGATGGGGTCCTCCCTGTAAGTCAGGGCATCGATCTTGAAGACAGGCCAGTCCTTGGAAGTCCCTGGAAACACAAGCCCGTGGTATTCCGCCATGGGACCCTCTGGCGCCGTCTCCGTGCTCGATATGACACCTTCCAAGACGAGCTCGGCATTTGATGGAACGCGAATGTCGCTCGTCTCGCACTTGACGACCTTGACCGCGCTGCCAGTCAAGGCGCCGATGAAATCCGTCTCGTTGACACCTTTGGGCAGCGGCATGCCACTGACCATGATGGCAGCCGGGGGAACGCCGAAGCAAAGCGCGAAGGGCATGTCCTGTCCCATCTCCCGCCACATATCCCGGATGACCCCGATGTCCTGTCGCGGGATGACTGGGCCGACTATGGATCGCTTGCCGTGGAGCATGCCCCGGGTGATGGACCAGTTTACCCAGGCCCCGTCGGGGCTCTGCACGACGTACATGCCAAAGGTCTGAAGATATTTCCCACCGTCATCTTGGTGTAGGAAGGGTATTGGGAGAGTGGTGAGGTCGATGTCGTCGCCGAGAATTTTGAATTGCTTGACTGGACCGGTTGGCACCTCTCTTGGCGGGATTGGAGCGAGTCTCTTTGCGGCGTTGATTTTGTTGACAATCTCTTCTCCAGTGGCGGTAGCGGGAAGGCCCAAAGACTTGGCTATCCTCATGAATCGCTTGCCTGGGAGCTTACTGGCCCCCACCGGAGCTCCGAGAATCCGGAACAGGCCATTGTCGAGGCGACCTTTGATGTTGTTGAACAAGGGGGCTTTCTCTTCCGTCTCGTATACCATACGGACGATGGCGCCGAGTTCGAGGTAGGGGTCAACCTCGGTTTGAATGACAACGAGGTCGTTTTCGTCCCTGAGCTCTTGCACGAAACGGCGGAAGTCTTGGGCAGCCGATGTGTGATTTTCAATCCGGTTCTCAGCCATGTTGAAAGAATTTTTCGAAGTTATTGGCTTGGAACAAAAAAAATAGAATGCGCTGATGGGAGGGTTGGGTTGTGCCAACATTGAGGACTATACGCTGTTTATGGGGGGCCCTTTCCTTGGAGTGAGTGCAGGGCTACTTATGGCAGTTGACACCAACACCATCCCCTACGAGCCTGCAGGTTCGCAGAAACAAGGCATTTGGCTCCGCCGAGGAGCAAATAGAAGCGGAAGCGGCAGTCGTCAGTCTTTGGTTTCCTCGGAGTCTCTCCGCCGCGACAAGGCCCTCTAGCAAGCAGTATTCCGCCGCAGTTGGAAGCCTTTACATAACGATCATCTCTATAATCGGTAGCTTCACGGTAATAAGAATCGGCAAGTGAAGGATTTTGCACTCTGTTTCGGACTTTCGTGAGCAAAAGTCTCCAACAAGAAGGTCGATCCGCGGTTGAGCGTCTCGAGATGCGCCCGCGGATCCCCGGACGGCATATTTCCATGATTATTCCCGGCAAGCGCGGACGACAACACCGCCTCGAGGTCCACCGGTGACTTCAGAGTATGTGCCTGGCTTCATGTGCGGAGCGCGATAGCTGCCTGGGCGCGAAAGGGGTGCTTCGAGGCAGGTGCGGGAGGGGGGTTGAGGTCGAGTCGTGGGAGGAGGGTTCAGGATGGACTCGATACCGCCGCAGTTGTGTGCACACCATCACGCTGTCGCATCCTTATTCCTCGTTCAAGATTGTCCAACAGCGAAGCATAACGGCCATGGATCGCCCTGACTATACAGACAATACTGCCACGGAGCAGAAGGTCGAACGCCAAGAGGTCCCACGACCGCCGCCACGCCGCAAGCGCATCATCGTCGCCATGACGGGCGCGACGGGCTCCATCCTCGGCGTCAAGACACTCCTCGCCCTCCGCCGCCTCAACGTCGAGACGCACCTCGTGATGAGCAAGTGGGCCGAGGCGACGCTCAAGCACGAGACGGACTACACGGGCGCGGCGGTGCGCGCGCTGGCCGACCACGCGCACTCCCACCACGACATGGCGGCGCCCATCGCGAGCGGGTCGTTCCGCGTCGACGGCATGGTCGTGGTGCCGTGCAGCATGAAGACGCTGGCGGCCGTCGCGGCGGGCCACTGCGACGACCTGGTGGCGCGCGCGGCCGACGTGGTGCTCAAGGAGCGGAGGAGGCTGGTGCTCGTCGCGAGGGAGTGTCCGCTCAGCGGCGTGCACATCGACAACATGGCGAGGGTGACGAGGAGTGGCGCGGTCGTCTTTCCGCCCGTGATGGCGTTTTATCATCGCCCTGGGACGGTGGAGGATTTGGTGGATCACGCGGTTGGGAGGATGCTCGATCTGTTTGACCTCGAGACGGGGGACTTTGAACGCTGGAACGGGTTTCAGAGGGACTGATGATGTATAGCCAGAGAAGGGAGGTTATTCCGGCTTCGTGTCTTGATTCATGAATTACCTCATCTAGTACAGTTGCGTCATCCGTCTATAGTCGTTATCCGGCCGCTATGAGTGGGAAATGCCGTTGCTCCAAATGCACAATGCGCCATTCGTTTACACAGAACCCAATGTTTTTACAATCCGTTCTTGGCTTCCGTCTTTTCCGATACAGACTGCCCCTCGGACGACTCGCCGCTGCCGCTGCCGCTGCCGCTGCCGCTGCCGTCATTGGCCTCGTTCTTCTTGCGGGTGTCGACCCAGCCGGAGCAACAGGCCGTCACGAACAGCAGCACGGACACGGCCGAGGCGAGGTAGAAGACGCGGTTAACGCTGGTGCAGTACGCGCGCAGCACGCCCGGCAGCAGTTCGGCGGGGATGCCGACGTCGCGGACGGCGTAGGCGCCGGCCTCGACGATGAGGCGGGGGTCGACGCCGGGGGCCTCGATGGGAAGCTCGGAGCGCAGGCTGGAGCTGAAGATGACGTTTGCGAGGGAGAGGAAGACGGCGCCGCCCATGTACTGGCAGAAGATGGACATGGACATGGCGGTGGGGACGAGGGCGGGGGTGGTGGCGTGCGGGATGGCGATGAAGCTCGTCTGCTGGACGAGGCCGCGGGCGGCGCCGAGGAGGACCTGGAAGCCGACCCAGTGGCCGGTGGAGGAGTCGGGGCGGAGCGTCGAGAGGAGGCCGGTGGCGACGGAAGTGAGGGCGCCGCCGGCGACGGCGAAGGGGAGGTAGTAGCCGACCTTGCCGACTGCGGTCATGACGTGTTAGCCAGCTTTTCCAGGGCAAGCACATCGACGCTGTGTTCATGAGGGCCATGGGCACAGGAGATGATGAGTGAGTGGTGGTGAGGCCAAGGGACTTACTCAGAAAGCCCGTGAGGACGCCAAACACGAGCGAGGGCAGAATGTTGGGCAGCATGTACACGCCGCTGGTGAGGGGGGACTTGCCCCGCACCGTCTGGAAGTAGACGGGCATCCAGTACGAGGTGAGGAACGTGGCGCCCATGACAGTCATGGCGACGAGGCAGGCGGCGACGACGACGCGGTTGCGGACGACGGGGGTGGGGATGAGGGCGTCGGGCCCCTTGCGCCACTCCCAGGCGACGAAGACGAGGAAGAGGACGCCCGCGCCGCAGAAGAGGCCGATGATGGTGGCGCTGGACCAGGCGTGGACGCTGCCGCCCCACTGCAGGGCGAGGAGCAGCATGACGGCCGAGGGGGAGAGGAGGAGGAAGCCGACGAGGTCGAGGCTGCGGTGGAGGGTGGGCAGGACGTCGCGGACGGGGCGGATGGTGGTCTGGTCGGCGATGGTGACGAAGAGGGTGCCGCCGAGGACGATGGCGCCGAGGGGGAGGTTGATGTAGAAGCCTGACGGGGAGAGGGGTGAGCGTCTCTTCTTTCGGCTGTTCTCATCGTGTCTGGAGTCTGGGATCAAGGAGGGGACAGGGGATGGGGCCAGACTTACACCATCGCCAAGACACCTTTTCGGTGAGCGCGCCGCCGATCAGGGGTCCGATGACGATGCCCAGCTGAGCGCCTATATGAGTGTCAGTCAATCAGTCAGTGCTGAGGGGTGCAGGAGTTTGCATATCAAGATGCAGCGGTTGGACATACAGCCAATGCAGATACCGGTCAAGACTGCACAGTATGTTAGCTTGAGCACCATATACGACACTTTTTAACTCCATTGCAACTCACAAGCTCTCTGCTCCGGCCTCACGGCGACGCCGATGATGATGAGGGCGCCGGCAAAGACGCCCGCGACGCCGATGCCGGCGACGGCGCGGCCGACGATGAGCATGGTGGAGGAGGTGGCGACGCCGCAGATGAGGGAGCCGAGCTCGAAGATGAAGAAGAAGGCGAGGTAGACATGCTTGAGGCGGAACTGGGTGTATATCTTGCCGACGAGCGGCTGGATGGCCGCGCTGAGAGTCACAGTTAGTTTGCTGTTGTGTTGTGTCTGCGTCGGGACACAGGTGTGCATTATTTTCTTACCTGGCCAGCTGAAAGGCAGAGCCATACCAGCTAATGTCCTCGAGGGAGTGGAATTGAGAGGTGATTTTGGGGATTGCCTGTCGGCACAAGCTGTGTTAGTGACTTGGCGCGTGCATTCGAGGTGATACGGAGCTCGACAGCTCTGCGACAGGAATCGTACCGTCGCGACAATGGCATTGTCGAGCAGGACCAGGAAGCTGGCGGTGATGAGCGAGCTCATGACCAGCCACATCTGGACGCCGGCCAGGTACTTGCGCTCATCATCCCGGGAGGCGGGCGTGACGCCCTCGACGGCGGTCTCGAGATCCGAGTCGAGGGTCAGATCGGATGCGTCCATGTGCTTGGCGGCGTCGTCGCCAAGAGGCGGCTGTGGCTGCGGCTGCGGCGCCCCGGCCGGTGGCAGCTTCTCGTCCTTTTCCATGGCGGCGCGGGCGGGCGGTGGCTGTGTTTTTCTCACTCTCTGTTGGTCTTGTCGAGGGATGGATTTGCAAGAGGGCCGAAACCTCCTTTTTGTCCCTTTGCTGGCAACTCTGAGAGACTTCGCATTCGACCGCGCTTCGCCCGGGCTAGAGAGCGGGAAAGGGGGCGGCGCCGGCGTGCCTTTTTAATATCGCGAGCTTAAAAGGGGATCACGCGCGGGGGGGAAGAGGGGGGAGGGGATGGAGGAGCGGGCGAGCCAGCGGGTGGACGACGAGAACTCGGCCGTTTGCTTCTTTCCGGCCTCGCATTCGCACAAACAGAAGAGAGCGCGTGGACGACTTCGGCCCGCCCTGCCTGCTTGCTTGCATGAAGGCAGGCTTGGTAGGTAGGGCTGAGAGGGCGATTCACCGGTCTTGGCAGAAAGTCGCCGAGCCGACCTGCTGGGATTCCAACGGTTCGACGGCTTCCATTGGAGACGGGACGAGAGGGAAAAAAGGGATTCGCGCAACGGCGGGCGACCCCAAATCCGGGTGTCTGGCCCGCGACGGAGGAATCGTTGCCATGGGGGAGAGGCTTTTGGGCGCTGCAGCTATCGAATCCCTTCGGCCGCAGCACAGCGTGTGCGCCGTCTCCAACGAGTTTAGTCCTGGGAGGAAAACTAGGCAAATAAGCGCCATACGACCAGGTTGCGCCGAAGCGGGTTTCGTTTGAGCCGCATCCCGCCCGCGGGGTTGTGGGTTTGCTGAATGCTGACCCCTAGCGCGGCGCAAGCGGGGGGGATACACACACCTGTCATTGATTCGTGATGGGGTCCTCCACGGCAGTCGGCTGAGGCTTTTGAGATCGTGTTCGTAATTACGAGCAGGGGGGGCTTCGTTTTGTCGTGAGATGGCGCATCTCTGACGTACGAGTATGCGCCTGATGGGCAGCCGGGGGGATGATGACGAAGCAGTTCGACGCCAGCGACGAGTGCATGTTTTCCGAATCCCGCCCTTGCGTGGAGCTGACGTCGCGGAATTCGATCAAGGCCCAAGGGGGAAAGAACAATGACAAGCTCGCTCGTTGATTTCAAGTCCCTTCCAGGAGATGTTGAAATCTCGGATCCGGAGCCGATTTTCCGGGCGACTGCCGCCATGGGGTTGCAAGAGGGTCATTGGGGGTGGCACAGACAGAGCTTGTATTGAATTGCCTTTCCTACCTATACTAGGTGCCTCTCGATGGCATTGGCTTGCGGCTTTGCGCGCCCGCGACACCCGTCACCAAGAGAGGCCAGCGTTCGAGGGACGCAGTCGCCCCCGGGATAATTAACCAAGGGCATGTGCGGTCGACGCTCAACACGTGGTCGACGAGTTGTAACACATCTTCCATCCAGAAACACTCAAACTTGAAACGAACATGTCTCCTTGTGCGAGCGAAGTGAACGGCTCTGTGCCGCAGCATTTCCCGATCGGGAATAGGGGACGGCCGGTGCGGGGCGTTCCAGCGGCGCAGTGGATGGCAGAAACCGCGGGGCGGGGAGGGCGTTCCACTGGGGTGAGACTGGTGACCTGACCGGTGGCCGAGGTGCAGGTGCTGCGCGAACGCTGTGGAATGGGGCTCTGCCCGCCCGGACTGGGCTGCCGTCCACTGGCTGAGGCGCCCTACCTAAGGTACCCGCCACCCGCAAAGTCGCAGAGGTCCACGGGTGCCACGGCGGTCCAGTGACACGGTCCAGCGCCCTGGAGTGGGCTGGGCTGGTTCGCTGCCCCCGCACGCAACGGCCCGGCAGGGGTCGCGCTGGTCCCAGACCTCCCTCTGCTCAGCCCCAAGGCTGTGCCCCACTGCGTCTTCAGCTGCACGGCATCCATTTCGCATCGGTGCGGCTTGGAAATAATTCCGTCGCCAAATTCCTCCCTGCCACTTTTCCCCCAACAGCCTCTTCTCCCGTCGACAACAGCTCACAGAGGCTCCAACTCTGTGACGGCGGATCGCGCGCGTGTCAACATGGGCGATCGACGGAACGGGTGGACGACCGTCGGCCACGGGCACCTCCCCGGCCAACAGCAGTACGGGCGCATCTGGGAGGCCGAGCAGGAGCTCAAGGAGCGCGAGACCATTGCCTCGTGGGACCGGGACGAGCATTGGCCTGGCATGTGAGTCGCCGTTTTCCCTGCTGAGGCATCGAACTCGGGCCAATTCTAACCTCGACCCTGTTACCCCTTTTACAGAGACAGACCCCTCTTCAGCGGCCCTGATGCGAAGCGCTTCGACGGCCGCCTCGCCAAGCTCGAGGACCTCGGCTTCGGCGCCTTTGGCCGCGTCGAAAAGGTCATGCACGGCACCGTCTGCCTCGCCCGCAAGCGCATCGTCCGCCGCCGCGGCTTCACCATCGAGGACCTGCGCCAGGAGGGCCTCACCATGCGCCGGCTCGACCACCGCCACGTCGTCAAGCTCGTCGCCACATATGCGCCCCGCTCCCACGAGCTGTGTCTGCTGATATGGCCCGCCGCCGTCTGTAACCTCAACGTCCTGCTCGAGGACATTGAGATGCTGCGCCAGCGCGAGGGCGACCGCGACGACATCATCGAGAGGCTCCACGCGCTCGACATCCGCGACCTGAGCGCCGTTGAACCCCCGTCCACGAGCCAGAGCTTCCAGTCGGACGAAAAGTGCCCCTTTGACTTTCTGAGGACGGTTATGGGCTGCGCCGCGCGAGCTATGGCTCATTGTCACGCCAATGACGTACGCCATCTCGACATTAAGCCGTCCAACATCCTGCTACGACCAGACCGGGTATACTTGGCCGACTTTGGCATCTCCCGAGACGTCAGCGGCCAGGACCAGACCACGACGGACGGGCTCCCGGGAACGGAGAAGTGGCGCGCCCCGGAGCTGTACAGCAGCCACGGCTCGAGCATGCAGCTCTCCGACATGTACTCTCTCGGCCTCGTCTACATGAACATTGCCACCGTCCTGTATAACGTGCGCTTGGCCGAGTTCGACGACGCCCTCAAGTACTCGTCGGCGGCGAGCCGCGAAGACCAGCTCAGGATACGCGAGGACAAGATCAGGAAGCACCTCGACAAGCTGACGGCCCACGCGCTCGTGACGCCGCCCTTCATGTTCACCTACGAAGGCCAGGAGACGGTGCGGCCGCGGCCCGTCGTGAAGCTCATCTCGCACATGGTGGCCACGGATCCGCGCAAGCGCCTGTCCGCCGACAAGACGGACGAGAAGCTGTCCATGATCGGCGGCATCCGCCAGATATACCACGCCGAGTGCTGCAAGCGGCCCATCTCGTGGGTCGAGGACAAGTGGGATAGGAAGCTCGCCGTGCTGTCGCAGCTGCGCAGCGAGAACGAGCTGCTCCGGAGGCGCGTCAGGGAGCTCGAGGGCCGCGACGAGACGTACGAGGCGCGGCTCGATAACGAGCGCAACCAGCATCGCCAGGCCGTCGACCGCCTGCAAGCCCATCTCAAGGAGGCTGAGGAAAAGTACCAGAAGCTGGAACTCGAAAAGACGTCTCGACGAGGATCACACGGCCAGGGCGCCCGTCCGAACCCCACGCGGCCGGTTATGCCAGGTGCTAGGCGCAGCGGCGGCGTCGGCCTTGGCTTGAGCACAACAAGGTCGACGCCCACCACACCCGCCGCAGTGAGGCCCACCATGCAGCCGTCGTCACAATCAACACAGCAACTGCCCAGGAGCACGCCCCCATGGGGTCCGCGCAGGGCATCCCAAGCCCAAGCTCAAGCTCCGGCCAGCCCCATGGCCGCTCAGTCTCCAGCCCAAAGATCCCCCAGCGTCACCAACCTGGCCGGCTACCAGCTCCGCTCCAGCAGCTCCCGGTCAAGGCTTCCCCTGCCCGTCACGCCCAACAGCCGCAGCGGCACGCCCGTGCTCGCCCGCGACCAGAGCATGACGGACAGCAGCATGGCCTCATCCGTCTTCTCGCGCCGCAGCGTCGACACGGCGCCTACGCCCGCCAACAACAGCCCCCAGCTGCAGCGCACCACGCCAGGCCGCGAGAGCGGTGACGCCGGCAACCCGCCTAGACCCGAAGAGCAGTGGACAGAGCTCCCCGCGCAGCAGCAGCCGCCCCCGTCGCCGAGCGAGTCCCGCCGGCGCCCGTCCGCCGCGACGCAGGACAGCGCCCCCCGTCCGCCGCCCGTCGCCACGCCCTCCCCGCCGGGTAGCCCCGTGCTGTCCATGACGGGCACCGCGTCCATCATGTCCTCGCCCCGCACGCTCCGCTCCGAGCTCCTCTCCGACGCAGGCAGCGACGCAAACTCGACGGCGCGCCCTGCTGTGCCGTCGCTGCAGTCGGCAAGGAGCTGGGCCGAGGTGGCCCGGCCGGAGAGGCGGCGCGCTCAAGCCCCCAGACGTGCCTAAACGTCAGGGCACGGACAATGCTTATTTCGTCCTGTGGACAAGGAATGCGGTAGGCAGTGCTGGCTCCTGAAGGGATGATGGAGGGTCATGACTTGACGATGTGATATGATGCTTTTTGTTGTTTGCGTTTCGGGGCGTTGAGGATGAGAGCAGACGTATCTCGTCGGGAAAAAAGTCCCTGCTTTGATATACCACTGCGCACCAACTATTTGCTTAGTTTAGGTACTGCATAGCGGCTGGCTTGGAAGACGGGGTTCCTTTTGCTAGATTCAAAACATTTTGTTTGGATATTCATGATGTCGTATTGTTCTATATCTATGCATATGTGGCTGTGCACTCTATGAACCGCTCGAACGCCAATGACCCCCAACGCCGGCTCGTCATGCCTGATATATCTGTACAGGGAAGTGTAATACACAGGTGGCGACATGCGTCGCCTACCGAGATGCGGGCGCGTCGCCGTTGTTTGTGCGGCCCGCAGCGCCTCGTGCTAGCCACTTCATCAGCCGCGGCCGCTCCGCCTCGACGAGCGTGGTCCACGCGGCGGACAGGAACGGGTCCTTGCCGTCGAGTTGCGCGGCGCTGCCGTGTCCGAGGCGGGAGGTGATGGCCGAGAGGAGGGGTAGGGGCGGGGCCGGGTGCTCGGCGACGTTGGGCCGCGTGGTGTTGCTGCTGCTGTTGCTGCCGCCGTCGCGGGTTGTCCGTCCGGTCTTTGTGTTTGGCGGGTCCGGCTTTGGGCGGCGGGGGAGGGCAGCACGGTTGTTGTGCTTGTCGCCGCTGTCACGTTCTAGCTCGGCGAGGGCGCGCTCTTCCTCGACGATGCGGCTGAGGGCGATGCCGCGGGCGGTCCAGTCCTGCCAGGTCTTCTCGACGCGCCATTCCCACCACAGGCGCGCGAGCTGCACGCTCCAGCTGTACGACGAGGTTGCCGCTCCCGCCGACGCCGCCCTGGACCTGGCTGTTGCGCCGTTGCCGTGCCAATTCTTCTCTCCGCCGGGCGCCTCGATGTCCACGTCCAGGGCAGTGACGCCTTCGCGGCGCATCTGCTCGGCGACAAGCCCATCCCACTCGTCCTCGAGCACGGCAGCAGGCACAAGCTCGTCGTCAATCTCGACAATCTTGTAGATGCTGCGCTGGAAGATGCGGTCCTTGCGGCCGACCATGCGGCTCAGCGCGCGGGGCTGCGGCTTGGCCATGCGCAGGAAGGGCTGGCCGTCGGCGGTGGAGCACAGGGACGGGACGCGGCGCGGGAGGAGGGAGGAGGCAGCGTCGAGGGAGGCGCGCGGCCGGGGCAGCGAAGAGGAGACGTACGAGGGCGGGTGGCCCGGCGGTGCGGCGTTGACGATGAGCGGCTCGGGGAGGGGTTGGGGAACGAACGGTGCGCGGCGACGGGGTCGGGATCGGGATGGTGCGTCGGTTTCAAGACTCTGCTGCTGTTTCGCGGGATGGCTGTCACTATCACGGTGCTGCGCAGCGCTGCGGATGTGCGCGACGAGCTGCGCATTCTCGGGCGAGGAGACGTCGCGCGCGCGCGCGAGCACCTCGAGGAAGCGATACCCGGCGGCCATGGAGGCGTAGACGAGGCGCAGGCTGGTGTAGGCGCGGTTGCCGGCGACGCGCCGCCTCACCGTCTCGGCGATTGGGCCCAGGCGGGGAGGAACCACGGCGGTGGCAGCGGCGGTGGCGGCGGTGGCATGTTTCTGTTTCGGTGTTGCGCCGGCCGGCCGGTGGAGGAGGAGGAGGTCCTCGGGGAGAGGGACCCGGCGCGCGGAGCGGACGAGGGCGCGGTAGAGGGCGAGGGCGGCGGCGCGGTGGCGCGGGTCGCGGGCGGGCACGAAGGGGAGACGACGCATGTTCGGCGGGTTTCGGGTGGTTAGGGCGCGGGTATCGTGGAGCTAGACATGGCTGGGCGCGGAGCGTTGCACTCCGTCCGCAATGCTTGAGTGTGGTGTCGCGGCGTGGTGAGATGCGTCGCGGAGCTTGGTTGTTGAGGCTTGCACGCACGGGGCAGCTTGTTGGTTCGATGCGGTGGTCCCTGGACTCGCTGTGGAGCCGGGCTTCTGGATTTGTTCTGGAAGTCGGAGGCCCCGCTCTAGGGTAGGCCAATTTAGTCGCCTAGTTTTGGCAGCCATACGAAGTAGACAGGTCTGCTGTGCGCGCTGCCATTGGCAACGGACTTCCTGACGGAGTGCGGACTTTGATTCCACGAGCCTCCCGTATGTCATGATGCTCTCGTCCATCAGTTTAGTCATCGGCTCTCGGCAAAGGCGAGGAGCGAGAGCGGAGCCCCATCGACGTGTTTCCTTCGTACGTGCAGCTGCCGCAAGTCCCGGGCTGGGCCCTCAAGGCCCTCCCTCCGTTCCCCGCTGGCGCGAATTATCTGGCGGCGAGGCGGGTCCCCATCGCAGTCACTGACACGGGGGAGGCGGACAAGTGTGGAGCCAGAGACAACGGAGTGTCGGGGCGGACTTTTGAGCAAGTCCGTGTGGGCTGGGGACGTTCGGGGGGAGAGAGTGTGTGTGGTCAGCGGACGTGGAGAAGTGCGCGATGCCGAGGGCGTCGCGCGAGTCGATGGATGGACGGGCAACAAGCAAGCAAGGGTGGGATGGAACGGGGTGTTGCGTTTGTGCAGGGGCGCCGCTCGCGGCTGGGTCCGCGTGATGCGATGGCGTCTACTGATGGACCAGGGGGGAGTTGCCAGGGCGAGCTGAACAAGTGCTTTGGTGTATTATGTATGAATGAGCGACGTCCCGTAACTTACAGTACAGTTCAATGAAGATGCGGACGGAAGCGATAGAGTCAAGTAGACGGCATAACTTGGTGCTATGGCATATATGCTTCGCGTTCAGACGGCACTAATACCTCCCAAGGTTGAGTCCGCTGGCTCGGCGCGCTCACTGCCCAGCTCGTCCCGGCGGCCTTGGCTCTCACGTAAACTCTGGTGGAGGCTGGACTAACTAGCTAACTGGCAAGTCTGAGTCAGGCGCGCTTTGTTTTTCTCGCCAGTTTTTTTCCATATTCCAAGTGAGATATTTTGCTAGACAAAGGTGGCCTGCGACATCCGTGCCTGTGCGGAGATTGACGGGCGCGCGGCCAGGCCGCAAAGTCGCGCGATGCTAGGCAGGCAGGCAGGCAGGCAGGCAGGGGCTTTGTTTGCTTTGTGCCGTTATGGCGGCGCGCCGCAGCCGTAACTTAGTACATAATATCTAGCCTCCAAAAGGGCGGTACGTATACAGCATGCGGCTGACCAGCACGGTAGATAAGGGAGGTACGTAAAGGCAAATAAACGCATGTTCACCGCAAAACCATGGGTATGGTGTAGAGTACTAGGAACCGGCGGAGGGGCGGCCGCTTCGCACCGTCCTATTCGCGCCGAGCAAGCTTTCTAGGCCGCATCGCCGGCTTTGGATTTTGGCTTTCTCGGCGGGCACCGTCTGCGGCGGGCGAGCGGGCGGGCGGGGAGGGAGACCTGAACCTTTGGGCAAAGGGCCGACCGAAGCAGCAAGGCCCCATCTCTCTCCTGATGCCGTCGTCCAGTGCGTGTGTTTTGTAAACTCCAATTGCGAGGGTTCCGTTGTTGTAACCTTGGAGGCACGGCCGCTCCAGCTGGCGGGTTCCACCAGGACACCAAAGGATTCCAAGATGGCCGAGCTCCTTCGTCTCCTTGTCGCCCCGCAAGCTCGCCGGACTGGAGTGTCAAGCCTTGAGGCAGACAGACAGGCTCGGACAATGCGGTAGGCCGGGGGGAAGGGCGGGCGGGCGGACGTACGGGTGGACGCGGAAGACTGCTGCCATCCCATGCCCAGCATGGGATGGGGATTGACGGACGGGTGGGCTGGGGTATCGCGTGGCACTGCGCACGAGCAAACCTGGAAATCGCGGGAATGCTGGCAAGGATGATGGGAAAGGAAAACGACCTACCAGCCCTGGGCCGCCGCCTGTTGCGCGCAACAAACCCGATCGACCCACGGACGGCTCTGCCGGAACCGGTAGCCATTGAGCGCGGTGGCCGCCGCCGCGGCCCCAAAGCCAGCCAACCAAAACAACTCGCGTGGTAACTTAAGTTAGTAAACAGCCAGACAGAGAGAGCCGGACCGCCAGCCAGCCAGCCAGCCCTGCAGAGCACAAAGGATGGACGGCCTGGATGGATGGGTCCGAGGACGATGACCTCAAACCTCGGACTCGGCGCGGGCAGGGCGCCATGCGGGCAGGGCGGCGGTGACCCGGTGGGCGTTAGCGCATCGCCAGGGGGGGCCTTGGCGTCCGCCGCCAGAGCCCTGGAGCCCCACAGGGCGCGCGCCCCGGCCAGCAGGGCACTAAATGGAAGTCGACCTAGCACCGGATGCCGCGCCCCCGGGGGTTCAAACATGCCGGTGCGGCGCTCACAGGAGAGACGATGGATGGGCGACGGCTTGCGGTGGTTTCCCTAGGGCGCTCGCGCGCGCTCTCGCGTCTATCGTAGGTGCCGTTCTCCGCACACGCTGGATCTGTCCCATCTGCCTACAGTACCTAACACGCCCAGTCAGACGAGCAAAGACCGCAGTCCGCGCCGTCGTCCGCGTTGGTCCGCCTGCCCTGATCGTTCAAGTACCGAACGGCTGCCCACCCTTGCCCGCGCGCCCGTGCCCGTGCCCGTCGTCGTCGTCTCTTCCACGGCGACGCACAGTTAAGACGGCCGACAACATTGTCGCTCCGTCTCCAACCGCATCGTCAACGACAACGCGCCTCACCTCAAGGTTTGCAACAAAAACAGCATCACGAGCTGCGCCGCCCATTGGCGCTGACGGGTCGCCCAGTTGCCCAGTCGCCCGTCTCCCTTCGCAACGCCCGTCAGCAACACACGCACAACACACCTCTGCTGTTGCTGCCGCTGCTGCTGCCCTGCGGCGCGCGCTGCTGTGCGAGCGTTGGCCCGCCCCGGTGGCGCTCGACAGCTACCTAGTACCCGTTTCGAGGTGCAGGGCTGCTCGCGTGTTGGTGAAGCGTTAAGCCTCCGGCAGCCTCGGAACAGGGGGACCCAGCTTCTTCAACCCGCCAAGCTCCGCCGCCCACGGGTGGCTCCATAGTAAATTCTTGTCCGATCCCGACGAAGCTCACCGTGGTCTGAGCGCGCCGGAAAAGCGTACGACCTCATAAGAGAGGACGCTCGTCGTCGACCTCCCCCTCCCTCCCGGGCCCCTTTGGTTGACGGTTTTGGGTGGTAGTATTCGCAGTCCTCCCCTCCCCCGCAGCCCAAAGGAAAGGCGCATCCGACCAGGCCTTGGCTGCAGCGCATCACGGCCCGGCATTCAGACGCGTGCTGACCTCCCCCCCCTGCTCCTCCTGCCGCCGTCGATGCATGCGCCACCACCGCAGTCGCCGCCTCTCCTCGGCCATTGGCACGCCCTCCTGCCGCACGTCTGACCTGCCCGTGCTTGACACACACCACACCTCCAAGGACGGCCTCCCTGGCCCGGACCGGACGGTTCCTCTTCCCATCTCTCGCTCATACGACGCCGGCTTTCGTTTGCCGTCTTGGGGTTCTGCGAACCCGACATGCCCATCTGCCACTGACTTTCGGCTGCGGCTCCTTGACTTCCGTTTCACGACTCTTTTTATCCCTGTCACCCTTCAACATTGGCGGCATCTGAGGCGCCGCCTGTTCCATATACTCGCGTACTTTGACGACACCTCTACGCAAGGCATTGCTGTGCAATCGCCATCCGACTACGCTCGCTGGCTCTACTTTTGTTCAAATCTCCTACTCGACTTCTGCTTCAATCTTCTTCTCCTTGACTCACGCTGCTTCGTCTCCTCTCCCGCTCCTCGGCCACCGTATACTTGGCTTCTCGCAAGGGGGCCGCCTGGACCTCTGCCGGCTTGAGCGAGGCCCAGATTTCCCCCCCGTTGTAGGTGTAGCCGCCACGCCATCTCGCGAGCACAATGTTCCTACACTCTGGAGCAAGTCTGCATGGTCACGAATACTCCTCTCGACGACCCTCCAACGCACAGCCGCCGCCGCCGCATAAGCGACACCCCCTTCTGCGGACGGCCCTGCGGCCACTCGCTCCTGCCGACACAAACTACGCTCCTGAACCGGCCGTCGACTTTGACAGTGCCCCTCCCTCTCCTCGCCCGCCGCAGAGGAGGCACACACTCGACATCCCCGGCCCTTCGTCGCTATCTTCTCGTCGTCGTCCCTTGTCGACCACATCAGCAAGGAAGGATCTTGCCGTGAGGTTCCGCGAGCCCAGCATGGATTCGGCGCACACGCCTCTAGCCAGCGAGGACGAAGAGTCGGTCGCGGGCTCCGAGCTGAGCGACAGCACCGACGCCTCGATCCGCCGCGTCAAGCGGAAGCGCGTACCCCGACGCTCGACTCGCTTCGCCCTCGCACATCCCGCCCCTCAACTCCGCACGAAGCAGCGGATGCTGGTCCAGATTCGCCCGCGGGTGCTGCTCCAGCTGCAAGAGGTCGGCGAAAGACGAGCCGTACCTGCATTTGACGTTATCCCGTCGAGCCTCATCGCCGGGACCCTCATCATCCCGCGGTTGGCGAAGCGGTTCCCCCGCATGCTCGGAGCCAGGCCGGAGCTGGCTCAAGATGACGTTCTCGTGGTTCGAAGCGACGACTACGAACCCTCGTCTCCTGCTTCGCAATCGCAATCGCAATCGCAGCCGAAGCGAGCGAGCAGAGACCTCGACAACAAGGACGTGGTGGCGGTCATTGGTGCCGCATCTCAGGACAGCAATAACAGTGCCGAGATTGTCCTCGAAGATGGGTCCACATGGCTGGCAAACTTGATGGCCAACGGATCGTACGAGTTCACCCACGTCGACGAACATGGTTTGACGTGTACGGCTCGATGGGTACGAAGAGCTGTCACGTCCAAGAGGAACAGCGCCGCATCTGTGGGCGCCACCACCCCGACGTCCACAACCCCACACGCCCCTGACTACAAATGGACATTCAGCATCATCGACCCGTCGTCGAAGAGACACCCCATTATGGGTAGCCTGACGTCCGAATCAATCGAAATTTACGACACCTACACCACCCTATCCACGTCCAGCGGCCGCTACCCACCCTCGCGATCCTTCAGTGCCGAAGCCAGGGGCGGCCACTGGGATCAAGCGCCACATCCCACACCTCGGAAGGAGGAACGGGCTACGGCAAAGGTCACGCGGGAGCAAAAGAGGCTGATGCTGGCCACGGCGACCTGGATCAGCCTCCACAAGCAGGGCTGGCCGGCGTCGGCAAACCCCAAGTTTGCCCGGTCCGCGTCGTACTGTCGGTCGGCGAGCACCGGGTCGCCATCGCGGCGCCAGTCGTACCCGGTGTACTCTGCGGACACGGACTCTCGAGCCACCAGCCCGGTAAGCTCGACGGCACAGCACCCAGAAACCCGGGCAGAGCGTTCGGGAGGTAGCCCCAGTCCCTCCCGCCCGTCGAACACGCCTGCTCGGGCCATGTCGACCGGTCGGGCCTTTATGACCCGGCGAAACGGGCGGGTGGCTCATGAGGACAACCGCATGTCGGGCACGTCCCAGCACAGCACGGAGAAATCCAAGGCGGACGACGACGAGGAGCCGCGCTGCAGGCCCAAGGTGCGGCCGTGGCTGCACAGGCTCTTCCACCGAAAGAAGCGCCCGACCAAGGATGAGGAGCTGGCCAAGTACAAACTGGACGGATAGTGATACCCCCTTCGGATGGCACCGGCGCAGGAACACGTAATGTAACAAATGTGTCACGAGACGTGACCCGATGGATGTATATATGGAACAAACACCCACAGAAGCACCGTCTGTACAAAATCTACAACGTTGACTGCTGCATGATGGTTGTTTCTTGAGTGTGATTTGTTTCGTGGTGATGATATGAAGTAGATGGATCTACGAGCTGTGCCTGACGTACGAATACAGAGCGCAAGGAGAGGAGGAAGATTGCGCGATGATGGAACGTGGTCCGCGCGCTCGCTGCGCATCCTTGCCCGGGGGTGGAGCCCCAGCCCACGGTCCGGGGATCCGGGGAGGGAGTCCGTGCTGCAGGAGGAGCCGAGCTGCCGAGTCGGAACGTCAACGCTGCAAATTTCCCGCCAGGGACCAAGGACCGTTGGGTGCGTGGCGGCGGCAGGCAGGGAGGCATGGGTAGCTAGTTCTACTGGCAGATTGCATGACAGACACCAGGTATGTAATGTATTATGTGCGAAGAGCGTCCTACGACCGTTGCTCCTCGCCGGGCTGGCTGGCTGGCTGGCTAGCAGGCGCCCGTGGCATCCGGTGAGGGAACATGTCGGTCACCCGACGTGATCTGATTCTGGAAGCGGAGGTAATTACGCGACTGTCAGCGCCACGGGCAGGCAGGGCAGGCAAGCGTGTGGTGTACGCGTACAGAACACATACTACGGGAATATCTGTCTGGCTGGCAGGTTGTTTGCTCCCTCCCCAAGGCTGGACGGACGACGGGGTCTTGCAGGCTGGCTGGCGGGCAGGCAGGCTGGAAGATGACGTGTCGGAAGGGACGTCGAGGTATCGGGCGACGGCGACGGCGAAGGCTGCCCGGTGCTCGGCTAGGGAGGGGGATTGGGGCCTCATAGCGTTGACAAGCACAGGGCGTGTGGTTTGGGGTCGCACGGGATGCGAGCTGCTTGCTTGCCTGCCTGCCTGCCTGATTGTGTGGACGCGTGAGGTGCTACGGCTTACAAAGGAGTGGTGGACGGGATAAGGACAGCAGCTTGCTGGAGCGGGGAGGTGAGGCGAGGTGAGGCGAAGCGAGGCGAGGCGCGGCGCGGCTGGACGGAAGGGGGAAACGGTAGGCATTAATTGAGGTACGTGGAGGGCATCTGGGCATACCACCGTTCAGCGCAGCACACGGCTATCGGAGACCTAAGCTGGCGCTGGCGGGCTTTTGGTTCCAGGTTGGCTGTGGTGAGTGATGATCTGGCGTTTTGCAGTTTATCACCCTTTCATACCAACGACACCCAGCACTGGCCATCGTCTTTGCTTCAGAGGTAGGTAACTTACTCATGTCTCTGCGCCATTCGAGTGCTTCCTGCGTCGAAGTTGGGGCGGCTTAAAGCGCAGGCCATGGACCTCGTGGACCTCCACTGAGAGCTCCGCTGGCTGCTACCCGACCAGCTGGTGCTGCTGCCACCACTTCAATCACCCGACTGGGCCGGGCACAGATCCAGTTAGCGCATCGTCTCCACCCAACTGAACCCCGTTCCGTCGCCGGCCGCGCCCACCTACCTGCACATTCGCCTCCAGCTGCCAGCGCCGCGCCGCACCGTTCGTCATTCATCTACCTGCCTAATGTACCGCGTCCGCTGCGCACGCGCCAAACGGTACATCCGCCCCATGCACCACCTCCACTCTCACCTTTACCTTGCCTGAGGAGGACCTGAGAGAGGACCTACCTGAGGCACTGCAGCTGGCAGCTCCGAAATCTAGGCTCCTACTGGGTGGCATCATCACCACCACCACCACCCGTCATCACTGTCCCATTGAACTTGGGCCATCCATCCCCATCCTCGCCGTCGTCCGCCAGCAGAGCTCCCCCTGCCTGGCCCCCTCCCCCTTCCGTCCTCTTCTCTTCCTCATCTCCCGCCAACCTCGTCGTTGGGCCCAAGCTTCCCGTCAATTCGCTCCTCGGCGCACGCTCCCGCATTGATTTCCATGGGCAGCAACGACCGCCGTCCTGCCCCGACCCCCGTGCTTGCATACCTTGCAAGGTTGGCTGCCGCACGCTGCCGCCAGACGCACGCCGCCCCGCGACGAGCCGCCTGCGTCTCTCCTCTGCATGCTTGTTGCTCGTGCATAGGTACATACTAGCATACATTCTACATACATTTTCGACGCACGACGTACATCGACGCCCTGCCCTCGGCGCCCGACCGACCAACGCCGCCCGAGCCTCGTACGGGAACCAGAGAGAGAGCTCTTCAGCACCCATCGCGCCCTCGACGACCGCCCCCCGCCGTCCCGTCGCGCTCGGTCGAGCGACGAGCCGACGCACCGCACGCCGCACCGTCCAGCCATGGACGAGAATGTCGGCCCGCAGCGCGAGGGCTCGCACGCCGCGCTCTCGGCCTCGGCGGCCTCGCACCTCATGACCAGCTTCGCCATGTACGAGCCCATCTCGCGATCCACCTCGCCCGGCATCCCCTACACCAAGTCGGACGAGGACGACAAGAAGCGATACCGCCCCCGGACGTTTGCCTACTTCTCCCAGCTGCCCTTCGAGGTCGAGGAGGAGGCCCAGCGCGACGCCGCCCTCCACGGCATCCTCAAGCAGCTGTACATTGCCATTCGCGCCGAGGACTTTTCGCCCGGCGCCCTGCATTGGACTAGGGAGCTCCAGGCATGGCTGAACCTCAAGTTTGAGATGACGAGGGAGCTGCGCGCGACCCTGGCCAAGCTGTTCTACTCGCTGGCGCTGTCCCCCGGCTTGGATGCGACGGCTGCGGACCGCTTCCTGCGCATGGTCCTGATGCTCACTCGGTAAGCCCGCTCCGCGATACCTTCTTGCGCTCCCAAGACGAGCACGTGCTAACTGTGTCTCGCCCCGTATAGCAAGAACCACTACCTGAAGCCCGGCGAGGATCTCACGCTCGACTGGCGACCACTGTGGCACGAGGTCAAGGCGTGGGTGTTGCCCTCGGAGGGCCCGGCTCACCAGAGCAACCGAAGGCGCGCCGCCAAGCAGCTCCTCAAGCTTTGCACGCACGCCCATATATATTTCGACCCCAAGGAACGGCCGGCGATCCTCGAGGAGCTGCTGCCGTTCTTCGGAACCAATGAGCTGCCCAATGCCTTCATCGTCATCGGCGCTCTGAACGCCTTGCTCCCGAGCCATCCCGCTCCTCCGAGCGAGCCTGAGGCGCAGCCGCAGCACTTTTTCCCGACCCTCTTCCACCTGTGGTCTCTGATGAACCGGTCCAAGGTCGTCGATATGTTCTTCATGGACCTTTTCTCACGCATGACTAGGGACCATATTCACTCGGATCACGTCCCATTCGCCGAGCATGGCATCTTCACCAAGGAGCAATCAGACCTCGTCTTTACCGCGATGCTCCGCCTGACCCAGATCCCCGTCGGACAGGCCAACTCTCCTTACACGCCCGTCGACTATCTGTCTGGCGCAGGAGTCTACTTGGAAAAGGACAAGAAGAAGTATCCGGTTGCCTATATGATGGCGCGGCTCATCATCAGCTCTCTATCTCCTACATGCCTCGAGCACGAGTCGTCCACAATGGCCAGCCTGGAAGCTCTGATTGAGTCCATTGATACGTTCTTCCATCCGTCCAACCAGGGGGGCTGGACGACCATGCTGGGACAGCTTGTCCTGTATTTGACGGACGGGTTCGTTTCGCGTTGGAATCGGGAGCAGAGTGGAGAGCTGGACATCCCGGATAACCGCAAGATCACGCCCGCTCTGAAGAAGCGTTTCGTCATGTCGCTCAAGGAGGTGACGTTCATGGGTCTGTTCTCCAAGAGTAGCAGGGTATCGCATTGCTACTACAATGCTCTCCAAGGTCTTGCTTACCTCGAGCCGGACCTGATACTTCCGGGAGCGCTCCAGCGCTTTTATCCGAGTCTGCAGGGTCTCGTCGAGGTGCACCGAACGACGTCGAGTCTGAACAGTTTGCAGATGATTGCAAATGTCATGTGTAAGCTCAAGGGCTACCGATGCCACATCACCGCGCTCCTCGCGCTCGCGCTGCCCGGAATCGATGCCAACGACTTAAACAAGACACAGTACACCCTCAACTTCATTCAGAGCGTGGCGTACAGCATACCATTTGTGCCATTGACAACCGAGGACAGCCATATCCACGACACTCAGCTGGCCATGCAGTGGGTGCAGGCCGAGATGGATCGCATGGAGCGCGACGGCCAGAACGTCCAGATCGACTACAACACCGAACTAAGCGACGAAGACGAAGCAAACATCCTCAGATCGTCGACCGCGGGATTTGGAGAGTTCATCCTGACGCTGCTTGGCAAGGTCTTTACTTTGTTGGAGAACCTGCCTGACGCTAACCAGGTCCGCGGAGGAACACCAGAGGATAACGTCATCAACGCCCTGCCCGCCGCGCTGTCCCCCTTGTTCGCCTCCTTGTCCCCAGAGCTGTTCGATATGGCGCTGGAAAAGATTGCGACGTTTGTCTCGAGCCATGTAGTTCATCAGGCCCGCGATGCCATGGCGTGGATCCTCAATGCGCTCTGCAAAGTCAACCCCGAAAAGACGCTCAAGGTTTTTGTGCCCATGCTCGTCGTCAACATCCGCAACGAGATTGACTACAACAATGCGGCGTCGGATCGCACCACTGGCACGGACTACTTGCCGCGCGATCGCGCGCTTGTGTGGCACATCAGCATGCTGGCCATGGCCGTGGTTCACGTCGGCAGGGAGGTGCTCACGTACAAGGATGAGCTGCTGGGCATCGCCGAATACATGCAGGAAAAGTGCCGTGGGCTGCCGACAATCCTCGTGTCCAACTACATCCACCATCTCCTTCTCAACCTGACGCATACGTACCCCATCGACCATGGACTGTACGAGCCCGACGTCATCAAGAGGGGTCTCGATGTTGAGGACTGGGGAAAGACGACCTCGCCGGCGGATCTCACTATTCGATGGCACCAACCGTCGCCTCCGGAGATCGAGTTCGCGGTGGAGCTTTTTGCGTCTCAGGTCACGTCCGCCGCAGAGCAACTGGAGCTCCTCATGAGCGACAACCCCCCTGTGAGCCGAGACGGCAAGAACAAGGCGTGGTCAGACGAGGTGTCTAGACTGATGCAGCAGATCCGTCTAGTCATCGCGGGCATGGCCACCATGTTCGACCCGAAGCGCGCGTCTGGCGACAACGTCGGAGACACTGGCGACACCGACAGCGTCGACGCCGACGGAGACGAGGACATGATGGTGGACGACGACGACGCCCTGGGCGAGGGTGCTGAGGACGAGGAACTTCGACCCCAGTTCCGGTACAAGGCTGGCTACATACTCAAGGCAGACGACCCGGCATACGACCGTGTCCACGAGCTGCGCGACGAGCTGGGCCATCTCCTCACAAAGGCGCACGCGTTCCTCAACGAAAAGCAGGAGGACGATGTCAACTGCTTCACGGCGCTGTGCTCGGCTTATCGAACCTGGATTACGGACGTCGGCATCGAGCGCTCTGCACACTCCCTGGAAAGGCATGTGAGACTCTACAAGGCAGATATCGCCGCCTTCAAGATCAAGGGCCTTCGGAAGGTCTACCCGCGGCCGCTGCTGATCAAGCGCGCCGAGGCCTATCACATGCTCCGCATGAAGCACAACGCTGCGGCCAGGCACAAGAGCGAGCTGGACAAGCGCCTGCTGCTAGATCTGGCGCATTCTTGTCTTTCCCTCTACGCGGACGTCCGCCGGGTGGCGCAGAGCGCCCAAGACTCGTCGCTCAAGGCCCTTATTGGGGGGAAGCCTGTGGTCATTCCAGTGGTGCTCGAGAGCCTGCGCAATGCGCTCCAGGCAAACGAGCACGACCGCATCAAGGGCGGCATGTACACGCTGCTCTTCACTTCGCTTCAGAGAACTATCCTGAAGGACTGGCGTTTCGCGCCCGAGGCGATGCGCCTCTACATCGAGACGGCCGCCATCGACAAGCCGTCTATCCAGAACTTGGGCTCCTCGGCGTTGTACGCAATGTTCGAGTTTGGTAAGCCGCTCGAGCGCGCGATACTGGTCAACGATGCCCTGGTCGACACAATCAAGCCGACGGAGGCGGTGTCGGATGCCATTGAGACGAGGCACCAGTTCATTCTGCAGAGGCGGAAGAGGGTCGAAGACGCCAAGGCGTCGCTGGGACTCGAACTGACCACGCGGGCGCAGGGCGCGCACTGGAAGATTGCCACGCGGTGCGCCATCTTCGCGACTAATCTCTGCCTGCGCTTTGAAGACGTTGCACCGAGCGAGTTTGTCGACCTCGTAGCGCGGGGCACAAACGACCCGCATCCGGGACTGAGAGGCTATTACCTCAACTCGTTCACTGCGCTCTTCACGGTCATCGATATGCGCGCGCTGTACGGCCACGACTACACCAACTACCTCATGGAGAAGGAAATGGGTGACAGGAACAGACTCGAGATCCCCGTCGAGAAGGGCGATGCCGCGTTCACGGAAAAGTTCCTGGATGCGTTCAAGGAACCCGAGAAGGCCGAGTACATGGTGGACTTTGACCACCCCGGCTGGCTCGTCTGGGGCAAGAAGTTCACTGCCTTCCGAGCGCGGCCCGTGCCGTTTGACATTTACGACGAGCTCGAGAACCGTGTCCGGGAGCAGATTGGCAAGATCCTGACCAAAGAATGGGTCTCGCAGTGCTTCGATTACTTTAAGCAGGAGCCGCGAGACCAGTCGACCGATAGGTTCCGGATGAGCTACGTGTACCTGCTCATGCACGTGTTCGACCTGATGCACTACGGCAAGACGGCGGTCACCCTGGACGACGTCAAGGAGCTGACCAAGGAGGTCTACGGTGACGGTAGCGATAAGCACCAGCATCGGGCCACCTCGGAGATCTTGGGAGCGCTGCTGGCAGGCTCCAGCGACGACCCGGTCGAGGTGCGCAACCGCGTGTGGGAGTTTGCGGCGCCGATGATGCTCAAGATCTTTACCGAAGACTTGACGCCTGAGAACCTGCAGTACTGGCTCACCTGCCTGCACGTCATTCTCGACGCCAAAGACCCGCGGAGGTCGCATGAGATTGTTGAGCGGCTCGAATCGTTCCGGCTCGACATGTCGTCCAACGCGGCCTTTAAAGAGTCGTCCAAGGTGCAGCTGATAGAGTTCATTGTCGCGGACGGCGGATGGCACTTCCGCGGCACGAAACCCATACTCGATCATTTTGTCGAGCACATCGACCACCCGTATAAAGCAGTTCGGGAGGCCATTGGCCGATTGCTGTCGGCGATCGAGAAGTCGCGTTACCACGAGTCGTTTGAGAGCGTGCCGAAGATGCTGGAGCAGAACAAGCAGGCCTCCACGATTGGCATTCGGCCGTACCAGCCGTCGGAGGAGCTCACTGGCATCATCACGGGCATCTTTGAGCGGCTGGAGAAGTGGCGGCACGAGCGGACACCGGGGCAGCAGGAGCAATCTTCGTACACGGCGGGCTCCAAGACGGTGCTTATGTGGCTCGACTGCACGCTCTCGTCGCACGAGTGCACGGAGCTGGTGCCGTTCTTCGCGGCGCCCTTTATGGAGCAGCTGCTGCACATGATGGACGTCAAGGAAGACCCGGAGCTCATGAAGATGGCGTACCACGTGTACCGCCACCTGCCGAACATCCCGTTCCGCGACGGCGAGGACCGCAAGTTCATTGACGAGCTCATCAAGATTGGGCGCACGGCGACGAGCTGGCACCAGAGGCTGCGCGCGCTGGTCAACATGCAGGTCATCTACTTCCGGCGCATCTTCCTGACCAAGGCGCCGCAGCGCGACGCGCTCTTCACGGCCGTGTCGGACATGCTGAGCGACCCGCAGCTCGAGGTGCGGTCGTGCGCGTCGACGACGCTGGCAGGCATGATCCGGTGCTCGCCGCACCAGATCCGGGACCCCATCATCGCGCGGCTCAAGGTGCGGTTCGAGCAGGAGCTGCAGCAGAACCCGATGCCGCGGAGGAACCGCAGCGCAGCTGGCACGGAGACGCCCGTGGACATGCAGAAGCAGACCAACAGGCGCCACGCGGCGATCCTGGGCCTAGGTGCCCTAATCGAGGCGTTCCCGTACGCGACGCCGCCGCCCGAGTGGATGCCCGAGGTGCTGGCGACGCTCGCGCGAAAGTCGTCTGGCGACCCGGGCATGGTCGGCAAGGCGACCAAGGCCATTCTGAGCGAGTTCAAGAAGACGAGACAGGACAGCTGGACCGTGGATCAAAAGGTGAGGACCCCCCGCTGGCAGCAAACCGCGTCAATCGAGGCTTGGGCGCTAACGCAGGAAACAGTACTTTACGCAGGAACAGCTCGAAGATCTGGAGGGCGTGCTGTGGAAGAGCTACTTTGCCTGAGCCGGAATCGGGCGTGTTGGCATACATGCAAAACGCTGGCGGCGCCAGGCGCGCGTGACACGAGACGCACGAGAGGGGAGAGAGAGCAGGGTGTGCGCATATATGTACGTACGCGCGTGCGGGATGCGCCAAGCGGCGCGGCCTGGAGGGCCAAGATATCGCGCAGATCGGGGCAACCTACCGCGTGCCGTGCCCGGACTCAGATTGGGGGCCGCGACGGCAAGCAGGCGGGCAGGGCGGGAACGGGAGGCGGCGTGCTGTACTTGCCACATGTCGGGCATACAGTACGAGCGAGTGACAGACAGTTGTGAATGGGCCGTGGACCGTGTGCGAGGGGCCAGCCCGAGCGCGGATAGAAGAGAGAAGAGGCAAGAAAGAGGCCAGTCGAATAAAGAGACATGATCAGCGTAACTCGGGTGCCGCGAGCCCATGGGGTGCGTGCTTGTGTTTGCTTGCGTGCGTACGTATTTATTACGGCGGCTGGGGAGAGGATGGCGACAGGGCAGCGCTGAGCTGGAGCTTTGGGAGTGTTACATACCTAGTAGTAGTGGGCGAGTGTGTGAAAGTCCGTGTAAGTAGCTACCCTGGTCGCGGGCCAACGGGACGGTGCGGACTGGCGGCGGCAGCGGCGCGCGGAGCAAACAGTCCAGGGGAGTCTACGATGGGGAAAATTACACCCGGAGAGAAAGAGGGTTCCAGGTTGGATATAAAAGGGGGGGCTGGGAAACGGGTGGATGGGTGGATGGATGGATGAATGAACGGACAGCTGGCTGGCTGGCTGGCTGGATGGATGGATGGATGGATGAAACGACGGGGAGAGGCTTGCGCGGAGGGAGGAGGGACACGGAGACAAGAGACACAGAGCGAGAGCGGCGGCTGTAGGACAAGACGGCGGAGGGGGAGACGGACGGGCAGACAGAGAGACAGAAGTCGGGCAAATGAGGGGGGGACGATGGGCAGGAGGTCGGGGGGCCCAGAACGCGGAGGGCCCTCAGGCTGGCCCAAGCCCGTTCTCCTCTCGCCCGCTGGCTGCCCATGCCTTGGTTCCTTACCGACTGGCCCTCCGCGGCTGCTGCTGGCGCCGTGCTGTACCGTGAGGTGGTGCTGCCCACTGTTACTTGATGGTGCTTGGCTTGACAGGAATGGGGGGACCTGAAGCTCCCCCCGTCCCCAAATGCGGAGGGCGATGGAGGAGCTCCGGGGCGGCCCAGTCGCTGGGAAAGAGCAGTTGCGCCTCATGGCATGAACCTACGTGACCGCACCTTCCTCGTCGCCTCGCAGACCTTCCCCCAGGTCTTGGCCCTTACCTTGCGTTGCTTCGACCTTCGCCGTCCGTCTCTCCGTCTTTGCCTCTCCCTTCTCCAGCAGCAGCTGTCGCCGAGCCTCGCCTCTACTGCGCTCGTCGCGATATACGGAATCAAACACACACAGTACGTGCAACGAGAGTAGGCACCCCAGGATAGAACCGACACAGAGGCGCCTCCCCGCGCGTGTCGCTTCCCTGATCCCTGGCAACTCCTCTCGCTCCCGTTGCCGACTTAATCATCGGCGGGTATTCGCCCGGGCGCTGAGCACAAACAGAGGTGAGTGACTCTGGGGCCTTGGTGGGCTATTGTGGTGGTGGTGCAGCTGGCGCCTCTGGTGTGTGGTGGCCACTGGCCGCCTCATTTTGCGACCAGCGCAATTTACCAGACTGGCTTGCGCGTGCGGACGAGGACCCAAGGAAGAGGGGGAGATTTGGGGGGAATGGGGGACCGACTGGCAGCAACGGCGAAAGTGGACGGACGGACGCATGTGGGCAGGACGCTTGTTGACCACGCACATACAGACAGTAGACGCGGACAGGCCAAGGACCTATTCCCTACGCGCGAGAAACCTTTTCCCTCTTGTACCCTTGTCGCGAACGGGATCAAAACACGCACCATCCCGTGGGATTTGGGTGCTTTGACCGAGGTTAGTGAGCTCCCCTGTGAGGTGGATGTGTGCGTGGTGGTGGTGATGGATGCTGGCGGGTGATTCCAGCAGCGCCCTGCGAGTTCGGCGCATTGACGACGGGACTGGGGGCCACTCAATGCATTGGATCGCAATGGCGTGAGCGCACTGGACGGACACCCGCGTGCGGCGGCGCCTGTGAGCTGCGCTGAGCTTCCATGTGCGCTGGAGAAGGACGAGAGGAGGAGGAGGGAGGAGGCGGGGGAATCGCGCAACTTGCGGTGGTGGTGGCCCTGTCTGGTCATCTCCTCTTCCCTCCGCCCCCCGGCCCAACAGCCCGGCCTGGTCCTGCTGGCTGGCTGGCCGGCCGTATTACCTTGGATGCCCCCCCAACCGCGCTGCTGCGCAGTCATGCTCACCTCATGTCTACCTAGAGAGCAAAGCCCCGGCCATCTGGACTCATTTCCTCTGGTCGCGTCGCGTCTCGTCGCATCCTATTTCATCGTCGCGTTCGACCAAGCCGTTGGAAGAGACTGACACCCTGCTGCTTCTCTCGTCGACTTGACCTTTGCGCCTACAGCAGCGACATCGACGACGCCAGCGCGGCAGCAGCAGCAGCAGCAGCAGCAGCAGCAGCACAGTCGCCGGGTGGGTGAGTCTACAGGCAGTACCTACGTCCGTCCAGGCGCCAAAGCCCCCCCCCCCAACGCCCGACACCCAAACATCGACGCCGCCCATCACCACCAACTTCATCATGGTCCGCGAAGGCACGCGCTCGCAGACGGGCAACTCCCGCCCGCGCGTCTTCTCCGTGCCCGACACGGCGCCCGTCCAGAAGCGCCGGAGCACCAAGGCCAAGCCTGCGGCCGCGGCCGGCGCAGGCGCAGGCGCGGGGCGCAAGCCTGGCCCCAAGAAGAGCGCTGCCGGCGCGACGGGCAAGGCGGCCGGCGGCGCGACGGGCAAGGCGGCCGGCGGCGTGACCAAGAAGGCGAAGAAGGGGACGGCGGGCAAGGTCGCCACCAAGGTATGTCAAGGCCTCCCTATTTCCTCTGCTGTGTGGCACATTTGTGTTCTTGTGCCGCGCGCCAGCGCGTCGGGTAGTTATGCGATGATGGAAGTGGCAGCGGTGTGGCATCAAGACGTGGAGCGCGCCGTATACTGGCTTTTGTTTCGGCGAGCAGACATGCTGACGGGTAAAACAACAGGTCAAGGCTGACTCCAAGGCTGTTGAGAAGAAGGTCGCTGGAGCCGTCAAGGCCGCCGAAAAGGTACGTCGCCGACCTTTCACTTTATCCTCTGCATCGCGCGCGCTTCTCTCGGCGTGGCAGTGCTGCCGTGGGAACACCCAAACCAGGCACGGCGCGTACGGATTCCAGTGCCTCGAAACTGACGCGACGCAGGAGGTCAAGCCGGACGAGGACAAGGCCGACGGCGCGGCTGCGGCCAAGAGCGACGAGTAATGCCAAGCTGGCCCACGGTCTCTATTCTCAAGGCGGGAGAGTGAGCTGGGGCGCGCCCCTGCTCCAGAGGGGCCATGTGCGCGAACGTGTCGCTGTATCTTTTACCCGCATAGTCGATTACCTTCTCACCACTTTGTTCCCTTTGTGTATTGGACGCGATGTTGCTGCTTTTTATGCTGGATGTTGGGTCGGGATGTGGTGCGACGCGGCAACGTGGGCGTACGTTTTATGTGCTTGGACGGACAACGGGGTTTGGGATATCCATCTGCCCTCTTGCGACGGGCTTTGCGACGGGGACTGGGGTAGCTATGTCTTAGGAAGCGCGCAACAGGTGTTTGTCCTTTTCTTGCCTTTTTCTACTGTCCCCTTGTCATTTTGAGTCTCCCAAAGGCGTGATGCGCAGTTGATGCCGATATGTGTGTGTGTGTGTGTGTGTGTGTGTGTGTGTGTGTGTGTGTGTGTGTGGCTTATCCAGTGTTATTTGCTGCTGGCAAGAGACGGTCGCATCTTGAGACCCGTCGTGGACGCGCGAAGGAGTTGGTGGCAGGCATCTTGGCCCTTGCCCGTCAGACCAAGGAGGGGCTTTTGCGAATTCAGACCGGCTAATATGATGATGGCTTCAGAGAGATGCAGCGCGAGGGGTAAATGAGGCTATGGAATGGGGGCGAGGCAAAGTCGAAGAAATGTTTGGTGCGTGTCACGTTCGATGAGGCCATCCGCGCCCTGTGAGGAGCATTAGACATGGAGGGAGGAGGTGAGTGAGGCAGTGATGCATGCCTGGTCGTTGGATAAGCGCGGTAGGATTGTGAAGACGAAAGGCGGATCGCCGCGCCGGTGTGTGTGCATATTGCACATGTGTGTATGTATGCGTGTGTGTTTGTGGGATATCGTGTGTTGTGTTGTGTGAGTGAGTGAGTGTGCGCGTGTGAAGCTCCCCCCTCGTGTAAGGTAAGGTAAGGGTGAGGGCGCGAGACCCGGTGACAGAGTGCCTCACTGTCTGCCTGGGAGGGGCCTCCGCCAGTCGCCTGCCGCCCAGCCTTACAGCGACCTGTAGTGGGCCCTCACCCAAGTCAACACTCCCGTCTCCCACTCCCATGGCGGCCCCTCCAACACCCACCTATCCATCAATCCACCGACTTGGAGTCCAGCACGGCACAGCCACTCACTGCCTCAAAAACGACAAACCGACAACACGCGAACAATACGGCCCGCCGCGACAGCACAGCAGATTGACCGACCGACTGAGTGCCCTAGCCTGCTTTGGCCGCCACGTCGCAGACCGGCCGGGCTGACACGAGCAAACTGGATGCGAGGCTCCGGCCAGGCGGCCCGCCGATTGACACACACCTCACTCACTCACGACTCTTGTCCTCAGTGAGGTTGCCTGTGAACCCTGGACGGACGACACGAGACGGGGTTCTGCCGCCAACAACATCACCGCCATCACGACCGCCCTCCGTCGCCGGTTCCCTCCCCGGTCATCACCAACGTCCCTCACCTCGCCTGGCCGCTCAGCCCTACCGGCGGCGGATCGTCCTGGCGCCATTGACCTGCCCCGAGGCCCACAGCCTCACAGCCTCCTCCCCCGGTCGTTCTCGTCGGCGACCCGGGCCAGCGCCTCACCAGCCGTTAGGCAACACAGCTCACCCACGGCACGGCAGAGTCACAGTCGCCCGCCCGTGAGGCATCACATAAACCACATAAAAGCACGCGCTTGTGTCACGTCGGATGCCCGCTATGATGTGAGCTACGCCAAGCCAGACGACAGCATCGACTCAAGGGAAGAGAAGCACAAAGGCCAGACTGACCGACCACGGCGCTCTCCTTCGTTCAGGCTCGGCCGCTCTCTTTGTTCGCGACTACATGGCCCCGTGCGGGCTCCAGCTTCTCGCCAGCCGCTGAGCGTTAAAAGGGCCTCTTGCAACGCCACCGCCCTCCTTCACTCATGGGATCTACAACCTCGCAGCATCGCAAGAGGCGCGCTGACGCGGCGTTTGGAGACAGTACGAGCACTAAGACGCAAAATCACACAATGGGAAACATCATGGGCGCACGGGCCGAGGCCGAAGACGATGATCTCTTGGGCCAGCTTCGGGACGACAGCGCCGACGATGTCCAGTCGGCGCAGCGGGCGGTCGACGGCCAGCTCCAGGACCTAGGCGTCGTCATGGACACCAGGCAGTGGGAGCAGTCGCAACGGCTGTACAGGTCCGGGCCGGACCTGGCGCTCGGTAGCGGCGCCCTCGACACGGAGCGGTACTTTGCGCACCGCGCGAGCGTCCTCGGCGTGGAGCGCGGCCTGGCCTTTGACTCGCGGTGCCGCCTTCGCGCAACGGCCCTGGAGCGGCGAGCTACGCGCATCCTCGCGGCCCTGCGGCGGCTCGACGACGCCGAGGTGTACGCGCAGGCGGCCCCGCGCAAGGGCTACGCCGGGCAGACGCACCGGCGGTTCGCGGGCGACCACTTCCTGTCCAACGTGGAGCTCATCGGGCAGACGAGGCTGTTCGCGGCGGCGCGGCGCATACCCAAGGGCGCGCACCTGCACATCCACTACAACGCGTGCCTGCCGCCGCGGGTGCTCCTCGACGTGGCCAAGACCATGGACCGCATGCACATCACGAGCGACGTACCGCTGACGGACCGGAGTGCCTTTGATCGCTGCGAGATACAGTTTTGCATGCTCAGCGCGGAGAGGGAGCGCCCGGGGGACCTGTTCAGCGCGGCGTACGAGCCCCGGCAGACGATGCGGTTTGCAGACTTTCTTGGCGGGTTCGCAGAGGCGTACGGCGGGACGGAGACGGCAGAGCAGTGGCTGGTGAGCAAGATGGAGTTTGACGAGGAGGAGGCGCACAATTTCTTGCAGACGGCTGAGGGGTGAGTTGGATCCGAGCCCCTGCCCCTCCCTGGATTCCGTGTCTAGTGGCGTCACAAGATTTTACTGACCATGGGACATCGCACCCGGCAGGGCGTGGGAAAAGTTCAACGGGCGGACGCGCATGATCAAGGGCCTCTTCAACTACGAGACGGCGTACCGGACGTACACGCGGCGCTTCCTCGCGGACCTGGTGGCCGACGGGATCCTGTACGCCGAGATCCGGCCCAACTTCATGACGAGCAACCAGCTGTACCGCGACGACGGCTCCGGGCCCATCGACAACGCGGGCATCATGGAGATGATTGTCGACGAGGTGACGCGCTTCAAGGAGGAGCTGGCAGCCGCCGCCGACGGGCGGGCGTTTGGCGGCATAAAGGTCATTTACTGCACGCCGAGGGTGTTTTCGCCGCGCGAGGTCGAGGCGGCGCTGGATGAATGCTTCGAGTTTAAGCAGCGCTGGCCGGAGTGGATAGCTGGTAAGTTGCTTTCGGCCCCCTTTATTCCCCTTGTCCCCTTTTCTGTTCGGCCCCCCCCCATACTACCGGCGGTCAACCATGATCTTCCACCTATGTAGCTGAGACGCCAACGACACTCATCAACATGGCGCGGCCCCCCACTGACTCGTGTTCCAGGCTTCGACATCATGGGCGAAGAAGCCAAGGGCCACCCGCTCAAGACCTTCGTCCCGGAATTCCTCGCCTTCCAGCGGCGGTGCGCCTCGGCGGGCGTGTCCATCCCGTTCCTGTTCCACTGCGGCGAGACGCTCGAGGGCGGGACCGCGACCGACGAGAACCTCGTCGACGCGCTGCTGCTGGGCGCGCGGCGCATCGGGCACGGCTTCGCGCTCGCCCGCCACCCGCACGTCCTGCAGCGCATGCGCGCCGCCGGCGTGTGCCTCGAGCTGTGCCCCATCTCCAACGAGGTGCTGGGCCTGACGGGCCGCGTGGCGGGCCACGCCATGTATCAGCTGCTGGCGGCGAATGTGCACTGCACGGTGAGCTCGGACAATGGGACGATATTCAGGTGCGCTCCTCCTACCTTGGACTCTCGCTCTTTCTCCTTTGCTCTGTTCTCGCATTATCCCACCTCATCCCTTGTCATACCGTCCCATACTACCCATATATATCGCCGCTACATGCTCTTCCCGTTTCTTGGTTTCCACACCTTTGTGCTGCGTTGAAACTGACACGTTCTCTGAACGAACCGCAGATCGTCACTGTCCCACGACTTTTACCAGGTCATGGTGGGCAAGGCCGACATGGACCTCTTTGGGTGGAAGCAGCTCATCCTGTGGAGCCTGGAGCACGCGTGCCTCGGGGACGCGGAGAGGCGCCGCGTGCTGCACGCGTGGGAGGCGCAGTGGGACGAGTATCTGCGCTGGCTGGTGGATGCGCACGGCGATGTGCTAGATGATGAGGTTGACGACGACGACGACGACGACGACGACGTTGGTGGCGACGTCGATGCCGAGTATGGCGATGCCGAGCACGAGTAAGAAACGGGATAGACAAAGACGACGACGACGACGGCGCGCGCCCCCGAGGACCGCTCACGCTTTTAACCCCCGGGTGGCAGGGCAGGCAGGCAGAGGGGGCAATACGATGTCACGAATAGCAGCAACAACGACGGTTCGGATAGAAGACGGGGAGGGATAGGCTGGGGCTCGAAGCGAGTGTTTCTTTTTAAACGGGATAAAGCAGCAAATGTGTTCAAGTCTACGACTCTAGATACGCCATGCCAAATGGAGAGACAATAAAGAAGAGAAAAAAAAAACGAGTCAATTTACAACAACGCCCCTGCCGCCCTCGGGGTATCGAGTCGGAGACGCCCGCAAATGTTTTCTGCTCCACCCATGAACGCCGGTACTCTCTGCTCTGAATGCTTTCACTATGCCTCCCTGCTTCCCCTCGTGGGGTTTACACCAGACGTTAGTACGTGCGTACATGCCGCGCCCCGACGCTCCACCGCACGCACGCCCGCCAGCCCCGCATGACTTCTTTCTTTAATCGTCAAAGTAGATGCCCTTCTTGTCATTTATGTCAATCATGCCGCCCTTGAAGCTGCCGCGCTTCATCTTGTTCTTCTCCTTGGTGAAGCCCTTGCCCTTTGTGACGATGAGGCCCTCGTGCGCGCGCTGCGAGTAGTCCATGGAGACGTAGTCGTTGGAGGCGAAGCGCGAGTCGACCTGGATGTTCTTGGGGATGCGGGAGAAGCGCTCGTTTTGCTTCTTGCGGCCGTTGGTGGTGCCGTTGGTGCTGTTGCTGCTGCTGCCGTTGCCGTTGAGGACGGGGTCCGGCGGCAGGGGAGGGTTGGTGGTGGATGCCTTGGTGGGCTCGGGTGAGTTGCTGTCCAGGGTGACGGACGAGTCGGAGAGGGTCTTGCTGACGACCTTGACGAGCTTGGTGGACTTGTTGGCCTTCTTGGCCTTCTTGTCGTCCTCTGAGTCGGACGAGTCGGACGAGTCGGACGAGCTGGAGCTGGAGTCGGAGTCGGACTCGGGGAGCGCCACCTTGGCGGCGACCTCTGCCTTGACGACGGCAGACTCGTCCGAGTCGCTGTCGCTGGAGTCGGAGTCAGAGTCAGAGTCTGAGCTCGAGCTGGACGAGTCGCTGTCCACGTCCATCTTCTCTTCCTCGGACGAGCTGTCCGAGTCGGAGCTGTCAGACTTGGCGGCGGCCGTCTTTTGCTTCTTGGTCTTGGGCTTGCTGGCCTTGTCGGAGTCAGAGTCGGAGCTGGAGTCGGAAGAGGAGCTTGAGTCGGAAGAGGAGGAGTCGGAGGAGGAGCTGGCGGGGGCCTTGCGCTTCAGGCTGGCGGCGGGCTTCTTGGCCGTCTCCTTCTCCTTGTCGCTCTCGCTCTCGCTGTCGCTATCGTCGGAGGAGGAACTGTCGCTCTCACTGTCCTCCGAGGACGAGCTATCACTATCGCTCGAGCTGGAGCTCTCGTCCGAACTGGAATCGTCGCTGGAGCTATCGGAGGCGCCCGTCTTCTTGGTCTTGGTCACGCCCTTGGCCCTGGCCTTGTCCCACGCGCTGTACACGTCCAGCAGCTTCTGGTCGCCGCCCTTGAGGCCCTCGGCGCTGAGGCCGCGCTGCTTCATGAACGCGGTGTGCGCCTTGGTGAAGGAGTTCTCGGCGAGGAAATCCCCGACCATGTCCATCAGCTGGTCCGGGGCCTGCTGGGATGTCGAGGCGGCGGCGGCGGCGGGAGCCTCCTTCTTGGCGGGGGCCGCCGCCTTGGTGGTGCTCTTCTTGCCCATCTTGTCGGCGGGTTTCGCGAGCTTCTTCGATTTGCTGCTCTGTGGATTGGTGTCTGCAGCGCTCGACTGCTGCTGTTTCTTCTTGTCGTTGTCGGTGTTGTTGGAAAAGAGCCAGGAGGGCGGGCCGCGGGACGACATGTGCATGCGGCTGCGGGAACTTCTGGCTCTGTGTGTGTATGTGTGCGATTCGAGCGGTGTACGCGCGGAATTCGGAGTCTCGAGGGAGACGGTTTCGGGAAAGTTTCAGTGAGGGACTGTGTATATGCTCAACGCCTCCAAGAAAAAGAAGGGAAGACAAGCAAAGGTAAAGCAGGTGGCTGTTGGATCACCGCATGGGGTTTGTAGCACAATCAGAGAGTCCGCGGCGTAGGTAGTCGACAAAGGCGGGAGACGGGACCCGACAAAAAAAAAAGTTGGCCGGGGCCCAGGGTGGAAAAATTTCTGTGGGCTCCGCGTGCTGCGTGGTGGGCGGGCGGGCGGTGGTGGCTGCTGCGGTCCAGGGGTCCAGTGGTGGGGCATCGGGTGCTTATCGCTTATCGAGGACAAAACATGCGCCGATTCCGGGTTCCTGGATTGCATGGTGGAGTTGGAGTTTGTCAGTGCTCATCAGTACCTAGGTGCTCTTCCAGCGGGGAGTCGTGCCGTGGCGGACCCCCACTGCCGCTGTGCTGCCGCCCAACCCAGCCCTGGAGGCTGCTGACCTCACTACCTTAGGTACCTTACCTCAGGCGCTTGGGCGCATACGCGGGGACCGGGGCAACCACCTCACCTGCATCATTGCACCAAGTACCCGACGCTCACTGGCGCACGCGACGGCCTGTACAAAGATCCCATCGGCTGTGCAACAACGCAAGCCTTCGCGTTACACCTCCCTCTCACCCCCTCCCCGGGCCCCTCCGTCACAGGCTTCGTTTGGAACAGGCTTGTCTCACCCTCCCGCGTCCGCTGCCCACCAATTGGGCCGTCTCCTGCATGCAGACGGTACCCGCGCCGCTGCCCAGCACTATCCAGGCTCCTCCTGTCTGTCGCGACGGCTTGCTTCTTCCACCCGCCGCAGCCATGCACGCGACAAAGCGCAAGTTCAATGCCCTCCTCCAAGGGCTCAGCAACCCACGGCCGTCGTCGACGTCGGATGCCACCGCCTCTGGGACCATGGACGCCGACTCTCGACGTGGCGATGCCGCCGCCGCCGCCGCCTCCCACGACGCGCTCCTCCAGAAGCGCCGCCGTCTGGGCTTCCCCGACTCGACAGCGCCGTCCGCCTATAACCCGTCCCTCGCGTCGTCGATATCCAGCGCCCTCCGGAGGTCGACCACGCAGGCCAGCGCCAAGTCGGTCAAGGACAAGGACGCGCTCGCCAAGTACGCGCCCGGCGATCGGGACGAGCTCCTGAAGCGGCTCGCCACCTTCCAGGAGCTTACCGACTGGACGCCCAAGCCGGAGCGGGTCAGCGAAATCGAGTGGGCGAAGCGTGGGTGGATATGCCAGGGCAAGGAGAGGGTTCGGTGCGTCTTGTGCCACAAGGAGCTGGTCGTCAAGCTCAACCGCAAGGACGTGGACGGCAAGGAGGTCCCGGTTCTGGTGGCGTCAGAGATTGGTGAGTCTCTATCCTCCAAACCGGGTTCGAGCAGCACAACTAACAGCATAACAGAAGAGGCCTTGGTAGAAAAGTACACCGAGCTCATCGTGAGCTCGCACCAACAAGACTGCCTATGGAGGAGGCGCGGCTGCGAAGGTATGGCTGGCGGCCCCCATTACGCGCCGCTCATATTTAACCTGGTCGCAGATTCACTGCTGCGATTGTCCTTTTCAAACACCCAGTCGACGCTCTCTGCCCTCCGAAACCGCTACGACGAGCTGTGCTCGCGATCGTCTTTCCTGCCATACGAGTTCAACCTACGACTACCAGACGGCATCAATCTCGATGGCGTGCTGGCTGAACTTCCGACAGACTTTTTTGCCAACGCAAAATCACTCGAAGAACCGTCCAAGCCTGTCAATCGACCTGCCCTTGCCCTGGCGCTCATGGGCTGGCAGGGGCTGTCGAACTCTCGAATAGGGGCCGTCCCGAACTCGGCTTCCTGTCACACATGTCTGCGGCGACTCGGGCTGTGGATGTTCAAGAGCAAAGAAGTAGATGACGATGGCCAAGTCATCGTGCCTGCGCCCATGGACTTTTTAGATCCCGTTCGTGAGCATCGCTTCTTTTGCCCATGGAGCAACGCCAAGGCCCAGAGCAGGGGCGCCTCATCTAAAGAAAGCGCGGACAATGCAGGCTGGAACATGCTGCTGCAGACCATCGAAAACGACTCCGAGCTGCGGGATGTGTACGAGGGCCGCTCGAAACGGTTTGGGCGGTTGATCCACGACCACGAGGCGCCACCCTCCACACCCGGCAGAGACGCAAGTACCCCGGCCCCTGCCACGCCAGGGGAGCCAGCGACACCGGGGGCCAATAACCCGCAAGATGAGGAGGTGGATGAGAAGGCCCGCGAGGCAAAGGACAAGGAACGGTGGGCGAGGCTTCGAAAAGTAAAGAGCTTGTTTGAAACAAAGGGCGCTAGGAAGCTGCGCCGGCCGCTCAGCAGGCCGGGAACATCGCACTCGAACAAGTCGGGCGCGTAAGTGGCCAGTGGATGTCTATGTGGCCGCCTGCCGTTGACTGCTGGGCTGTGTGGAGTGGTGTGCTAACCATGGCCAGCATGACGAGTGATTCGTTGGCGTGTTTGACAGCATTATGGATTATATAGCGAGGTTTCTAGATGTACAATAACTTGGAACGAGACTGTGGCTCTACTGCCACGGAATGTCATCAAAGGAGACTATTGGCCCCGTGTATGTGACCGCCTCGTCCTTTTTGGCCACCTTGTCCTGCAACGTGAAGCCAGCCATCTCCAGAATCGCCGCGCGGACGGCCCCCATGCCCGCACCGTTGCCGAGCTTCCCCGTGGTGTCCATGCCCGCCGCCGTGATAAAGACGTCCCCCGTCGCGCCCGCAGCCGTCCTCCAGCCGCCCCCTACCGACTCATTCAGGTCCCGCAGTTCACGGAGCAGCATGTCCGCCATGGCGCCGCATCTCGCAGGCCAGTCCCCGCGCCCGCCCTTGTCCGCCTTGGTCAGCACGACGAGCGTGCGTGTGTTCGCCTCAGCCAGCGTCTTTAGCAGCCACTCGTCCTCGGGCAGCAGCCTGCCCTTTTCCGACGAGAGCAGCAGCACCGCGCCACGCAGCATGTGCCGTTCCCGGATATACCCCGTCACGGCCTCGCCCCAGCTCGCCTGGCTCCTGTACCCGTACCCGGGCGTGTCGACGAGGATGAGGCTATGGCGCGGCGGGGCGCTGCCCTTGCGAACGAGCGAGGCAGGGACCTTGGGCCGGGGCCCGACGCCGAAGACGTTCATGAGGGTGGTGCGGCCGGGTCGCTGGCTGACGTGCGCGAGGGCACCGCTGCCGCCGCTGCGGGAGCGCCCGGCGAGGGCGTTGAGGAACGACGACTTGCCGACGTTGGAGGCGCCGAGGATGGCCACCTCGGGGACGTGCGCGTTGGGGGCGTGCTGCCGCGGGGAGGCGGACGCGGCGGAGTAGAGGAGCCGGCAGGGGTGGCGCTCGAAGAAGCGCTCGGCGGCGGCGAGCTGGTGGGACTCGCCGCGGGAGGGCTTCACGGTCAGGGGCGATGAGGGGGAGTGCCGGATGAGCTTGTAGGTGGCGAGGGAGCGGGCGTCGGCGGGGATCTTGGCGATGGCGCGCTGGAGGGCGGCAGCGTGCGCTTCGGGGGATGGGGGAGGCTTATGTTCCAGTGCCGCTTTGCGTGGTTGTGCGCCGTGGCTGGGAGCATCTTTATGTGCCGGTCGAGGCATGCTCTTAGACTTGGGCGTAGTCGCGGGAGAGCCAGACCGGTCGCTGGCTTTGGCCGGTGCTGCTCGTTCTGACGGGACATCATCCCGACACGAAGATGGGAGCTCCTCTCTGACGGTTGACCGCTGGATTCGTCGAGCCGCCCCCGGACGCTGGCGGATCGCGCGTGAAGCCGAGACGGAAAAGGATACAGTCTGGCGGCGCCGTAGAAAGGCCGGCGCGGCTGGGAGACTGCGCAGCAGCGCGAGCTGCCACGGCGGCAGCGACATTATGAGTCCATGGGCTGCTGTAATTTTTGGAAGCACCATGCAAGCGGCCGGATCGCTTGCCTGCTTGATGGCAGATGTGGGAGTTTCCGTTTCTGTTGTTTGGTGAGTTGAAGTTCGAGAAGCGAAGTGAAGTCGTGAAGTTGAAGTTGAAGTGAGGTGATTAGGTAATGATTCCCACCTCTCGCAAAACTGGCGAGCGACCTCACTCAGACTCACAGCTTGTGACGATCCGCACAAACGAGCCACACGATACGACTGCGTCTTTCTTCTTCACCCGCGGCATATGTTTTTCGCTCGAAAAAGGAATATATCTCGAGCTTCGAGCTTCTACATCCTGAAACCTGCATCTTATTCGTTATATTTTTTTTGTCGTGCTAAACGCTTCGATTCGAAACGGATACGATTTAGTCGACGACTCATAGCAGGACTTTGAATCACAGCTGCCACCTCTCCAAGATCTCACAGTCACCCGAGACAAAGCACTCGCCCCGACGAGACCCAAAAAAGCATACTTTGAAAAAGTCACCATTTATCATCAAGCATGGCCGTCAGCCTCGCCGAGCTCGACGCCCACGAGCAGCCCTCGGACGCGATGCGCGCCGAGTGGAAGGCCTTTTCCAAGCAGGAGCCCGAGGCCCTCGCGCGCGACCCGCGCATCGATGACCCCCGCCTGCTGCCGCTCGAGAGATCTGGCTTCCAGGCGACGGCCGCGCCGATCAAGCGGGAGCAGCTGGAGCGGGCGTTTTCGGATCTGGACCCGGAGTTGGCGAGTCTCGCGCGGGAGGATGCGCCTGTCTTGTTTCACCCTTTGCTACCGGGTAGGTTCATATCTCATGATGTGTGGTTGATCACACGACGTTGAAGTTGAAGTTGAAGTGGAAGTTGATGTTGACTGAGTGGGTGGTGATAGGCCTTCTTATTGTTCCGTCGCTTGTGCCGCCGCCGGTACAGGTCGCGCTGCTGGATAGGATGCTGCATCGCGATCTCAGCAATCCGGCTCACCAGACGAATATGCACCTGCACTACACCCTCCCCTATCCCGCTCCCGTCTCATCATCACCACCGCCCTCCTCCTCCGCGCCCTTTTCTTCACCTCCCTCCTCATCACCATCACCACACGCATCCTTCTTCTCCCTCCCACCCGACCAGCCCAGCACCTTCACGCCCCTCGACCCCACCATCCACAAGCCCCTCTCCGCGCGGCAAGTCCTCCAGCGACGCCTTCACTGGGTCACCCTCGGCGGGCAGTACGACTGGACCAACCGCGTGTACCCGGCCGCGCCGCCGCCCGCCTTCCCGCCCGACCTGGCCGCCTTCCTCGAGGGCCTCTTCCCGCAGACGCGCGCCCAGGCCGCCATCGTCAACTTCTACAGCCCCGGCGACACCATGATGATGCACCGCGACGTCAGCGAGGAGACGGACCGCGGGCTCGTGAGCCTGAGCTTTGGCTGTGATTGTCTGTTTATGATTGCGCCTAGCGGTACGTCTGCGTCCTCCTCGTCCTCTTCCTCGTCTGCAAGGGCGGAGGGCGAGCAGGGCGCGCCTGCTGAAATGCCGGACGGTGACGGGCATGACCAAGGGGCCGTTCGCCAGGGGGACAAGGATGAGGAGAAAAAGTACCTCCTCCTGAGGCTGCGCTCCGGCGACGCGATATACATGACCAAGGAGTCGCGCTATGCCTGGCACGGCGTGCCCAAGGTGCTCAGGGGTACATGCCCCGACTACCTCGAGAACTGGCCCGCCGAGGCCGACGGCAAGTACGCCGAGTGGGAGGGCTGGATGAAGAACAAGAGGATAAACCTCAATGTCAGACAGATGAGGGACTAGCACATTGACAAAACTACACGATGGCGATCCTCGGCCTTCTGTTTGAAGAAGACCAGTGAAAATATGATTCAGGCGCTCGTCGCTACGCTCGTATTAAATGGACAGCGGCAACCGCCTGCCATCTATGCTTGTATGTGTACACTGTACAACAAACAACAACAACACCCCCACGCTTATGCAAAGCCGAACCCCTGTGCGTTCTCGAGCGCCATGGCCAGGCGCTCGCGGAGGACCTCCTTGTCGCGGTACTGCGGCAGGAGAAGCGTGCCGTAGCAGGTGTACGCCGTGGGCAGGTGGCCGCCCTCGCCATCCTCCTCGCCGTTTTTCTGCACCACGAACTGCAGGTTGCGCATGCCCCCGACGGGCACGCGGTCCGACGCCGTGACGAACTCGAGCAACTTGCGCTTCATTCGGTCGTCGTAGCGCTTGACTATCGACCAGAAATCGCGTATAGTTTGATGAGACGAGTCCCAGCCGACATATCTCGCGTATCGCCTCAGGTCGGAAATGTCAATGTCCTGGATGCCCTCGACAATTGATTGCAGAATCGGGGGAGTCAGAAGCGACAGTGACTTTGCGTCCAGGCATGCGCGGAAGCCCCGCTGAAAGGCACGGAACTGAGGTCGCACAGACACATCAGTCAGGTACCGGATGTAGTCGCTCACGTAGTCGTCGCGGTTGGCGTTTGTCACCATCGGCGCCTCGTCGTCTTCGGAGGCCGTGTCGTTTCGCTGCAGGCCACTTAAGCCCTGTGGCCACGACGATTTTGTCTTTGACATTTCACGCGTGACGTCGCGCCCAAACGCCGCCACCGAAAACTCGTATGTGCGAGCAAAGACGTCCTCGATGAGGCCATCCTTCTCGTCCCACTCGAGTAGCGTCGTCAGCCCGCCGGCCAGCTCCGGCCACCCGTCGGAAATGTGGTACAGTTGTTCCACGGGCTCCCCCAAGAGCTTGCGATAGAGCGCCTTGGGAAACGTCACTGGCAGCGTCAGCCCGTTGTAGATGGCCAGAGACACTAGTAGCCCCATCATCTCAAACTTCCAGTCCTCGACCACAGATCCGGGGACGAACCACGCCATTCGTGTGCGCTCGTCGACAGTAAAGGCACCGAATCGAGGATCGAGGCACTCCGCAATCGCCATGCGGAAGAATTCTTGCTGCACGCCCCCAGAGTCGAAGCCTTCCTCGCCGCCGTTCTCGCCAAGATGAATCTTGAGTGGACGCAGGAGTTCCCGTTCCTGGCGCCGCCACAGTTGGTCAAACGCATCGCGGACGACACTGTCTCGCCCAATGGAGAGGACCAGGTACTTTGAGGAGGCAGTCCGGAGCAGATCCTGTAACACGTGCTTGTGGTGGGGATTCGTCACCAGGCTACCGGGGTCGACGATGGCGCTCATCCTCGTCTTGAGGGAGCTCGACTCCTCGAACGTTGTGCTCATCCTCGAAAAGTTGATGGAGCGGAAGAAAGAAACCAAGGCATCCGGATTGAAGAGGTAAGGATAGTCCAAGAGGTGGTTTCTCTGCCGCGTCGAGGTGAAGTCTGTCCAGGTCACTGGCATCTCCATAGGGTCCAGCCGCTCGGAGAAGTGGTCAACTCGGAACTGAACGTCTCCCAGAAGGAGCATGTTCCTGTTTTCGTCTTGCCAGGGGTTAGTGACATGGGTATCTTAGGGCGACAAGGGCCAATCTTACACAATGTGGCCACGAGAGACAGCGCCCCGTGAAAGGGGCCATCGCTCGAAAACTCTGGTCGGCCGTCCCACTCCCTCAGCAACACCGCCCTCGCCCAGTCCAGGAGCAGCGTCGGCACTCGTGTCTCGTGCAAAAGGCGCTCCGCCGGGGTAAAGTCCAAGACACGTGCCGGCTCGTTGCTCAGAAGATCCAGTTGGCTGAGCAGGGGTCGGAGGACGTCGAAATCGCTTCCGTTGTCACGCAGGCTCAAGTCGCATTCTGCAATGTCGGCGAAGCATCGGCGTGCAGTGATGGCACAGAAGAGCCTTCTTGCCAGCCTCAGAGCCAGTTCGTTGGAGAAAACGTCCTCGTACTCGAGACACATGGAAGATGGTTGTCTGGCTGTCGCACCGCTTCCCGCCAGTACCAGCCCGTGGGAGCGGATCCGAGACATTTCGTACAACGTCTTGGAGTCCGCGACGCATGGCGCTGCCGCCACCAGGGCGTGCAGGCAGACGGACATGACACACCCTGCCTCGAAATTGCTGAGCGCGTCAAGGTTGCCGCCAAGAAGCTTCCCGGCCTGGGACCGCACGCTCTTGAGCGACTCGGGAGGCACGAATAGGCTCTTGGCCGCCAGCCAGAGGCTATGTAGTACCAGACTTGGCGCGGCTCGAGTCATGCGGAGCATGCAATACCACAAGGTCTGCGAATCATAAAGCTTCCCGTTCCGAGTGAACGACTGGACGAGAGAGCGCGGGTCGCTGAAAACGTTAAAGATGGTTTGTTCGTGAAAGGCCTTCCACTGCGCTCGAGGGACGCTCTGACCGGGTCGGCGCCGCCGGACGAGCGATCGCGGCCGGTTTTGAGGAGTAGGGTATATCTCCGAGGCCAGCAGGGGCCCGTAGAACTGTCTTTCTGCAGTCCGATCTTCGTGGAAGGTGTCGCAGATGAAGTCGACCAGCTCGACGTCAAGTCGACTGAGGGACTGTGGCAGAGGGTAACCTATCCATGACGTGTCCTCTGCAGGCATGGCGGTAGTGTCCAGTTTGACTGGCGTGTTTGGCCGACTTCCGAGAGGGCTGTTGATGCTCTCCGCACCATTTTCATCTGTATCGTCCTGCCCGGAGGAGCCCGCGTCAGGTTCCCTGACTTCCTCGACTGCCGGTGGCGACAAGACGGGCACGTTCTCGAAGAAGGATGGTTTCGAGGGTATCTCGGGCACGCCTCTAGCGACGACGTTTGGCGCAAGCTTGGCAGCTCGTGGCCTCTTATCCGGGTGGAAACTGTTCAGCGGTGCACTTCTAGGCGTCGACTTGTTTTCCTCTTTAGTAGATATACCCTTGGCGTCCAGAGAACCTCGTCGCTTGGATTCGGGCGATGACGGAGCTCGGAGTGAGCCCTTGGCGCCTCGGGGCGGCTTAGGGGCATGCCGGGGCAACTCAGATTCATCCCGTTTCGTGCGGCTCGGCGTCCGCTTCTTGCGGTCGTGGCTTGTTGGGCTCGTTTCGCGATCGTGTTGATCGGTTTGAGTTGCTTTCGGAGGGCTGCGCTTCGCGACGGGAGGAGTTGCATGCACTTCATGCACCGTTGTCGTATCGAAACCCTCGGCATTTTCGGCGGTTCCCTCGTCGCTGACGTCGCGAAGAGACCGAGATATGTGGTCGATGCCCTGGGGCGTAAGCCACTCCAACATTTTGAATGCTGCAGTCCCGAAGACGGTTGCTGCAAACGACCTATGATCCTTCGTAGCCGGCCGCTCCGAGATGCTAAGCTTGGGATCAGGCCTCGCCGCGGGGAGGTGGCTCTTTGGATCACGTCCTGAGCCACTTGTAGCTTCGGTGCTGACGTTGCAGTGTCTGCGTGGTGAAGACGAACTACGGCGCCTTGCCGGTGCAGTATCAGCGTCGTCAGCGGCTTTTGGCGCACGCTTGACAGGCGCAGAGACATGACTCTGGCGTTTTTGGGACTGTGACGGCGGAGACGGGAACTTGGCGCCGAAGATGAGAGTGTTGGTGGCCGCGGGCGGCTCCTTGGATCGCCTGAGGTACGGACAGAGGCCCTTGTCGGGATTATCTTGGCTCGCGAGATAGACGGCTAGCGTCCTTGCGCTCGTCGGATTGTATCGTCGAATCGGCGCCTTGCCTGCAAGTCGCTTTCGACAGCTGAAACACGTTGCGGTCGAACACTTGGGGGAGTCACAGCCGTGCCGAAGTTGGACCACATATCTGTCGCCGAGTCAGCAAAGAATAGGACGGATGGGACTGGGTTTGCGCAGCCCAACGTACCTGTCAACGAGCAGCTGGAAGTCGTGCCGCCGACTGGCTCGGTGGATAGCGTAGACACGCCGCGGATTCTCGACGTCCCGAACCAGGGCTTGAAGCTCCGGGGGCGCATCGTCGGGGAGGCGGGCGAAAGGGGCCTCCTGCCAGAGCCCAGCCAACAGATCTGGCTGCTCTAGGACGCTGTCACCACGTGCCCTCGGTTGGCCGCCATGGATGGGCTCGGCAGCGTCGGCGCCGGCGATCGGATGCATGGCGGAGAGCTCGGGCTGCTGCGGCGTCGTGGTGGTTTACGAGTGCGTAGGGGAGTCGCGCATGCTGCAGGGCGAGGCGACGAGTGCGACGTCGTCGACCAGAGGCGCAGGTATCAAGTGATGAAGACGGAGGCGCTTAGACGGTAACTGATAGCGGTGAGGCGAGGATCTGGAGGTGCGAGGACGGAGAGGCGGCGATGCGGTGGGTTTAGGTTGACGAACGGTTGGGATGGATGACTTGCGGGATGAGGTGGGCGGCCGACGGACGCGGCAGTGGATGGTCGGTTTGTATGAGTACGGAGGGCGCGGCTGAACCGCTGCTGCGTGGCTGGCCGGCACCGTTTGTAGCGGGTACAAGTGGACGTTGCAGCGGCTACCGAAGCGCTGACGGACGAGAGGCACAGGCGCTCGCCTCAGCCGCAGCGCCGAGTGGAGCGGCCGCCGCCCAACGCCACCTGAGCTGCTAGACAACCTGGAAGACTGACAGCGCACCGCATGGAACTGTGTCGCGCGGTGACGTAAGGCGGGATGACAAACACGGGGCTCCTCAGACCCTGGCACCCAGTCCTTCGGCACCTTGGAAGGGCAAGGCGGCAAAACCTTGCAGCCAGCGGAGCCCAGCCCAGCCCAGCCCAGCGCTTCCCGCCCTTTCGTTCAGGCGAGCCCCGTGCCCGCCCGCCGCCAGTGCCCCGCCAATTCGCTGCCGTCACTGTGACTCTCTCCACTGCTGGAAAAGTGCTGAACCCCGCCACCAAAATCTTCGCCGCCACGAATATTATAAATTCCTACATCATCTCAGCCGTCGCAGCGCCTGTCTACGACGACCGCGCGACGCTCCTTTTTGCACCCGAACGCTCTCGGCTTGGCCTGACGAGCTTCCTCACGTTACCGCCTGCACGCTCCGCTCATCGCTGCACGGCGTCATCATGGCGAGCGCCAGCGCCGGCGCCGGCGTATCCGGCACGGCGGCAACCCATCCGTACACATGCAACACGTGCCAGGTTGCCTATCGCAATATCGATCTACAGAAGACGCACATGAAGAGCGACTGGCAGTGAGTAGCCTTGAACATGCGGATCCCCGTCTGCGCCGCTCTCCTACTGACGATAACTGCAGCCGATATAACCTCAAGCGTCGAGTTGCCTCGCTGCCTCCCATCTCCTCCGAAGTCTTCACCGAAAAGGTCCTCCAGGCCCGTGCCACATCGACCGCCGAAGCGGAAAAGGCCTACTTCGAAAAGGCGTGCGCCGCATGCAACAAGACGTACTACAGCGAGAACGCGTACCAGAATCACCTGCTCAGCCAGAAACACAAGCAGAACCTGTCCAACGCGGGCCATCGCCGTGCTGATGACGAGACCACGTCCGTCATCAGCTCCACGTTCTCGCTCGGGGAGCCGACCGGACCGTCAAGAGAGGAGTTTGACAGCGACGCCGAGGACGAGTTCAACCAGGTCATCGAGAGCTTGCAAAAGGCGACGGTCGCGGGGCAGCGGCCATCTCCTGTCAAGCGCCCGTCCAACCCCCGCCCCGTCGGTGCGGACGCGGAAAAGAACGGGGCTGGCGATGATGAAGGTTCGACGACAACTGGTGGCGCTGAGCCCGCATGGACGGTCAACTCTTGTATCTTCTGCAACTACAACTCCCCCTCAGTGGAGCTGAACGCCACGCATATGGAGCGATTCCACGGCATGTTTATTCCCGAAAAGCCGTATCTGGCCAACCTGGAGGGTCTCGTCAAGCATCTGCAGCGCCAGGTGGCCGAATACCACGAGTGTCTGAGCTGCGGCAAGATCAAGACGACGATATTTGGTGTGCAAACGCACATGCGGGACAAGGGCCACTGCAAGATCCCCTACACATCAGAGGAGGAACAGCTGCGAATCGGCGACTTCTACGACTTTAGAAGCACGTACTCGGATGACGAGGACGACGAAGAGTCTGACGACGAGGTCGCGGAGGGCGAGACTGGCGGTGCCAAGCTGGGACCGAAGCGACGAGCCAAGATTGTCAACTCTGATGGCGAGGAGATGGACGAGGACGAAGACGCCGAGGGCTGGGAGACGGACAGCTCCGTCTCGTCGCTCGACTCTGCCGATCTCACGGCCGTCCCGGCTGAGGGCCACATCCATCAGTTTGAGCGCCTAAGCAAGCACCCGCACCACTCCCGCCACGACCCGCGGAATCGCCACCAGGTCGACGGCTGGCACTCGAGAGCGCACAAGCACACGCACGCTGTCTTCTACGACGAGCACGAGCTGCACCTGCCGTCCGGCAAGTCAGTTGGACACCGGTCTCTCAACAAGTACTACCGACAGAACCTGAACAACTACCCGACGCCCGAGGAGCGCGCGGAGCGCCTGGCCATCGAACAAGCGGCCGGCTCGGGAGACGAGCAGGAGGAGGGCCGGGCCAACGGCGACCGGAGAGTCGCCGTGCGGGGCCGCGGCAGGGAGGTGGCGCCGCGCGGCACCCTGGGCATGGCGGGCGTGACGGACGAGAAGCGGCGCGAGGCGCGCAAGATTCAACAACGCGGCCGCGACGCGCAGAAGCAGCGGACCAAGGCGGAGGAGTGGTCATACGGCAAGCGGGCCAACAACCAAAAGACTTACTACTACCGCTACGATGGCGGCGGTTAGTCTTTTGTATATACGTCGCAGAATAGAGGCCTGGCGTTCAGCGAAGCGCTCGGCGTATATATTGCTCTTGGTCCGGACACGGATGTGTTTCGATGTGACAATGCACGGAATCGACTCAAATGCGAGGCAGGCGATGCTGAAGGCCAACTGCTACATCCATCCAGCACGTGAAGCTACCCGCTGCACATGTAATCCCACGTAGACAACCGATGTCATCTCTGCTACTAAGGCTTCACAAGCCGAGTGACGCACGACTCACTGGGAAAGGGAACTCTGAAAATGTCGTGGAGAGGGGTCGCTGCTAAAAATGGCTCCTCAGGTCCGTCGATCGTGCCACAGAAGACGCACAAAGCCACATGCGGGCCGGGGCCGTTGCTGCGCCGCGATGATCACCCCACGCCTCACTCTCACTCATTGCGGCCTCACTTACCCTACCCTAAGGGAACACCCTCCCCCGCCGGCGGTTCCAGAGACCCAGGCGCTTTAAGGTTGCGGCGAAGCTTGTGTAGCGGATGGAGTTCAGATATCATCGTAAGAGGCACGTAATATAAACGTAGAAATAAATCTCGAGACTTTTCTGTACTTTTTACGCCTGTTGAAAGTTCTGGACGCATCTGGTGTTGCCCCATGTGCAGGGCCAAGGCACGTAGATGGCGGGAAGCGACAGCGGCTCCCTCGCCAATTGAGGACTGGATCGACGCTTGCTTAGCCACTGCGGATCTGCAAGGCATGGCATTAGGTAGCCAAGCTGCATGGAGGAGGAAAGGTGCGGATTGCTACGTACGTTGGCAGCTGTCGGGGGCCGAGAACGACAGAGCACAGCGAATTGCCCCTACGGTTGGCGGCATGGACCCTCGAGGTTGGCGGCATGGGCCCTCGAGGTTGGCGGCATAGACCCTTGAGGTCGGCGACATAGACCCCTGGAGAAGGTAACCCCCGCAGCTCATTGAGGCAAAGCTCTTCTATATACTCGTGACTTATACCTTCAGTTATGATATCGTGAGGCTCCGGCTTGTGCCCCTTTCGGCCTGTACCGGCGGCGATATCAGTCTGACTGCTTGCTGCTTGAGCCAAAATTAGAGACCATAATTTATATTATGGTATAAAAGAGAGATCTGAGCCTCTGGCGAGGCTTCTTTAGATCCGGCAAGTCTCTTGTCAGCATCAATTTGGCTCCTGCTCGTCATCATTAGCCCACCTCACTAGCCGACGACCCATTCCACTCCGTCAGCCTCAACCACAACCATGCATACCACGTGGGCGCTCACATCAGCCTTGACCCTCGCGGCCAGCGCCTCCGCCGCCGTCGTGCACGCAGGCGAGATCCTCGACCTAGTCAAGGACGCCCCCGGGCTCGCCACGAGAGCCGACGTGCCCCGGGCGTGCCGCAACCCGGACAGCGCGCAGAGCGGCGAGCACTACCGCGCGCGGCCGTGCTACGACACGGTGGACGCAAAGTGGACCAAGGGGTGCTGCACCATGTGGACGACGGCGTACAAGTGCGCCGACTCGCGCAGCATGCAGTCGACGGCGGAGCTCATCAACGCCGTCGCCCAGCAGGTCAAGGTGGACAGCCCCGTGCCGCCGCCGCTGGCGCCCGTGTCGCACGTTGGGCAGTGGACGGCTGGCTTCTCGGACGGGACCACGGCCGTGGCCAACTCGGACCAGGTGTGGGCTGGGTACGTGAGCGGCATCCTGCACATGCAGGAGGAGGAGTTTGTGCCGTCGTGGGTGGAGTTTACGACCATCGACCCGGATAGGGATATTATTGATGGCATCATCGCCAACTGCGCCAGGAAGCTGTAGGTTATCATGCATATGGCTTTCTCTGTCGTCTTCAGTTCAGCGTGTCTCCAGTATGGATGCTCGGCTTCGCTGTTCCGAACGTCTTGCACGGCCTGTCTCTGGTCTCAATGCGATTGTGACAGCCAGCCACCGCCGGAGTGTGGAACTGGGGTTCAGGCATCCTGTGTCCATGCCCAGTTGGCTGGGCAAGGCCAAGACTGGCTTGAGCGTCAACTGGTCGCCCCTAGCTGCACCTTAAATGATCGATCGGCTTCTGCAGGTGCATCGATCTTGAGCTTGGCCATTTTGGCACCACGCTGCACCGAGCTAGAAATGACCTTACCTCTTGCAATGGCGGCGCCAACAACGTTCATATAGGCACCGAGCCCTCGCCAGCGTGTAATTTTGTTCCAAGAATCCTTCGACTCCTACACCATACCGTTACGTATTCGTTTGTTGGGCTCTCTGTCGGCAGGCACCTGACGTGAGAGCTGAGGCTGTGTTGCTCAGTCAGCCCTAAATAGGATCACCTCGTGTCTGCTGCAGTGCCCATGGTCACGGCGATGCGCACGGGCTCGGATGCGAACCTGTTTTCGCTGCCTCGGGCGGGCCGTGTTGTTGTGGTTGTTGGTCCAGGAATAGCCTGTGTTGTGTTTCGACGCATGCAGGACCGCCTCCTCATTTCCATCTCGCGGGCCTGCGTCCTGAGGCATTTCGTGGGCATTTGCGCGTGCGACTGAATTTATTCTGTCGAAATCTTTGTTAGTCGATCTGGCCGATCTATTGCGTAGACGAGCTGGGTTGCAAGGTGCACTGCCAACGGTGTACACAGACCCTCCTTGCGAACAAGCATCCTCACCGAGCATAACTTGAGCCATCTCACGTCGAATCGTCGCGGCTCACAAGACCAAATGGTGCGATTTCGCTTGCAAGACGCCCTTCCGCTGCTTGCTGCCTCGTCCGCGGTCGCTCTCGACCCCGACTTCTCTTTTTACCCAAAGAACGCGCAATCATGCCTCAAGAGCGCGGCCAGCAAGTCGAAATGCTCCGGCTCGACGGCCAAAGAGCTCAATACTTGCTTTTGCGGTAACAAGGGCAATTTCATCACCAACACGGCCAAATGCCTGGGCAAAGAGGACATGGCCGACGTACAGAGCGTGTACGCGACAATATTACAGGCGTGTACTGGGTCGAACACGCCCATGAGCGTGAGCCAGAGCGATTTCATCAAAGCCGCCAACGGACAGGACTCGCCGACGACGACCATTACGACAATGCCGACCAGTACGATATTGCCGACCAAGACCAGCTCGACGAGTACGCCTGCAGGCGGGGCCCAGACGGTGACGGTAACTCCTACAACAACGGGCAGCGGCGGCGGCGGGCGCCTGTCAACCGGCGCGACTATTGGCATCGCCGTTGGTACTACGCTGGTGGGCGTGGCGGTGTTGGGCGGCCTTGGGTTTCTGTTGTTTCGACGGCACAAACGGGGCAACGTCGAGGAGTCACGGCCGATGCTCGTGCACCCCGAGTACTACCACCACATGACGGGGACGACGACGACGACGACGACGTTTCCGGCCAAGGATCCGTCCATCGACCTTGGCCGGTTCAGCGGCGCCACTGATTCCAAGTCCGGGGCATGGTCGCCATCGTCAGGCCCAGGGTCCGCGGCGCACGCGAGCCCCGGGCCGTATCCCAGCGCCTTCACACCGTCGCCGCCACCGGCAGACGGCATCGCGCTCGCGGAGCTCCCGGCTGTGAGAGATACTTCCGAGGTGTTTGAGATGGCCGCAACGAGTGCTCGCAAGGCAAGCGATGCGCCGAGTAAGTCGGGGACACATTCCGGAACATGACGGAGGGCGGCTTGATGACGAGGGGCTTCGTCGTGGAGGCTGTCTGTGTTGAGGTGCGCATAGACGAGACTCCTGTGGCTGAGCAATGTGCAAAAGGCGCATCGGAGTCCCGAAATGGTGCAGATTGACGAGCTGCTACGATGTATCAACGATGCAATAATGAAAGGCCATGTACGAAGTAGGGAATGTGTTCTGCGAGACTGTCGTCTGTGATGGTAGTATTTGCCAGCGGCATGTTTGCGGTGATGGGTATCGACCCATGCTTTCAACGGCGGGCATGTGCCGGTATCAATGCATGCAGACTCCAATGCCGCAATGCCACCGTCGACAGGAAATGGTGCTGCGGGGTTGTCTCTATCCCGACGCGTGAGGAGTTGCGGCGACGCAAACGCGGGCGATTGTGCGACGTTGTTAAGCCACCCGGCTGGGACGGATTTCCAGGGATGACAGGAGCTGGATTGCCACTGAGCAGCTGCGCGAAGGTTTTGGCGCGCTGACGCGAGACTGCGGCAGGCGCTTCCGTGAGCCGAGGTTTCCAGGTGTCCGGCGCGCCTGCCACGGTGCCACCGGTGACCGGACATTTTGGCAAGCGCAACCCCGATTGCAACGCTCCTGCTTAAGCGACGCCAGCCCCCAGCGCATCGACCGAATTCCGTTCAATCAATTGATCCCAAGACTCAACACCCCAAGGCGTTTGAATCCACCTCTGAATTGCCATCGTGCCAACTGATACGCGTTGTCTGCATCACCCCCCTATCACTCATCAAGATGCCAGCCGGAAGAAAGACGTTTGTCCTCATCACAGGGTATGTTTGGCATCCTCTGAGAAAGAACGATACTGACACGTAACCACCCAGCTGCTCGCCCGGCGGCATCGGTCATGCCCTCGCTCTAGAGTTTCACAAGAGAGGTGAGAAAGCCTCGCCGCGGCTGCACTGCCGACGAGCCGTCACCAACTGACGGAGCCAGGCTGCCATGTCATCGCCACGGCGCGCAACGTGAGCGTCCTCAAGTCCATGGCCGACATGGGCATGAGCGCCGTCCAGCTCGACGTCACGGACAAGGCCAGCATCGCGGCCTGTAAGGAGGAAGTGGCCAAGATTACCGACGGAAAGCTCGACATTCTCATCAACAATGCGTGAGCCCACCCCCTCAGCCTAGCCGAGTCTGCGGATACTGACACGCTCATGCAGCGGCCGCACGCATACCCACCCCGCTCTTGACATGGACCTCGACGACGTCCGCGCTACGTACGAGGCCAACGTCTTTGGCCCCATGCTCACCTGCCAAGCCTTCATCAGCCTGCTCATCGCGGCCCGCGGTCTCATTATCAACATCTCATCCGTGTCCACCGTCGTGCCCTACCTCTTTGGAGCCATCTACTCGTCAACCAAGGGCGCCATCAATGTCTACTCGCGCGCCCTTCGCATGGAACTGCTCCCATTCAACGTGCGCGTCATGGTTGCTATGACAGGCACTGTTAAAAGCAACATCGCCAGCCACTTCGACCGCGTGCTGCCCCCGGACTCGCTGTACAGGCCCGTCGACGACATGTTCCAGAAGAGGTTGACGTTCAGCCAGACCAACGCCACCATGCCTACGGATGTGTACGCCCGTAAGCTCGTCACCGAAGCCCTCAAAGGCGAGGGTTGGTTCGGCGGCTGGATCGGCGGCACGCGCAACGAATTTTGGGCCGGAGGAAAGTCCATGATCGGATGGATCTCGACCCTTATGCCCGGATGGCTGAGTGAGCTTCTGACGGCGCGATTCTTCAAGATGGCATTGATGGCCAGGAGAATCCGCGCCGCAGCTCGGGCCAAGAAAGACTAGGAGCGTCCGTCGTTTGCAAATATTCTTGTGTATAGTTGGTCAATACCCCCGTGACCTGAACATTTTCAAGAACGAATGTAAGTTGCAGCTCATAATGGTGGACAAGTGAACAGTCTCACGTCTTAGGACCCAACTTGAAGTCCGTACATGCTTTCGTTGAGCCACATAGACTCGACCACCACTCCCCCTCGTCCTATCATGTCAGACGTCGCTGTCGCCGTCCTCTGCGCGCCTTGCATCTCGACCGTTGTTCCGCTATCGTCCGTCTGCGGAATAGATGAACCCCTCCGGGGACGGCGACCTCCGCTCAACAGGCCGAACACCTGGCAACGTCATCAAGGCGTTTGTGGTCAGCTCGGCAGGCAAGAGTTTTATTCCCGTGTAAAATCGACGGACGCAGTCAGACAAACCTCCCGCCTGTTCTCAACGAACGGTCTCGTCGTGACTGGACTTCAGCCACCCCGTGGAACGATCGGTGTCCCCGAACGGCTTCCGGGGGATTCCACTGGCGTAGTTGATTCTTTTAGTGTTTGTTCGTCCACACTGGACATTCCGCGCCGATGGCCGACAGCGTCCGCCTCCCTGCCCGCTCAACGCGCTCGATGACATCCCCCCTTATGTGCGACAGACCCGACCCTGGGACCCTTGGCTGAATGTCTGCAGCCCTGCAGCCTCCTCTCCAGCCTGCCCAATGGGCGCCGCCAGAACGATCCGATATGGTGTCCATCTCGTCGGCTCTTTTACGAAGACATGCAATGGGCATTTCCGCCTTGGGCAACTTCAGCTGCGGCCGTTTCAGGATCCCGTAGATATTGACGCCCGTGACTTCAGCTTAGACGCGTACGCCCGTATGCCCCTAACCCGGCATTACTCGTCGACGGTGGGATTTAGGGCAGGTAAGGCTTGGGACGTCAAGGCAGCGGGCCAATGGGTCGGCGCGGGCGTGGCCGCGTGTGGTCGCACAGGAGCCAGGAGTTGCGTCGTGGGGTCGAGAATGGCTTCGGGTAGCCCGAACAGGTGTGAGCCCAGGTTCCTCTGATGAGACAATTCCCGTCGAGAGGAACGGGCCTGCCCAGTAGGTGCGAGTCAAGTGAACTTCCGGTGTGAGGCTGCAGCCCCGGAGAGGCTCTCCACCCCCAACGTGGTACGAAGCCCCCCTGCCGTTGTTGCTCTCCCGCTGTCACCAGCGTGTTGTAGCAACCAACTAGTCCTCTTCTTTTACTCCTTTCCCCATGTTACATCACCGACTGCACATGCCTCGCATGCCCGATGTTAACACCGCCGGCTAGCTTTCTTCAATTGGTGTAGGTGTTTTCGGGGCCGGGAAGCTCACAGAAGTGTGCTGCCCGGGTCGGCTTCGTCTTTGTCAAGTGGACAGCGGCAGCGGCGCAGGGGGGACTGGAGAGGGAAGAATCGGTGAGGCGGCCACGGGCCTCGCGGACACCCGACGGCGGGCGCCGACGTCACAGCGCGGGCGAGCACCAGTTCTGCCTGCCACTGAGGCTTGCAGCAGGAAGCGGCGGTGTCGGAGTATCAGTCTGTATAGCGTCAAAGTCCTCGAGCTTCAGGTTGGTGAAGGTGACCGGACCCCCTGTGCGACCTGCGCGGGGGCCAGCCCGCAAAATCGGGTATGCTGCCTGGAGGCATCGACGGCCATATATATCCATCAACGTCGTTGCCTCTGACTGGGCATGAGAATCGTGGGATACTCACAGCAGCATTGAACCCGATGAGCACTTCAACTTGCACTCACTTGTTCCTCCCTTGTCACCCCGTCAACCCTTTTCGAAGCGCACGGTACACCATGTCCCCAAGCCCCGGTGAGAGCCACGCACAACATAAGCCAGCAAAGCGAAAGCGTAAGCGAGGCCCATAAACATGTTTTGGCTGCTTATGGTTGAGACAACACAACAAGTCGAGTGTCAAGGCCACTGGCTAAGCTTCAAACTCACACAGGAAACCGGGCAGTCTCAACTCTGACGCCAGCCCAGCTCGAGAGAAAGAGGGCCAATGACCGCGAGACGCAGAGGGCGATCCGGGCCAGGACCAGGGACTACATCACATACCTCGAGCAGGAGGTGGAGAAGCTCAAGATCCAGGAGGCGTCGAGCAAGACCGACGACGCCGCGGTCCGCCAGCTGGTCCAGAAGAACAAGGCCCTGCAGGATGAAATTGCTCGGCTACGGCAGGAACTCTCGGCGAGCGTGACGCCGACTACTCTTGCGTTCCCACCGCGGCCCGTCGAACATGCCGCAGCCGGCCCTAGCATGAGCGCTTTTGCCAACAACAGTCCCGACTGGGAGGACAGTCTCATCACGCGGACTGAGAGTGTCTCTGCCTGGGGGTCCATGACTTCGCTATCGTCGCTGGCGCCGCCGCCAGACACATCGAGCGGCGGCGGCATTGGGGTCCAGCAGGCCGGGCCGAGCCGTCAGTACGTCGGCCTGCCCACCTGCAGCAACTGCAACCGGTGCGTTTCTGGGATCCAAGTCGTCCACGCGCCCGTCACCGCGTCACTCACGACGGGGTCGTTCCCGCCGGAGACTGTCATCTGCGAGGACTGCCTACACGTGCTTCACAACCAGGGAGGGCTAGGGTCGTATAATGTCGTTAGGCGGGGTATCTGACGTGGCATCATGGACTGGATATATACAAATAGCGGGATCACAGCACAGCGTTTGACCCAAGCCCCCTATCGTCATAACGTCCCGTGGAGCAAGCGTCCGACCAGGAGCGAAACGCCTGCGTACACGGCAGCGGTGACAACCGTCTGGCCGTCCAGGGTCCCGTGTCTCGGTGACGCTGTGGACTCGGTATAGACTCGGTAGCCTTCGCCAGAGGCGCCGCTCATGTAAGTCTTGATGTCTGGACTTGCAGGGTAGGAGTCCTTGTTGAAGGTGGAGTTGAGCGTCACGGCGCCGACCACATCCCCAGTTTCCAGACGGATGTGCGTGTCCACCGAGAGCTCCCTGAGCTTATCCAGCGACACGAGGATCTGCCTCCCGCCGCGGGCCCAATCCCCGTAGCCGCCGTAGCCAGAGTGCTGGCCGTAGCACAGGTTGATGCCGTTGCCCCTGACCGTCATGCCGGGTAGCAGCGCGTCCCACTTGTAGCACCACGAGTTGGCGTGGTCGTGGCCGTAGAAGAGCCCGACGAGGCCCTCGGTCGCGGCGAGGGCGCGCATAAACGGCACGTCCTGCCCGCCGTACGTGCACGTCCCGTCCTGGCGGCCGTCGGCGCACCAGCCCTCGCCCTGCTCCACCACCTCCTCCTCGTTGATGCCCGGCTGGTAGTTGGAGTCGACGCCCTCCTCGGACTGCAGCGCGCCCGTGGCGTTGATGGGGATGTGCACGAAGGCGAGCGAGGGGATCACCCGCCCGCCGTGCGCGCGCGTGATGTTGGCGCGCGTCGCGTTGAACCACGACACGACGCTGCCGTCGACCCAGTTGGGCTGCGGCCCGCCCTGGTAGTAGAAGCCGCCGCGCGAGTCGAAGAACCAGAGCAGCAGCTCGGGCGCGCACTCACTCGCGCTCGCGTCCCCGCTGCCGTTGCTGCAGTCCGCGGCGTACACGGGGAGGTAGTAGTTTGTGGTGCCCGAGCTGTTGGCGTGCACCATCTTTTGCGTGCGGCAGCCGGTGAAGTTGCGCTCGCGCTTGAGGATGTCGTCGCCGTTGATGTTGGGCTGGTGGTCGTGGTTGCCGTACGTCGAGGCCCATGTGAGCTGGCGCTCGACGATGGGGCCGACGACCTGGTCGACGTAGTGGGTGCTGTTGTGGCGGTACGTGCTGTCGCCGTTGATGAGGTCCCCGTTGAGGACGACCAGATCCGGGCGTTCCGCGTCGAGCACGGCGCCCAGGACCCGGACCGAGTTGCGGTCCTGCGCGGGGCCGTCGCCGGCTTGGTCTATAGTGCGTGTGTGTCTCAGTATCAGCTTCAGCCACTCACTATCAGAAACGCCAGCAGCCCAGCACCGTCGCCCACACAGACGGATGCTCGGCACGAGGGGGGGAGACACCACCGGGCGAATGAGTGTAAGTGAGTGATGGGGGGCGACGACAACGTACCTTCGCCAAAGTGAAGATCTGAAAAGACGGACAGGTGAAAGGTGCCGTTGTCACGGAACCGGAGCGGCGGCGGGGGATCGGCCGCGGCACGAGGCAGCACGGCGGCAGCTGCGGCTTGATGGGACAGGCCGGCAGCCAGCGCGGCCACGAGGAGGAGGACTCTTTGACATGTTCGCGGCGGAGGCGGCAGTATCATGATGCCGACAGGGCGAAACAAGCTGGTAGGCTACTGTATGCCTTCATGTTTGAGGGCTCCCCACAGGTGGCGGACGGGTCGTCGCCGCTGCTCTTATAAGACGAGAGAGACTGCTGCCAGACGCGCAGGCCGTGAGCTTGCCGTGTGAAACGCCAAGACCGTTGATGGCACCGGGCCCAGTGCTCTCTCTTGTATCGATGACGAAGCTTTCCGGAGCATCCAGAGTGGCGGAGCGCAGCGAGCGAGCGAGCGAGGGGGGGCCCGACCCGACTCGACCGACCGCTCGCGGCATTCCGTACTCATTGCATCGCAGAGTTCGGGAGCGGGAAGGGGTGCGGGAGGGTACTGCTTCGAAGGGGAAGGGTAGGGGAGGGTTAGGGTGGGAGCCGACCGAGTGCATCTCCATTCTCGAGAGCAAGGGAGCCCCCAGCCCAGCCCAGCCCCAGCTCGGGCCGGATGCACTCAGATAGTAGCCCATCAGACCAGGTCAGGCCAGGCCAGACGGACGAAACGAGTAGGCATCAATGCCAAGAGCGATCCGGGGGTCAAGGCATTGTGCCGCCTCGCCACGCGTTCCCCATCCCATCCCATCCCATCGAGTCGAGGGCGGTGATATCCCCGGTGGCGTCAACGGTTCCAGTCTTGGCCTGCCGAGCCTCCCTCCGTCTCTCGCTCACCTTGCGGCACAGCTACAGTTACAGCTACAGGATAGGTCTTGGCATTCGAGCTGCGGAGAGAGAGAGCTCTTGGCAGTTTTCTTGGGGGAGGGATGGTACTGGACAGTAAAAAAAACAAAAAGAGCTCAGGCTAATGGCGGCCGGTCTTGGACAGCTTGGAAGTTGGGTCCGGAGATCGGGGGGGGAAGGGAGGGGAGCGGGCTCGCGCGGGAGTGGTGGAGGCTGAGACAGCAACGTTCAGCCACGGCGAAGCCCAATGCCGCACTTGGGTAGGTTGGTTTGGCGTGCGTGCCGGAGACAGCCCAGCCAACTTGCTAGCTAGCCAGCTAGCCGGCAAGAACGCTCTGACCTTGCTGGAGCTGCTGGCGCTGATGCTGGTGTCTGGTCCCTGCTGCTAACGGGCGGCGGTAGTTACAGGAGCGCGGTTGCTTGCAGAGCCCTTCATCAACCTCGTAGTTACGACGAGGTGAGCCGAATGTTTGTTGGCTCGGTGTGTGCACAGGGACGCAGCGGCTGCGGCTGCAAGTATCCCTGGTATCGCAACATGCAAGGTGTAGTCGCCTCATCGCGTTGTTAGACGCCGTCGATTACACCCTCAATAATCCATTACTAACCCAGAATGCCAAGACCGCAAAGCGCCTTCAGCCTGTGAGACGGAGCGCGCGCATGCCAAGAAACTGTCGTGACCAGGCGGAGCGGCGAAGCTACAGCTTGGACTCGTCATGGACGTGACGTGTGTGTGGCCTGGGCGCGGCGCGCCGAGCCGGCACAGCAACGGCTAGGAGACAGTTACTGAGGAGTAAACTTGGTTATCGCGCCGCGGATAGTAACGTGCTGGGCGAGGCAGTTACTCCGGCCGTGGTCGCAACGAAGAGGGACCCAACTGCCGGTGGGAGAGACCCGCTTGAATGGAGACGCCCATCTCTCTCTTGCATCAGCAACACCAGCAGCACCTTTCTTGCAGGGGGCAGGATTGGAGGGGACCCCCCCGACCCAGGCTGTCGGAGGTAACGAGTCACGCGACGGCCCAAACTCCGTCTCTCCAAACGGTGTGCAGCTCCGTGGCATTGAGGGTCTCTTGGGGTCCTCTCTGTATGCAGCGAAAGACCTACTAACAACGTGATCCCAGTCCTTGCCGGTGCTGCAAGCTGCAACGCGTTCCGTCTCCGATTGGGCTGAGGTTATCTTGGCACATCTCGGCGTTGGGTCCCATCGATCCATCGCCGACGGAGAGCTACCATTTCAATTGCCAATATTTGACCCCACGGCGCAATGCTTAACTCCGGACTCTGTTGCTCCGAAACATTTGCGATTTCAAAACGGTGATGATTAAATCCGTGAGAAAGAGCGGCAGTACTGTACACATGCAGGATCCCGCCGCTTCCCCTTCCGCGTCATCCTTTTTCTTCCTCCCTCCCCATCCAAGAGGCCTCCCAAGCATATCATCCATATACGCATACATGTAGAAACTCATGGTGTCGACTGTCGGATGAGAATAAGCCCCCCTCCCCGCCTGGTATCGTAACAATTGGTTCTCTTTCTGTGCCAGCCCGCCCGTACCTCGACCGTCTCGTCTAATCGATCAATTGATCTCAACCCATGCTCGAGCGAGCAAGTCCACTTATCTGTGAGCGTTGGCGCAAGTCCGGCGTTCAGCCATCAGCTGGATTGGATTGGTCCTGGCCTTGCAGCTGACCACCGCGCCGCCGTCAACTTAAGAACCCTCCTTCTCTCCCCTTTCAACCTCTCCTCTTCAATCAAATCTGAAAGGCGCCCAGGACAACGGCCGAGAAGAGCGTCGCCCCGACGACAACACCGCTCAGGCTGACACCGCCCTGCGGCCGCAGAGCGGGCGCCGCGGAATCGGACTTGGTCGGGCTCGCGCTGCCAGCGCTGCCGCTATCCGTCGCGGACCCGGTCGTCGACGCGCCGGCGACGACCGACGCCGAAGCCGTGGCGTCGATATTGCCGGCGCCCGTCTCGGTGGCCGTGGCCGTCGTGTTGCCGCGGCAGAAGACGCTGTTCCAGGGCGCCTTAGCCTTATACAAGCAGTCGGTGAGGTCGCCGATGCTCTGGCCCTGCGCGAGGCAGTACAGCCCGCACTTGTTGTAGTAGCTCACCACCTGCGCGCCCTTGCAGCAGCTCTTCATCAGGTTGACGTTGTTGTCGGAGAAGGGCATCGCGCACGAGGCGTCGTCCGTCGGCGGGTCGTAGAGGTTGTGGCATGACGCGGTGGGCGAGGCCGTCGCCGGCGCGACGGTGGTGGTTGTGGTCGACAGCGACGTCATGATGAAAGGTAGGTAGGTTGACGCTGGCTGTATAATGTAGATGGCTCTTTTCACGGACAGTCTTTCGATCTGGCTCTTTTTGTTTTCGCTGAGAATCGACAGAAGAAGAACTCAGTCAGAGGGCCTCTTGAGCGATGGACGGCCAGGCCCATCTATGCTTAATATATGCTGGCCATGCAAAACTTCTATTCTTGGCGGAACGGGGGGCCAAGTCTCGTATTCCTGATCCGTGCCACTTTTTCTTTTGCCCGCGTGCCGGGTGAAACAAACAATGTCCATGGCTTAGACAGGTGTTTTGCAACTTTGCTTGTGCGACTGTTTCCCCTCGGCCGCCTCAGTGTGTCAAGCGGATGCCGGCATCAATCTCGAGACTGGTGATTGCTCCGTGCAACCTGAGCTATCCCCTCAACTTGCCCACTGCATATGAGGAACGGACTGACGAGCAATGCCCCGCCGCGCTCGATGCTGCTGACGTTGCGATGGAGAGCATAATAAGCACTGCTGAGCAGTGCCACGCGACCAGCTGCCAGGATTATTGCACCCGTTGGCTCAGTGATGATGACGCCCAGGTGGCGCGACCCCCGGGGGGCCGTGCAGAAGGAAGGGGGCACGCCTGCTTCGCCTTGGTTTTGTGCTCCGCCAGCGATCCATTTATACGACGCGCGACAGCTCATCGATCCACCGTCCCACTGCAGCTGCGCGCGCACTGCCTCAAGACCGCGCCGATGAGCCGGATCGAACAGGCGCCAACGGCGTGGAGGCAGATCTTTACAGGATGGGGGACCCACGAGTAAATATAGGAATCGGAAATGCCGATGTTTATGCCACTTCGTATATGGCCCATTAATGCGTTTTGCATGACTGGACGTTGACGTTCAATCTCGTTTCCCGATTGGGAAAATTGCCCAATCTGGCGACGACAACCTCCGTGTCGGATATCAGCGCTCACAGCGTGTGCCCGTCGGGTAGACCGCGAAACGCCTGCAGGGCACATAAAGGAGTCACGAATGCCCCATGCCCCAAACGCCACCGAGCGGTATCATGAGTGTTTCCTGTCATCCCGTGGCGCAAGCTTGGACTTCACCCGCATATTGATGTCTCGAGTTGGATCTCCTGTTGCAAGGTCCCATGTGCCTGCTACTTTCTCACCAGAGCGGTTTCCGCTAATCGCAGGGCACAGTCGAATCACGTTGACATTACTCAATCTATATCGACGGAACCAAGGCTTGCAATTGAGACAAACTGCGCTGGTCGACATGAGGTGTCTCGCTGCCTGAGCGTGTCGGCGGTGCGCAACCCTGGGCGGTACTGTCACAGGGGAACACGTGTTCTACGTACAAAAGGAAACATCTTCTTGTAATCGGACCTGTCGAGCATTCCCCGGCTTGCGCGTAGAAACTGGCGTCCTACGCCGTCGCACTTCAATATCCTTTCTCGGTTCAACGTTGTGGGGTGCATGTCGATATCAGCCTGACGCATTCACTGCATGCTGCTAGTGCTAGTTGAGCTGACATCGCCGCCGAGTTTGCATCCAATCTTGCATGAGGCATACGAAGTGGCTATAAGACCCACAGAGCCGATTGGTGACGCATGCGATGCCTTGTCTATATATTGGGCGGTTTAATACCCTGCAGACGTGGCGCAGCTATGCTCCTGCATCAACTCGACCTTGCAGATTGTCTCTTGCCACCGTGATCAGGCATAAATAACCGAGTTGTGTATACGAACTTCACGTCTTGCATGTGAAGTGTCGCGCAAAAAATGAACCTGGTATGGGAGGGCACGACACCATGGTTACGCAAAGGGTGCTTGAGACGGCTTGGTACGCAATTGCGCTGCGACTTGCAATTCGAGCACTGAACGCAAGCTGGGACGCCCAGCATGATATCCGTGACGTTGATACGCGCCAGTCCTTTCTCCCTACCTATGGAAATCCAGCTCCAAATAGACTCATCAGGAAGGAATGAACATCTCAAAAAAAAAAAAATCTCGCTTTCATTGATCGCAAGCAGTGTCACGCACCTACAAGTGTATCTTCATTTTTCTACCTTAAAGCTGCCAGGGTTCATGCTATCTGACCTACTTCACAATTCGTCGGACAGTATGAACATCAAACGCGTTCTTTGCATCTTAAATGCAGTGGCTTTGGGGACAGCAGCTACCCTCGAGGAGGCGACGGCAATGGCATTCCGTCACAACGAGAGAGCCAGAGGCGTGAGTGGGCAACAAATTGCACAGGCACGCTAGAAGGTCTGAGCACTGATTTACCAGGCAGAGATGCTATGTCAAGCAAGAGTGTATCATTTTCACAGCAAGAATTGCCGCGCACCCAAGAAAGCAAGGGGAGTTGTACGTGGCGTTTGGAGAGCGAACGATTGATTGCCCAGAAACGCCTTGGGCCATGGTGAGTATATCAAGTAGCCTCGGCTGGGCCTGTGATCAAGGCGCAGTGTGCTAATGTGCCTGGACACGTAGTGCGATGAACCAGATCGCAAGGGTAGGTACTGTATGGTGTCTCCCTACAACATCCAGGACGCAGTCTGTGGGCTGGATAGTTTCAATCACCCTTCCGGCGAAGACTGTTAGTCGACCGATGGGAGGAAACGCGTTCGGAACGTCGGCAGCGGTAGAGATAGGAGCAACGAGGGGCAGAATTTGCGTAGATTAGCAACATCAGTCTAAGTATCACGACACGGTATTGACAATCACGTATCTATTAGTTTCTTAAGATAATATCCAGATTTTATAGCGTTTCAGTTACATACACAGGCGCTCCACCCAACTGCCACATCCTCACCTGCCATTCCAGTGACTTGCTTCCGCAGAATAAAATAGCCACGCTGTCCGCCACCTGTTTGACTCCCTGGTCGAGGTCTTCCCGGCGCATTCTTCTCTGCAGGAATTCCACGTGAACGTTATCTTGCGAGTTCAGTGTCTCCAATTGATTGCCCTGGGGAGTGCCCGCGCCTTCAAGGCTTTCACGATCGTCCTCGAGCCAATCTCGGCCTGTAACGAAAATGCGAATAGACAACCACTCATTATGATTCAACCAGTTTGAATGCAGTAAATACCTCATAACAGGCAGTTCCTCATGATTGATGCTCCATAAAAGACTGGCTCTCCGCTTCCATTCTCTGCACGATCCCATGTACGGAAAAGCGGCGATGCCTATGCCACCCGCCACGCAGGTCAACCGCCCGTCCCCTTCAATGACATCGGCAGGAAACCCTCCGCCGATGCCAACAACAGCGGCGGTCAACGGGCCATGAGGCCGTGGGAGACCCAAGAGACTGGTAATCCGGCCATTTCTGACCAGCACTGACACCGATGTTCTTGGTCTGGCACCATGTTGTAGATTGCAGACGGTAAACGTGAGCTGGCGATCATGCTCGTCGAAGGCTGTTTGTCCGTAGATAGGATCAAGATCCGGCGGAAACTGTAAAGTGATGGACTGAGAAGGTCGCAGCTTCCGCAAGGAGATGGAGTCTTTTGAGACCGAAAACGTGTGGACGCTGGTGTATGGTGTCAACCGAAGCGTTGATTCTAAGACAAGGGTCTCATTGCTGCACCCGTGTTCGAGTATCATTGTGAGGGGTTGATGCAACTTCTCCATTGAATGGGACGAGCAACAAATGAAACACCATCAAGGCCCGAAGAGAATACCCGCTGCTCTGCCCATTTGCTCGGTTGTACTGCCTTTGGGCCTCGATTCATTCGAACACCCGGTATCTTGGGGCTTGAGTCTGGAGGCGGAACCGCCGTCGGCGCCACGATGATCGCGCGGCGGTTCCGTCTAACGAACGTCTGCCCAGTGGTCATTCGGCAAAGGCCCCTCACTCTGGTCGCACTAAATTGCACTATTGAGGGCTGGGCGTTCGTCAAGCGTCTCCTGACAAGTGGGACCTTTCAGGTCAGCTCATCACTTCACAAGCCCAACCAAGTGATTTGACGGAGCCTTCGACTTTAACGCAGTAGAAGAAACACACGACGGCTTTCGCAAACAGTAACATTGGTACCAGGAATAATTATGGGTCTCTGTCCCTGTACTCAACATCACATCTTATTGCACTGGTGAACTATGTTTGGCAACTGTTCGGCTTGTTGAGTGCTTTCTTGGTGAACCCCCGCCAATGCTAATGGAAGTGCGCCTCGATGGCCTCACAATTTGGGCACCTGGATCAGGTTCTATCACGAATAAAAGCAAAACTTCCCGTCTTATTCACTCTGGGTAGAATTGTGGTACAACTGTCCAGTAATTGACGACGAAGAAAAGACGATGCCTTTCCCGAGTCTTAACAAGCCGACCGCCACGTGACCACTAACATGATGAGCGAACATGGGTCCACCGGCCTGTATCCTATGAGGCCCGTCAGCTCCTCACAACTTCACCGGTGCAAACGATCACAGCTGCAAGCCGCGGAATTAATCTCAAGCCCGCCACAATGTGCTGCCGGCCCCAAAGGCAGCCCCAGCATGGAGTCCTCATTTTATGTACAGCATGGCACTCAACAACGAATTCAGAGGCATGCTGACGTAGTCCAGACGATAAGCGCATGCAACCGATGTCGCAGGCGTAAAGCCAAATGCGACCCTGGTAAGCGCTGTGCTGTCATCTGCGGTTTGTTCTCTGACAACAGCCCTAAAGGTATACCATCTTGCGCCCCGTGCCAGAATACGAACTCAATTTGCGAGTATACCGATTCGCGGACCAAGCAGTCCTACCCCAGAGTGTACATCGATGAACTTGAGGAGCGTGTCGCTCATCTCCAGGCCAAGATCGAACAGCTGGGTCGGACTGCCACGGAGGATTCCCAGAATGGCACCCCAAATGAATTATCCGCTAGGCCTGGTAATGAGACAAGTATTGACCGACCGCATCCAGACTTGGTCCATCTGGAAGCAGGCGGTGATGCACATTTCCTTGGGACGTCAAGCGGTAAGTCAACGCGCTCGTTTGGCAGTATCTCGGCGCCGCTGACAGTGACAACAGGGATGTATCTCGCTCGATCCGTATTAGAATCCGCGGGTCAGGGTCGTATAGACTTCACTGCTGGCGAGTCCCGCAGCCTGTCGGAAGATTCGCAGCAGGGAGCCGATGGGGACCTTGCGAGTGACTCTGACCTTCACCATGGCCATTACCCGCTGCCTCCAAGAGCAACCGTTGAGGGCCTCGTAGAGGTCTTCTTCGCCCAACTTCAGATTCAGTACCCAATCCTCGCCCCTGAAGAGTTCAACGAAGCAGTATCACAACTTTACGACCAGCACGAATCAGGGCAGCGTCACGCCGAAGATCCTTTCACGGCTTTCATGCTAAGCATGGTTCTTTCTATCGCCCTCCTCCTAGTTTTACACAAGAGTGCTCAGTCGCGCACGATGTCAGAGGGCTACAGACTACATGCCATGTCACAGCTCAGCTCAATCATGCAAATCAGGCACTACCGCACTCTTCAATGCCTGCTACTTCTCTTGCTATCATCAATTCTCAACTCCAAGTCTGCGCCGATGTGGTACATTTCTGGTCTCTGTATGCGAATGTGCATTGACCTTGGCTTCCATTCCGAGCGCACGATAGACCAAGCGGTTCCCGGCCAGGCAGCCTTGGTGACCAAGGACACGAAACGCAGGCTCTTCTGGGTAACATACTCATTAGACCGCGCTCTGGCGACGACTCTTGGCCGACCATTCTTTATAAACGACGACGAAATCGACGTGGAGCTCCCAGAGACGCCCGTTTTGCAAATGGCGAGATCCAAATCGGCTCACTGGTTGAGGTTGCAACGTCTTCAGAGCGAAATAGTCAGCCTAGTTTACGCCCCTTCTGCTCTAACGGCACATCCGACTGCTGACGTAGCAGGAGTCGCGACTTGGCCGGCAGATATAACTGCACGACTCACCGCATGGGACGAAGAAGCTCATGGCTTGGCCGATGCGAACGGCCACAACACGGAATGGTGGCGGTACTACTATCATAACGCTCTTCTGATGCTTCATCGGCCTCTCTCAAGAAGCTCCCTGGCTTCGTCTGACTCATCGACGGTCTCATTCGCGGCAGCGAAGTACATGGTGCATCATTCATTCATTGGTGTTCACAAGAATCTCGCAAACTTCACGTGGCTAGACCTTCACACGCAGCTGACATGCGGTCTCACTTTACTCTTCCTTGTGTTAAACGACTCAGTGGTCAGGGCCGAAGCTCAAAAGGACTGGCTGTCCTTCAAAAGCTGTATAGTCGAGTGGGAAGCAGTATTGGAGAGACTGGGAACTCGTTGGGGTCGGATGCGAAGAGCCAAGCAGGTCTTGACCAAAATCGCAGACGCAGCATTGGATATCGTGGAAGGGCGGGTTAGAACGAGCGCATTGCGGCAAGCTCGATGGCAGCCCAGCAACGGGGAGGTCAGTTCCAGACAAGAGTCTGACACACCTGTCTTCTCGCGTCCACGGCGCGGCTCGTCATCGTCGAGACTCTTCCAAGCCGACCCTTCGAAATCCGACGAGCGTCTCAGGACTACTCAAGCGATCGCAAACAACCCCGACATGTCAGGGCCAACATCCTCACGGCCCACTATGGATGCCGCATCTACCTGGCGAGGGTCGAACTCATTCATGCCAGACTTTGTGCGGTCCGACGAGCCTTGGCAAGATTCACGGCATCAGCAAGCGTTCAGTGCCGCTAACGAGACGTTTACCCTCGGCTATATGTTGGCAGATGACGACGCCTGGCAAGAGGCTGGCGACGTAGAGGCGAGCCAGATATACGTTGGGGGCTTTGATCACATTCCGCTTGGCCTCGACTCGTTTGGGCTTGACTTCCCGGCACCCATGGCGGTGCCAATGGATACAGCGATCACAGACAGCGTGTTGAACTTTTTGGAGCCAGTGGACTTCTCGGATTGCGGGAACCAGGCGAGTCAAGACGACCCGCCAACAAATTAGCCACCACATAACTCAATAGGATTCTTCAGATTTGGTACGAAAGTCCAAGTAGTTCCAAACAAGGCGTGCCACAACAACACATCGTCAGTCTCTATGCCCTATGGGAAGCCTCAATCTCAACGTTCTCCACCTCGTGCTTTTCGTCAAGTCTCGCCTTTGGAGCAGTCCCGGACTCAGCATGTAGGTTGCTGTTGCCGAAGTGAGAGTCAATTTCCTCCAGGGTGAGCCCTTTCGTCTCTGGGTACATTGTGTACACGAGGACAATGGAGAAGAGATTAAAGGCCATAAAGACGAAGAAGGTCTTTGGTCCAATGTTTGCCACGGCAACAGGCCAGACTTGAGTGACGATGATCGATCCGAGAGAGCCACCGGAGGCCGCGATTCCAAGCCCCTTGGCACGGACATGAACGGGAAAGATCTGCCGCTCTGTTAATGTCGAGATACGTATAGAAGCATGGGCCTGGGTCGTGGGGGCATTGGAATATACCTCTGCAGCATATGTCCAGGCAGTAGGCCCGAATCCAATCGAGTAACCGAGAGAGAAGAAGAAGATGAAGAAAATGCAGGTATAGGAGGCTGCAGTATTCGAACCATCGGGGTATATGGTCTGCAATGCGCCGTTGATCTACAAGATTTGACTTGTGAGTAACATGAGGCGTTTGGGGCGGATTATCACATTGATCAAGCTCACCATGAGACTGAACGCCATGATGATGGCGCCAATGCCGAGTGAATGACGACGCCCTATGCGATCGACGAGGAAGAAAGCGAGGATCACGCAAAAAGCCGTGAAAGTGCCGTCGATGCCGCTGGCTAGGAGGCTGATGGATTCGGAGGCACCCGCGGCGCGAAAGTTCGTGGGTAAGTAATACCTAGTCATATATCTGAGCGTGCTGTATCTCACGAGATGGCCGTACTGGCGATGTTACGTACCGAATGCCGCCTGCACCACTCATCTGCTGCAGGAACTGCAGTGCCCAGGCACGCCACAAGCGAGCCCACAGGGCTTTGTTCGTGACAAACACCTTGGCGTTGGTGATGCTGCTCTCTCTGTTCCATAGGATGCTGGAGCGGATTTCCTCAAGCTCCGACTGCACCTCTTCGACATTGTCTCTGCCTCGCAGGGCAGAGAGTGACTTGACTGCGGCTTCCTCCAAGTCATGCTCCAAAAGCCATCGAGGGCTAGCAGCTTCCGTGTCAGTAACTGGTGAACGACCAAGGTGGAAGGGCGACCGAACCTTTCATGGAGGAAAGGGGCACCGACGCAGAAAACGAGCGCTGGGATGAACTGCATTACAATGCTGAGACGCCACTCTAACTCGACACCGCGTTTTGTGTTCCAGAAACTGTAGCCGTAGCCCGTCCAGAAGGCGATAGCAATGCTGAGTATCCAAGTCAGTAGGCATCTTCAATGCCGCCTAAAACATACAGGGCACTTACCCAAATGCCTATGTTCGTTGTTAGTATGCGCTTCTTGGCTGTGACGGAGGCATTTAAAGTTGGGTTGCTTACGATTCCGGTCTGATTCAATGCGAGAATTGCACCTCGGTGGCGGGCCGGGCTGATCTCAGACAGATATAGCGGCACGGCGGTGGACACGACGCTCGTGCCAACTCCGGCGATGAACCTCCCCACGATCATCATCGCCAGGTGGACGGCCCCGGCTTGAAGCGCAGCGCCCAAGGACAGTACAGCCACGCCGGCAACGCCCGCCCATCGTCGTCCAAGTCGATCGTTTACCGGCCCGGCCAAGGCCGCGTATGATAGCCAGCCACCTGCATTCACTTAGCACTGCTTGGGCCATTGAAGAGCCTTCGAAACATACCGACGGCGAATATGGCAGTGATGAGGCCCGTCTCGCTGGAGCTGGGATGGTGAAGGGCGTCTTTAAAGCCTGGGGCCACAAACACGGTGGACAAGATGCCAATATCATAGCTGTTTAGTCCAGTGGTTAGGGCACATGGCTATGCGTTGCGATTGCGGGACAGGAATGGAGTCTGCGCACCCCCAGAAAATGGATCCCATGGAGAAGCACGCCGCCGCCAGGCTGGCGTACCAGGTGAGAGCGCCACTGGTCTGCTCGGCCATGGTGATCCGCAACCTGATCGAGTCTGATATGAAGTTGAGCGCGCCCGAGATGCTGGGCTAGGTGGAGCAAGGTGAACGTCGGGGCATGAGGCGTCTGTTGCTATCATGATAACCGAGCCTCAGCAGTCTGCGTTCGATATATATGTCGTCGCTTAGGAGGAACCATCATGCCGTTCGTGTCGTTGTCGACTTGTGGCGTCAAATGATCGAGGCTGGCATTTCGCGAGCGTACAGGGGCGAGGACATGGAGGTCTGGGCAAACGGAGGCCCCGACAACGAAATCTGATGTTTCCAACATCAGTCGAGTGCCCCGGACGGCGGTTCCGTCTCTCGCTAGCGCGGCCGACAAATCTGGGGACTTCGGTTTCCCCAAGCGGGGAATCATGCGCCCCAGCCTACCCCCGCGTTCGAGTTGGACCTCATCCGACTACTAACGTAGTGGGACGCGGATCACGCTACTTTGCCGAGGGATGAACACAGCGGTTAATTTCGCGCTGCTCTCCGCCTTGTTCATCAACAACGCCGCTTCCCAAGTCGAAACCCAGTGGCTCGTGGGCGGCACGGATGTGCCCACCACCGGTGCTATCTCTGCTCGTTGCTGTCGTTGCTGTCGTTGCTGTCGTTGCTGTCGTTGCTGTCGTTGCTGTCGTTGCTGTCGTTGCTGCTCGCATATGCCCTTTCCCGTTGTGACCAAATACGCAAGGGCATATGTCCAAATTGCTCCTCTCTTCGAGATAAAGCCCAAATTGGTAATCGACGGCTGGCACCTGCTAACAGCGACCGCTCTGCTACTCAGCGCGACCCCCATTGAGGTTCCTCAATCGACTTCTGGAGCGGGGAGCTGTGATGGCCTCCATATAGTCAAAAAGGTTTGACGTATTCCGTCCCGCCAGATCATGCGAATAATCTCCCACATCCAGTGGCCTAATATGTCACCGGTGGAACGATGATGAGATATTGCGTAGAAGCCGAGGGCATGGGCAGTTCCTCTCTGATACGATGACACAAACACCATCCGGCTCGTTCCGAAGTATGCGAGATAGTGCAAGCTTGGTGGCTTCGACCGGGATCCGCCCAAGGAGCTCGCAACCTGGACGAAATAAGGCGGCTTGGGTAAATCGCTGTAGATTGTATATGGTAGGGGGGCGTATTCGGGAAGCAACTCAGGAAGGGAGTGTTTTTCTGGATATATCTTTATGGTTATATTGATGATCCGAATGTGACATCTAGATGAGAGGCTGCGGGTATGTCCGTTGCAATCAGGCAATGTTGATGGCTGAATGTAGAGGGAGGAGGCGCTTGGCTCATTCACAGGCTCCGGTGTTTCGGGGGGTTCTTCGTCGCAAGGTGCAAGTGTAGGGGAGGAATCGAGTGGTTCGTCGGCGAGCTCAGCGATAAAAAAATCATGCCCAAAGATGTCCTCGTGTAGAGCGTCCATCGCGGCGGAAAATGACATGCACAGTGTAGGAACCGGGTATGTATTGGAAGGCGATCCAAGAGCCACGTCACATTTTGAAGGAGACGTCCAGTTTTTGGAAGGTTTCTAGGTATTCAGGCGCAGGCATTAACGCGAACCCAAAAGCTGATGCTGTCAATAAGTTCACCGCACAGGAAGCCATCGCGCCCGCATAAAGTTCGCTGGGACTGCGAGCCTGCGAAGACCGCTGCAGCCACCCAGGACGCTTGGCACCATACAAAGAGAGCTAAGGTTTCCGCTCGCCGCGGGCCACAGAGTCATTCTCATCATCACTTGCTCAGTCGACGGACTGAGATGGCCCCAAATGTTGTTGCAGCCCGCCATTGTCGGACCGCGTAGCGTTTCAGCAGGACTTGTCGGCGCGACAAGGTGTGAGAATGCAGATGTCCGTAACTGGTAATACGTATGCTCTTCTCTTTTCCTGGTTCTACGAATTATATGCTCTGACCTCAAATATGCCTCCTTCAACGTTGCTGTCGCGATTAAGTGCCAAAACCTCGACGGCAATGCTTGTAACGCGAGTAGGTGCAGTCATGATTGCAACCCGACGTGACTGGTGGTTGTTGTCCTCGTGAAAGAGCTCAGTCTCACTTCCTTCCACTGATACATCCAAGATACGCCATTCCTTGACGCAGAATGGCATAACGCGCTCGGGATGGCCGCGGAGAACCGACTCTGCAGCGTGATCATAGTCCGTGTCGAAGTGAACTACGACTCGGCCAAGTGTGACTGGAGCGTCCCAGGTAAACTTGATCAGCCGTCTCTCCCCACAGCCGCTATTGGGCACCCAGCAGTTTGTTCGCTTCGTTGGTCGAGGTACTCCGTTGCGGATATTGGCAACGCCCCATGCTCGGATCGGGGGATCTGCTGAAAGCGCAATGTTGTGTCCCATGGGCCTCCGCACAGGCGTCCATCTCTCGAACTCATCAACTCCTATGTCTTTGGGCGGTGACTGAGTGCATTCATGCTCAACAGTCATCAAACCAGACACGCGCTTCAGTGTCGTAGAAACGGCCACTGAATCGTTTTGCATGATACATAGAAAGACGTACTGCGCTTGCGGATTGGGCACCGTGAAAGCCACTTCTAAGGGATTGGATCCCGGTCGCAACTCGAAGCTGAGTGTCTCCAAGATCTCCTCGGGGGTATAGTTGTATTGCTTCTTGGAGACGCGAAGCTGGACAGTCAAAGTAGTATCCGCGACCGCTTGGGCCGTGATATGAAACTTGGGGATCGGCCCAGCCTCAAGCGGAATCATCTGAGCAAGGCTTCGGACCAGTACCTTCGGTGGGCCGTCAGCTGGCAGCCTGTCTAGCTCGAACGTGGAAGACGGTTCCAGGAAGATTGCCTGGCGGATCAGGTCTTCGGGGTCTTTGAGCTTGTAGCCGGGTATGTATTGTCCGAAACGCATCAGCTCAGTCTGAAACATCTTCATGGTGTGCTTCTCCAGAAGTCGGGCTGGATCAACAGACAGCTTTTTGCACATGGACGCGGCCATCCCAAGGGCGTTAGCATTCGCACCGCAGGTCGCCATGACACGGGTCGAAGCGAACGCGACGTGCGTTGCGGAGATTGTGCGTCCGCCGTACATGAGGTTGGGGACCTCGGCACAAAGCATGGATGAGAACGGTATCTGGTAGACTCCTAACGAAGTGTCAGTCCGCGATGCGGGGGGCACCAGTCAAGCAAGGCCACACACCCTTGGAATGCCACTGAGTGCAGCCGTCGACCTCTGAGAAGACGCCGTCTGCTGGATGCAGATCAAGAGACCAACCTCCAAAAGATACTGCATCGGCGTGAAAGCGCTGCTCCACAATGTCTTGCTGTACCATCATGGTAGGACCAACTACTCAACAGTCAGCTTTGACCCAAGGACCGATGAAGTTGGAACTCACCGAAGCGCCTGCTCTCGCGTTTGCCTGGTATGGTGCCGACCCATTCTAGCGTGAGATTTGCGGCCTCTGGAAACCGTCCTGAGTTCTTGAAGTAATCCCAAACGCCGTATACGACTCTCCACAGCTCCCACTTGATCTCCTCGGTGTCATGAATGGTATCCAGTCGCCCGCCGTACTCAATCCACCACAGGTTGCAGCCCATCTCCTTTGTGCTGAAGCTGCGGAACCGGGGAATGGTATTTTCCACATCTTTGAGAGCGTACGACGGCGCCACGAACTTGACAGGCTTGCCAGCATCCTTGGTGTAAAAGTAGATGGAGTGGCCGAGGAGGTGGCCGTACTCGGATGACGGCGCGAATCCCTCGCCAAACTCGTCGCGGCTTTCGGCACCAATCCTGAACGGAGCCCCGGCCAGAAACGCCAGGGCCCCGTCGCCGGTGCAATCCGCGTACTGCTGGGCCGTAATTGAGATCATCAAAGATGACTGAGACGAAAAAGCGGTGATGCTGCTAATCCGACCTCCATCCTTGTTGCATCCAACGAGTGCTGTGTTGAGGAAGAGCTGGATGTTGGGTTCATCATGGACCTTTTCCAGCAAAATTGTGTCCAGGATGAGAGGGTTGCCTTCTGGATTGCGGTGCAGGTTCTCCAGGAGTATCTCGTCGACAAGGGCTCCTTCGCGGGCGTAGCGATTATTGTTAAACATGTGCGAAGTCGCGCCGAGAATCCAGAGGCGGACTTCGCTGGACGCATTGCCTCCCAGCACCGGCCGGTCTTGGATGAGGACCACGGAAATACCATTCCGTGCGGCGGCAATGGCGGCGATGGTCCCGGCAAGGCCACCGCCGCAGACGCAAAAGTCGCATTTCACAGCACGATCCTGGAAGCTGCGGGATTGCGCTGCGTCCTCCCGATGGAGGACGGGGTCCCTGCTGATTCTCGCGGGCGCCATGCAGGGCAGGTATACGAAGTAGGAAAGGCTTGATTCGGGGCGATTGCTGGAATAGATCTTTTACATACAGGTATCCCCGCAAACCGCAACTATTTTATAACATGGCAGTGTTTGCCTCAAGGCACGTCACACCATCAAGACTGCATCGTGGGTTGGAAATCCCGCGGACAAGAGACTGGAAGTGCCCACAGAGACGGGGCCTCCGAACTCCTCCAAGTGAGGTTCGTGTGCGATGGCCCCATTGTGTCGGTCCTGCTCCAGCTGCAGACCACAAGCCACTTTGTTGCCGGCGGCGGTTCCGTCTCACTCTAATACCAAGCGGCACGGCTTGCCAGAAGGACGGTTGTCTTAGTTCCACTTTTGGTCGGACGCTGGCAAGGTCGCCCTGGCCCTGGCAAGCCTTCCTTCGCAAGGCCACAGCACCTGAGTGGGAATAACGGCGGGGTTTTGTGCACCTCCGAGGGCTGCGCCATCCACGCCGCTTACACGGAACCGCCGGACGGGGATACGACCAACCTCTACGTGTGCCGGCTCAGCAGCTCAGGATTCGCTAAAACGTACTTCGGTGCGCAATAGGGATAGGGCAGTTCGACACTTCCACGCCGACAAGTGTCGTTGATGGACATGCGCGGAGCGGCTCGCACAGCAGGAGTGGTAAATTACGCGGCTGCATGAGATCGACTTCACGGTCGTATCCAACCGGGATATTTGGAGGCAGTGTAAGAAGAAGAAAGTGCTGCTGATGTGACGCTTATCGATGACTGGACAATGGCCAGAGACTGGGCGAAAAGTCAGATGCAGCGTGAGTTGCTTCATCAGAAGCAGTTGGAGGCTTGGCTGAAGAGACCTTTGAGGCTTTGACTGGTTTTAATGGACCTGTCACTTGGCACGCCGGAAGCGGCATTGAAGCGTACGTATTGACCGCGCAGCGGTAGAGTTGCGAACTTATTAGCACCTAACAACGTCGCGTAAGCTCAGAACTCAATCGTGCCCCACTGTGAGAGTCCAGATCCAAGCCGACGGCCTTTCTTTCAAGCCGCACAGTGAATGCCCCTCCGCGCGTGGTCCTTCTTGAACCGATGCGGTCAATGATAGCGTTTCGTCGTGGGAATCACCCGTCAAACGCCCGCGCTTCTTTTTTAACGTCCATGCGGACACGGCAGCATCTGCCGGGCTGAAGTTTCACGGTGACGTTTGGATGAGCGAGCTAATGCAAGGGCAGAACACCACGCCAAAGTTGTCCTAAGAAGGTTTCAGTCGGTGGAATTAGTGTGTGAGACATGCCGCTTTACTTTTTCACCCCTATCGCGACTTATATATATCCTGCTCTGTGCGGCTCAGTGTTCAGTGGTAGCTCCCAAGTCAAAGTCCAATTTCAAGCCATCACATTGTGAGATCGTTGTTTGTCGATTTGCCAATTTTGCATCATGTTGCGTTTTCTCAGCCTTCTGATTGTCGCCCTGGCGAGTGTCGCCCTTGGCCAGCAACAGCAACAAAAGACCAGCGGGTCGCCGACGAATGGGTCGCCCCTTGATCTTACCGCAATCAGTGCGTCGGGCGGAAGCTCGACCTTTGAGTGCTGGCGACTGAATGCCACCTTCAAGTCGCCTACGGGTGCGCAGACGGGCCCGGTGGGCGTGCCGCTCGGCAACCTCTCGGCGACGTCTTACTCGATAATCCCCGCCGGGTTCGACGGCGGCCTTCACAATGCGCCCTCGCGACAGTACGTTGGCATGTTACCAAATGGGCTGGACATGACACTAACAAAGACAGGTTTGTCCTCTTCGCTTCCGGCCTTGTCCACATCACGTTGCCGAACTCCACCGACAGCATCTGGATCAACGGCGGCAAGAACGGACTCATCATCGCGGCCGACACGGCGGACGTCTCGAAGTACGGGCACCAGATTACCGCTGTCGGCGACGATGTTGCGAGCCTGCAGATGCCGCTTGCCCCTGGCCGCGACTTCGATTACGAGGTGCTTCACCACGGGCCCTGCAGATAAGTGGAATCATACATAATAGGCGTCGGACAAACGAACCACCGGCACATATTCCAAGGATTTAGCCTTCACTTGTATATAGCTTGGCGTTCCGACACCGGATCGTGGCCACATATTCTTGTACAATCCGATGTATAGAGACAGACATATTGCAGGTAGCTGCCAGGTAGCTGCAGGTGCCGACATGGAACAAAGAAGACGCAATAGAACCACATCTAATGTTGAGATCTAACGCACCCAACGTCGAGGCTCGGTGGAGTGCATTCGAGGCCAATATCGCGGCACCAAACAATGAACTCATAAAAATACATTCAGGAAGATGACTGCACTTACACAAAGCTGCAATATGGCATGTTGACGGTATGGTGAATGGTGGGGTGATTGGTCGCGACTCGCAATGGGCTCATGGTGACATGGTCCATGACTCCATGGATGCGGGAGGCGCTGGGGACGTTCGTCCACCCTTGCTGACCGACCCGCTGTGGGCGGTTAACAACCCCGAGGCCGTCTCACTCGGAGTTGCCCCACGCCTTCTCCATTCTCCCTTCACTCCAGCCTCCACGCGGGGCCGCCGACCGTCAGTCGATGAACTGCATCGGACAATGCACAGCAAAGAGGCATGCCTTGCAGTTACTACAACGTGATTTCGGAACTATAGGGGTTGCTCGTTGCAGGTCGCGTAGGGGACGGTTCACGCCCGCGGCCCATGACTACCGAGGCGGATGTGCCGAGACGCCGGCCGCCGCTCCGGATCTCGCAAATCCTCTCTGCATGTTCCTTCTGCAAGGGACGGAAGCTCAAGGTACACGGCCTCCTTAGCCTTGTTGATACGGCTGCAGTCGCTTACCTTGGCTAGTGTGATGGTGCTGCTCCCGCTTGTGGAAGCTGCTTGAAGTTCGGTCGTTCCGCGACTTGCTCGCTCTCGGCCAGGGGATCACAGATGACTCGGGATTACCCTACTCACCTTCAGCAGCGCATCGAACGTCTTGAACGCCAGCTCGCGCGGCTCAAGACCCCAGGTGCCCCAAGCCTCCAGCCGGACGTGGCGACGCAGGAGACGTCGCACACTGAGGATGCAAGCCCTGAGTCTTCGGTGGATGCCCTAGTTGCCGACATCGCCGCCTTGCCTGCCCTCACGTCCTCATATCCTCTGACTGGAGATGGATCTACATTTTCGACGGTCCTTCTTGGGGTCGCAGGGCAGACTGTTCCCACCAGAGACGCCTATGAAAGCGGAATCGAGCCTGTAGACCTTCCACTGCCCGAGTGGAACGCGGCGCTGAAACTGGCGAAGCATTACATCGCCCGCGTTTACCCACGACTTCCGTTCTTCTCCATCCAGGGATTTTGGGTCCAATTTGACCAAGTCTTTCCGCCAGACGAGCCAGCCGCCGCGACGGAGCCGCCGGTAGTTGCTACTGCAGGTCGTCAACGAGCTCCGGCACCACCAGTCGACATCGGATACAGCAGGTTCACCGTTCTACTAGTTCTCGCCATATCTTCTTCCAGCCTCTCACAAAGCGCCGACAGCATCATATCTCGCCAGGCGCAGCGGCTGTTCAACGCGGCTCTCGAATACCACAAGGCCGCGATACTGCCGCACACGATAGTCGGGGTCCAGTCGCTACTTTTCCTGATCCAATATGCCACCCTTAATCCCTCAGTCCTCGACGCATGGTACTTGATCGGCGTGGGGATGCGCAACTGCATCGATCTTGGCCTGCATCAAGATCCCCGTCCTATCGAGTCCATCAGCCCGAGCCTTCTCGAGACGCGCCGCAGGCTCTGGTGGAGCATGTACTCTTTCGATCGTTCAATGAGCATGGGCTGCGGCCGACCGACCGAGATAGCAGATCCCATGATCAAGGCCGAACTTCCTTGCTTTCGCATCGAGTCAACAGCCAGCGAGGATGACATCCAGGGCTACTTGCAGCGATACCGGGGATTGCAGCTGCAGTCGAGGATATATGAGGCTCTGAACAAACCGCCCGCAGGAGTGAACACCGACGATGTCATCTCCAATCTTTTAAAGGAGTTGCGATCGTGGCAGAGTCAGAATTCTCCAGCACACAACCAGCTCCCGGTCGAGACAGAATGGCATATGGGAATGATGTTGCTGCATCGACCTTGCCGACTGCTGCCCGAGCGGACACTTCAGGAGTACAAGCGCCTGTGGGATGCAGCTGTCGGGTTTGTCACTCTATATCGTCAGCTTGTCGACTCCAACGGCATCTTCTACGTTCACATTGCCTGCGAAAAGGCGTACTGGTCGGGGCTGGCTATTCTCCATGCCTTCTGGAAGCTGTTTTATACCCCTGACGGGGAGAGTCCTGACGGCGAGAGTCTGATTGTGCGACAGGCGGACCTGTGGAAGGCCATGCAGCACGTCATGGCCATTCTGCGGGTGCTCAGCGAGCGCTGGGACAAGGGCAGGCTTTTGGCACAGCGCTTTGAGGCTGTGAGCGCACGTGTCATGGAATGCATTGAGGGCAGTTCACATTCTGGGGACGACGCGACGCTTCCTGATGAGGTGGCTCAACTCCGTCACTACGTGAGTCTGACGAGCATATGGTCGGCTGGTGATAGCGGCAACTGTCCACAGGACCTCGAGCTGCGCGGGATCGTTGCCACAATGGCCCACTGCTGAGCAAACGCCAATGCTGAGAACAGAAGGGACCCTTGGTGAGACATGCTCTGCTGCTGCAAAAGGCACTGGAGCCGCAAGACCGTGAAGAACAACAAAGTTGAGGCTGGTGTTTATTCACGTTCGGGGTTGTGTCACAGGGACCGCCATGGTCAGCATGGGGCCGAGTTCGTCCGGCGTTGACGCGGGGAGCAGTGGACCTAAAACGCCACACCACATTTAGGCACAGGCGACGAAGTACATAAACTCCCACGATCTGTCGGTCTGAGAAAGTGCCGTCTCATGGGGGCTTTGTACCAACACCCCTCACGCGTTTGTGACCTCGCGTGCTCGCCCTGAGAGGGGAGGAGGTGCAATCTGATCGTCGCCATATTGACTGCATTCAGACTTTCGAAGTACATGTAATGCGTATTCGTACAGGTATTTATCCATGCCCATTTACGAGAAAAGCCATGACGCTGACCTCCGAGCAGGCCGTCCTCAGCCCCTCATTCAATAGACACTACACTCTTCCTATAAGAGAAACTCAGTCACAGCCAGGCAACATGGCCACAAAGACGACTCTGCCAGGAGGCAAGGTCCACGACCTGCCCGCTGACCTCGCCGCGGCTCTCATGGACGACGAGACCGCCAAAGCTGTCTGGCTGGACATCACGGTGTTGGCGCGCAACGAGTTCATCTGCTGGGTCAGCGACGCGAAGCAGGCGAGCACCCGCGAGCGCAGGATTCGCCGCACAGTTGAGGAGCTGAATGAGGGCAAGCGCCGGCCGTGCTGTTGGCCTGGATGCTCGCATCGCGAGCGCACTGGGAAATAGATTGGATTCAGCGTTGCTACATGAGCCTACCGTTTCTGATGGCCGTAAGAGCTGTGCAGATGATACGTTGGCGCATTTTACGACTGTTCCACTCATTATCCATTACATTACGCAAAGTACAGTCAACAGATGCTGCCCTAGCCACTGCTGTTGACACTTTGGCAGTTTCTTGCTAGTAAAAAAAGGGTTTGCGGCGTGTACGGCATTGCTGCCAGTGTATATTTCCAAACGGGTATCCAATGCAATGATGCCACCTCAAACTCCCTACGTTACCAGCCAATTGAGATCAACCAAGCTTCTTCTCATCGTCTGCAAGTTGGAGGAGGATAGTGGTCCCTCTCCGTCGCCGCAATAACCACATTCCACGTTCCGTAGGGGCCCCCAACCGTAACCTCAATTTTGTCCGCGCCCGGGCTCGCGCGAAGCGCCTCCGCAACAACAGCCTTGATGATGTCAGCCTCGTTGTTTGACTTGCTACATGACGCTGCCTTGAGTACCCCGCCAGAGATCATGCCCGCGATGGCGACTCCACCCGCGTTGGCCCAGAAGGGTTGGTTGAGGAACTGCATCAGGCTCTGGCCCGCCGGCTTGGCCCTCTCCGCGGCAGCGACCCAGCCGGTGTAGCCGGCCGCTATGGTGACCTTGCTGGCGTCCTTGACGCAGTTGTACACGACGCGGCATTGTTTCTTCAACTGGTTCCCACGCAGCCTGGAGGCGAAGTCGCTGAGGCTGCGCTTCTCATAGTTTGACACTGTGTTGAGAGGTACGTTGGCTAGATGTAAGACTGTTAGCGGGACTGAGTCGTAACAGAAAGCGAGCAGAGAAAGTTGACAATACTCTTTTTGTTCCACTTGGAAATAGGCACACCGGTGAAGACGCCCGGGCCAAGTTGTTGGTAACGCATCGAGACGCCCTTAACCTTGACCCTACTGCCATGACGTACGGCTCCCCATGCTTCTGTCGGATCGATACCGTAGGCGATGACCAAGATGCTGGCTAGAAGGTGTGTCAGTAGCATAACGAGGCTTCGGCCCAGCGACTGAGGTGGATACATATAGGGGGTAGGGTCAGAGAGACGGCATTGCCATAACATTGGAATTGCTGGTATTTCGGCGTACCCGGTGATTTTATCCTTAATTCTGAACCCATAGTCGAGGAATCTTTCTTGAACCTGGGCGGTATGCTGGCAGAACCTTTGTGTAGTCTGGATAGTTGTGTGCTGTACGTATGATGGACGGCTGGCGATCGGAGCCGTGTTAGACAAAGGCCCCAGCCCGTTCAATCATGCTCTGCGGGACGAGTGCTAGTACCATAGAGCCAAATCCAGTCCAGTCAGTTCAGTGCCTGAATAATGGTTCAACCCGTTGCTTAGCATTGCGCATGTAGCGTGGGATGCATATGTGTACGGTTAGGACAGGGCCATTCGTTCCGTGGACATTCGAGGTGCGTTTTTGGGCTACGTCAAGGGAAAGTTTACACAAATAATAGAACGAAACTCAGAACCTTCCGGAGTTTCGGAAACATAACAGCAGGACGAGAGAAGAGATGAGGTAAACTTCATGTTTGGTCCCGGTCTGCTTCTGGCGTCAACTTGTCAGACCGTGAAGCATGGAAAGGCAACACGACCGCATATAGTATACTAAGTAAGGTAGGCCCAAGTATTAGAGGATGTGCTTGAATAGCGAATAGATTCTAGCCTATTCTACTTATCGACCTGCCCCTATACTAGTCAAGGCGTGTGAAGCTTGCTTCGACGGGTCCAGCTTTATACATGTACTGTGCACTATATAGCAATGTCCAGGAAGCTGACGTTGGAGCTAGGGTCATCTTCGCTCGTATGCAAACCCGACACGATCAACCGCGAAATGACCCGTAAGAGCATGAGGTACCGCCCAGAGTGGTATATACGCGGCACACTCCGTCCGTTGCCACCGGAGCTGGTGCCGGGTGGAGACTTTGCGTCCCCCGGAATGCCGCCTGCAGCCCGGCCGGGGATCCACAGCGGCCTCGGAAAGCATCTCAGACGCGGTCTGGACGCGTGCACGGCAGGCCGTTGATTCCATGTTGGAATAAATGAAGACTCGTGTCCCGGATCCTTGATTTCCATGTCGCCTGGAAGCAATACGAGAGACGGCGAGCCTAAAATGCAGAGACTGGATGTGTTGCTGGCTGTGCTTCCAGTGGTGGTCCCACCCCCTGTTCGAATCGAGGCACTGGCTTGACTGAGCCACCGCCGCCTGAGACCTGCCGCTGTCCGAGACTCACAGCTACGCCTCACAGCTACCGGGTTGGCCCCCATTCCGGTGGCTACGTCAGCCGGCCCCCCGTCACGCCAGAGGCCCTCGGCCTGCTGCAAGACCGCGGTTTCCGAGCACACGAGCAAACCCTCCCTGCTTCCTCCAACATTTACTTCTTCGCGGCCTTTCTGCAATCATCCATATCATTTCAACCCCGTCGTACAAAGTTGACTCCCAAATCGCCTCGAAATGTCGCGCTTCTCGCACTACGACACCGACGAGGAACGGCTCCCCGAGGGCATGTCGCGGGTCGGATACGACGCCGACACCCAAGTGTACACGTTCCAGGACGCCGACGGCAGCTACTGGGAGAGCGCCCCCGGATGCCAGTACGGCCAGCTGACGCGAGTCGGCGACGCGCCCGCCTACGGCGATGACGACACGGAGCCCTTTCTCGTTTCCGACGGCGAGCAGCAGCAGAAGCATTCCAGCATGTCCTGGCGACACGAGATGATGCCGCTGCTCAACTTTGGCGTCCTCATCGGCCTGTCCCTGCTGCTGCTGTTCTGGTACCTCCACTGGACGGCGTCGTCGGAGCAGGAAAAGGCCCAAGTCAAGTGCGGCATCGACACCGAGGCATACATAGTCAAGGTCGGCGATACGTGCTGGGGCATCGCCGACAGCAGGGGCATCAGCGTCCCCGAGCTTCTGGAGCGCAACACGGGCGCCGTCTGCAATCCGCTCCCGGTGGGCTCCGCGCTGTGTCTCCCCAAGTAGGGCCCGGCCCATCGCTGGGCGGGACGGGCTTTGGCAAGGTGTCGACTGCTGGTACGAATCGGTTGACCAACACAACATTACCCGCTGGGCAGGCTGGGCCGCCAAGCGAAAGGATGGATGGATGGGGGGGTGGGCGGCGCGGCCACGTCAGAGGCCCTGCTTGCCAACCAGGCGTCTCGGTACTGCATTTCTCGAGGGAAGCCTTGACGGGCGATTGACGGGTGGATGTCGAGCTCTGGCGGGCTGCCCTCGCGCTTCCCGGAACCCGCAATGGAGGGGGCTTCTTCACGGCGGAGAGGCGAGTGCTTTGTGCTCCTAGAACAAAGGTAACATTACCTACCAAAACAAGGGTCCAGCCCAGCGCGCTTTGCTATGGAGGTCAGGTACCTCGAGCATCCGGGGTGCTGGGCGCGCGACCTTGGAACCTTGGAAATCTTAAGCCGTGCGCCGTGGTGGCCCGCCGAACCACTAACAAGTGCTCACTCACGCCGCCCGCCCACACGCACCCTGGAGCTTGCCCCGCTCGATGAGGGGCTCGCGCGTCGACAGCCTGAGCCAGGACACGCAGAAAAAAAAATTCTGGCGCCGGCGAGCGCATAAAATTGTCAATTTTCCGCTCCTTCCCCCCTTCTCTCTCCTTCACCACTCTCCTTCACGATACCCATTCGCGTCGCCAGTGCTCCGGGCAGCCAAAGCGACAAGATGGACAAGGACAAGCTCGCGCAGCTGCTGCAGGCCAGCCAAGTTCGTAAGTGCTTTCCTTACCAGACCCCGCCTCCCTTGCCAGGCCTCCCTCGAGCTCCCTCGACTGACCTCTTCCTCTCCAGCCAACACGGAACAGGTCAAGGCCGTCACTGCCGACCTCCAGAAGAACTACTACTCCAAGACCGAGTCGCTGATCCTGCTCATCGAGATCGCCCTCACCCACCTCGATGGCGGCGTTCGCAAGGCCGCCTCGGTCCAGGCCCTCCGCCTGGTGCCCAGGCACTGGGAGAAGACGGCCCAGGACAAGAAGCCGCTTGCCCGCACCCACCTCGTCGAGGGCGCCCTCAAGGAGTCCTCGTCCAGCACCCGTCATTCCCTGGCCCGCCTCGTCGCCGGCATCGTCGGCATGGACATGGAGGCCGGCGAGGGAGACGAGTTCCTGAAGCAGCTCCTGCCCCTCAACAACAGCGACAATGTGACCGCCCGTGAGGTTGGCTCGTACATCCTCTTCTCCATGCTCGAGGACGACCCCACCCACTTCAGCGACCACACTCACCAGCTGCTCCAGCTCTTCCAGTCCCGCATCGAGGACCCTGACAGCAAGGAGGTCCGCATCAACATCGTCCAGGCCATTGGCGCCATCCTCATGATCGTCGAGCCCGAAGAGGACGCCCAGGCCCTGCAGGCCCTGCAGAGCTTCCTGCCCCACATGGTCAACATTCTCAAGGCTACTGTTGAGGCCGGCGATGAGGAGAGCTACAAGGTCATCTTCGAGGTCTTCCACTCCTTCCTGGCGTACGACTCGTCGATCCTCGCCGTCCACCTCCGCGACCTGCTGCAGTTCATGATTGGGCTCGCTTCCAACAACAACGCCGAGGACGACGCCCGCACTCAGGCGCTTGGCTTCCTGATTCAGTGCGTGCGTTACCGCCGCATGAAGATCCAGGCCATGCGCGATATGGGCGCTGAGCTCATGGTCAAGGCCATGCACATCGTGACGGCGCTCGACACCGACGATGACGATGAAGATATGACCCCCGCCCGCACCGCCATCAGCCTCATCGACACGCTGGCCAGCGAGCTCCCCCCTCGCCAGGTCGTCGTGCCTCTCCTGGAGCAGTTCCCCTCGTTCGCCACTCACGAGGACCCTGGCTTCCGCATGGCTGCCATGCTGGCTCTTGGCAACGCTGCCGAGGGCGCTCCCGACTTCATTTCCACCCAGCTGCAGCCTCTGCTGCCCACCGTCATCAACCTCCTGTGCGACTCCAACGGCCAGGTCAGGCACGCCGCGCTGGTTGGTGTGATCCACCTCGCTGAGGAGATGGCCGATGAGATGGTGTCTCACCACGAGCAAATCATCTCGGCCGTCCTCAAGAACCTCGAGGCTGCCTCCCAGGGCCCCGCGGACAAGAAGAACACGGCTATCATCCGTTGCGCCTGCGGTGCCCTCGACACCTTTGGCGACGGCATCGACACCAAGATCATGGCTTCCTACGGTCCCAACTTGATTGGCCCCATGGTCAAGCTTCTTGACCACGAGGACTATGGTGTCAAGGCCGCTGCCGCCTCCGCCATTGGTGCCATTGCTTCGTCCATGGAGAAGTCCTTCGAGCCCTACTTCGAGGGTGTCATGAAGGCCCTCGGCAAGTTTGTCATGATCAAGGACAACGACGAGGCCATGGACCTGAGAAGCTCCACCTGCGACAGCTTGGGCCGCATTGCCCTGGCTGTCGGGCCCGAGTCCTTCCAGCCCTACGTCATGGAGTTGATGAAGGCCAGCGAAGAGGCGCTGGGCCTTGACAACGCCAGACTCAAGGAGACTAGCTTCATTCTGTGGTCCAACCTTTCCAAGGTCTACCGCGAGCAGTTTGATCATTTCCTCGACGGCGTCTTCAAGGGCATCTTTGCGTCCCTGGAGCTTGAGGAGGAGGAGATTGACCTGCCCGGCATCGACCCGAGCCAGCTCGGAGACAGCGCCGTCGTTGTCGGTGGCAAGCGAGTTCGCGTCAAGGCTCCCGAGACCGAGGACGACCTTACCATTGCCACCGGAGGCGAGGATGACTGGGATGACCTGGAGGACCTCGATGATCTCGGTGCCACCACGGCTATTGCTCTGGAGCAGGAGATCGCCCTCGACGTCCTCGGCGACGTCATCTCCAACTCTTGCAACAGCAGCAACCTCGAGACGTATGCCGCTCAGGTTATCGATAAGGTTGTTCCTTTCGCCGAGCACACCTACGAAGGCTGCCGCAAGACCGCCATTTCCACCCTGTGGCGCACCTATGCTCGCGTCTTCCAGGTGTGGGAGGAGAGCGCCGGCGTGAAGTGGCAGGCTGGCATTCCCCCCAACCCCACGCCCCCTCCCTCCATTGCCAAGCTTGGCGAGGCTCTGTACAAGGCCACCATGGAGATCTGGACCAACGACAGCGAACGGTACGTTGACACTCTCATTTCCTTCTGCTCGTTTTTTCTTTTACATGATGAATACCTTGCGTTATACCCAGCTCACTCAGACACACATTGTGGTTGCTGAGAAAGCGTCTAATCTACTCCTGATATTGCTACCCCACGCCTATTATTGTTTGATACAGTTCTCGTGGCCATGAGGCTGACACAAACAGATCCGTCATTACCGACATCAACCGCAACGTGGCTGCCACCCTCAAGGCCTGCGGCCCTGCCATCATTGCTGTCAAGGATGGCTTCCTCCAGGAGCTCGTTTCGGTGGTCACCCTGATCGTCACCCGCTCGCACCCCTGCCAGCAGGACCTGGGCGACGAGGAGGAGGAGCAGGAGGTCGACGGCGGCTCGTCCGAGTACGACTGGCTTGTCATTGACACTGCTCTCGACGTCGTCATCGGCCTCTCCGCGGCCCTCGGCGGCGCCTTCGGCGAGCTGTGGAAGATCTTCGAGAAGCCCGTTCTCAAGCTGGCCAGCTCCACCGAGGACCTGCACCGCTCCACGGCCGTGGGAACCATCGCCGAGATTGTCAAGTTCACTGGTGAGGCAATTTCGCCGTTCACTGACTCCCTCGGCCAGGCCCTCGGCCGCCGCCTTGGCGACCACGATCCTCTGACCAAGTCCAACGCCGCGTACGCAATGGGCATGCTGATTCTCAACTCCAACGAGACGAGCAAGACGCTGCCCTTGTACCCGCAGCTTTGGGAGAAGCTGGAGCCCCTGCTCGACCAGAAGGAGATGCGCATGACCGACAACGTCGCCGGCTGCCTGTCCCGCATGATGATGAAGCACGCCGACAATGGCTTCGTCGCCGAGGCGCTGCCAGCCATTGTCAACATCCTCCCCTTGACCGAGGACTACGAGGAGAATGCGCCCATCTACCAGAACATCTACAAGCTCTGTAAGTCTAACCCTGAAGTTCCACCAGGCAGAAAGTATAGACCCGCTAACAAGGCGCAGATGAGCAAGGCAACGAGACCGTCCAGCAGCTGACACCACAGCTGATGGGCATCTTCGAGAAGGTGCTGAGCCCGCCGGAGGAGCAGCTGGAGCAAGATACCCGGGAGATGCTGCAGCGGACGGTGCAGATGCTGAGGAAGTAGCAGCCTCGCGTGAGGGCTGCTCCATGTGCAGCGATGAGGACATGATGACACGAATACACATGATGAGCTACACATATACGGCGGGTGAGATGAGATACCTAAGGATGAGTATAATAGAGAAGCGAATCACTGTCTGTTGAAACAACGTTGCGCCAGTTGATTGAATGTGTAAAGGGGCATTGCCCTGGTATTAGATTACGGTATAGAGCGCCAGGATCGTGCTGAGTAGAGCCAGGCCCAGATGATGTCCCACCTCCGGTGCCGCCGCTGTTGGGACTGTAGCAGGAACTGAAGAGGTAGGAGACGGCTCTCCGCTGGTGGCAGTCTTGCCTCCTGACGAGGATGGCGTCGACGTACTCTGGCCCTCGGCCGACGGAGTGCCAGACGAAGCCGTGTGCGCCGCCGAAGGCGCAGCACTCAGCGTCGGCAACTCCAGCTTGGTAGACGACCGCGAGGACGTCGTCGCCGACGACATCGACACCGTCTCAATGCTCGACACTCCCCCCACCCCCCTCCCATCGCCCTCAAACCCATCACAAATAACACCCACCCCCCTCCCTCCTCCCCCCGGCACGCTCACACACCTGTCTCTTATACACATCTAGATGTGTATAAGAGACAGGGTCTACAATCCGCACCCCTCCGCCGCTACAGGTATACTCCTTTGCATACCACGCCGCGGTGGGGTCCACTTCCTGCACGTCCGCGTAGATGACAATGTCTGCGAGGCTGCCGTTGGCGCAGAAGGGGCGCTGCGTGAGGATGTAGCTCTGGATGGTGGTGTCGGCTGGTATGGAGGATGAGGAGGAAGAGTGGGGGGAGAGCGGCGCGGAGCAGAAGTCGGGCCCGATGACGGCGTCGTTGATGAAGAGCGGGGAGGAGCAGTGCGGGTCGGAGAAGAGTGTGAGGGAGGCGAGTTTGGGGAGGGAGGCGGAGCGGCGGGCTGTGGTGAGGGTCGCGAGGGAGAGGAGGGTGATGAGTGTTGACAGCGCAACCGGCGGCGGTAGTGGTGATGGCCGTGGGGATGGCGATGACTGGAGGAGAAGCCGCCGCATATTTCTCGGTCCCCGCGAGTGGTCGTCACGCCTGGGAGTCTGGCGTGCGCGGGATCTACCTATCTAGAAGGCGAAGAACGAAAAAATGTCTGCGAGGTAACGAATGGACTTCTTCTTTTCCCCGACGCAGCACGCTGTTGTTTGCTGCTGCTGCTGCTGCTGCTCGGGAATTGGGGGGAAAGAATGGCGGCAAGCCCCGTGAAATAAAGATGAAAGGGCGAAGCGAACGAATGTGAAGGCGTTGAGAGGGAGAAAGAGACTGGATGATGGATGGATGGAGGTCGGGGGTTGAAATTTTGAGGCTCTCTCGGCGATGGCCTAGCTGGGTCTAACTGAAGCAGGGGGTGAGATTTTGGTGGCGATCCACCCCCACGGAAACGATGATGGAGACGACGACCAACACCAAGGCACTGGGCCTTGGACACCGCAGGGTATGTCGAGTCTGCTAACCAGTACTGGTTCTGGTCAACTAGGTAGGTTGATGGCATGACATCTGAAGTACTGCCGGGAGCGAGTGCAAAATGCAAATGCAACATATCAATGCCGTGGTACACTACCGTACACTACCATACATGCATGCAAACCCGCTCTATCATGTAACGATGAACAGACAAAGACCCAAACACAAAACGCCTACCAAATGCGCTTCGCAACCATTTCATACCGAAAGACGCCCTGATACTCCCCCTCTTGCTTCTTGCCCTTGTCGTCCGCGCCGCCACCCGCTGGCCTCTTTCCGCCAGGACCCTTTCCGCCGCGCAGGCCCTCCGTCTTATCGGCGTGGATCCAGCGCTGCTTGTCGTCCGAGACCTCTACCTCGCCGCGGCCGCCGACGCGCCGGCCTAACGCGTCGTACGACTCGGGCGCCGCAGCGCCGCGCGCGACGAGCTGCTCCTTGTGCTTCATCTTGACGTAGCGGTTGCGCGCGTACTTGAGCAGCAGCATGCCCAGCAGCAGCTTGAGGATGAGCAGCACGAGGAACGCGATGAAGAAGACTACCACCATGGTGAGCGCTGCAATGAAGTCGTCCGACGTCCAGGAGTACCAGGACCGCGAGTTGAGCGGCGAGCCGTACGGGTAGCCGTACGTGGCGCGCCCCAGCGAGTCCCTGATGAGGGAGTCGAAGCGGTTGAGGGCGGCCATCATGGCGGGCGACGAGGGTGTCGCCGACTCCTCGGTGAGGGATGTCTGCGTAGACTGCGGCAACGGCATTGGAATGTGCGTCGACAGAAACATGTGGTATGTCTGGATGGAGGCTCGAATGAACAAGCACGACAGCGGAATCACCGCCAGCCCCAGACGCCGTGTCAATGATGGAGTCACAAAGGCCTGCACTCGTTAGAGGAATCGTAGCATTTCGGAATGGGCAGCACTTACGTTGGTGTAGTAGTCTTTGCACAGGATGTCGAGCGTCCTGCTGTAAAATGTTGGCTTGATGTTGTTGAACTTGGTCACGTAGGCGTGCTTGATGCTATCTACGAGCATCTCGCTCCCCACCACGATCAAGAACGGCGACAGCACCTCGCCCGACATGAGCCAAGACGGCAGGACCGTAAAGCTGTGCGGGAGGATGGACGGCGGGTGCAGCGGCACTGGTCCGGCGTCGTCATAGGTCGAATCGAGTCCGGCCCCAGGCACAGAGAGCCCACCGACCTCGACGACGTTCCGCATGCCAATGATCAAGAGCATGATCCACAGGTGGAAGCGCTCCACAATGTCGGCGCACGTGAGCTGGAACAGATTGTCCTTTTCAAACCGCTTGAAGACGGTGCTCTTGATCTCGACAAATTGGTTGGACAACAGCAGGGTAAGGAGAGCATTGGAGTAGGAGTTGACGGCCACGTTGAGTGTGATGACCTGGTAGTAGAGCGCAATCGAGTGCAGGCAGTTGTATGCCAAGGCAAGCATGAACATGCCTAGGGGCAACAGAACCTTGGACCGGCCCGACGCGTTCCGCGAGAGTGTCTCCGAGCTGAATAGGCACTCGAGAATGTCCTGTCCCAGAGCCGACAGGAGCCGGTCTCCGACCTCGAGGATGTTGTAAATCACGTACAGCTTGATGGCCGATTGCGCGCGGATAAAGTGGTACATGCGGCTGGCATCGAGCGTCATGAGCGCCAGGGAACTGCATATGATGACTGCACCCTGCAGCAGGTCGGCTTTGTGAAAAGCGGACAAGCTCGACGGCGTCGACTTTGTCCTTCGGTGGCGAAAGGCGCCGGTTTTGGGACCGGGGTCGCGCGTAGGGACAGGAGACTTGAGCGTCTCACTTGCGCCATCTGCGTGCAGCTCCCTTCGCGTTTGCAGACTTCGCTCGCGGGGATTAGGAGTCTTCGTGTCGGTGCCCACGTGCAGCTCCCTGACCCGGCTTCTGCTCCGCGAACGATCCCCTTCCGAGGCGTTGCTCGGCCTGCGAGACTGGTCATGGCGTCCTCGTCGCCACAGACGGCCCAGACCGTACCAGACGTATCCCACGAGCCACATGGTCTCCTTGCCGACAACGTAGCCCCACCAGCGGATCAATATCGCCAACGCCATGATGAATCTGGCGGGCAGGATCGTAAAGGTGTAGAGCCAGGCGTCCAGGCAGGCGAGCGCTCCAAAATTGAGCACCCGCTCGAGGTACGGAGGCAGGAGCAGCACGTTCTTCAGGCGTTCAAACTTTTCGGAGCTGGACTCGTAGGGAATATCGTTCGAATGGGAGTGGTGGATATAGAGCGGGCTCGGCCGCTGCGCCGCGAGTTCAAGCTGCAGGTGAGTCGGGAGAGACATGGGAGGAAGGGGTATCATTGCGGGGATTGGTGACGGCGGACGCGAACCCCGGGCAGGACTGGGTGCCGGGTCAGGCTGTTGGCTGGCGAGGATTGGAGATGCGGACTGTATCGCGGGAGGCGGCATGTGCGCGGCGAGGAAGCCATTTGCGCCATCGCCGTTCAAGCTCAAAGGAGGCGGCCGCGGAGAGGGGTTGAATGAGAATCGCCTGGGCGACGATGAATACGGTGTCCCATCTGCAGGCTGGATCCTCGTCGTCGGCGGAGTGGACACTGTCCTTGGCGCATGCAGCGGCCGACGGGCGCTGTCGTCAAACTTCCAATAGCCCCTGCCAGCCCTCGACTCGGCAGGTACTCCGTTCGCCGTAGCATCGCCATCGGGATATAGCTGGCGAGCGTGTTGGCGAAAGTCCAGGCGCATCTCGAGGGACGGCGAGCCGAGGTCTTGTTGCTCGATGGAGAGCGGTTGCGGCGCGGGCGCAATGGGCAGCGAGTCCGGGGAACTCGTCAGCTCCTGCATCTCGGCAGCGGAGAGCCTCTGGACATTATCATGGCTCAGCGTCTTCTTGACGGGACCGCTGGCGCCTCTCTTGCGTGTCGAGTGTACGTGTTCAGAGCGGTCGTCGGTCCTGTGGTCTTTGTCTGCGCGCACAGGCCCAGACTCGGCCGCCGACTGCGAGCGCCCCCGGCCGGGGCTGTCGACCCTTTTCGAGCCATTAGCCGGCGTCGCGGGGCCGTGGGCGTGGTCGTGTGAGCCGCCGTTGACGCCGTTGATGCCATTCATGGTCGTCGGGCCTCCGCGGTTGAAGGGCTCGAAGGACGGGCCATGCTGGGGATTGATGGGGTCCGCGGAGGGTGCCATCACAGCGCTTGCTCGACCATTCTGGGCCTCGTAGATGCGGTGCGAGTCGGGAGAGCAGCGCGCAGCGTCGGTCGGTTGGCCCAAGAGCGTCGTCGTCGTCGTCGTTTGGTCGTCAAGCAAGGGCGGATGCAGACGACAGGTTTCTGTTGAGGTCATGGACGGCGCAGCAGCGGCTGATCCCTGTCACCGGGGCAGGTGGTCGGGGTGGCTTACAGGGGGGTGCGGGGTGGTTCGCAGCACTGGCCCAGACGCTGTTTCACCGTGTGTGGCAGCCGGTGGCCCCGTAAGTAACGGGCGGGAACTGCCAGGCACCCCCGACCCGCCGGGGCGGGATTGGATTTTTGACGTGCCGCAGGCGGCATTGACATTCGTCCACAGAGGATCCAAAATACTCCGCTGGGTCATTTCTCTACCCAGCACTACCAAGGTTGAGGCGCCTTCGCTCATCAACAAACACCTTTGGCTTGAGTTTTTCATTTCAATTGCTGCTACTTTGCACTTTTCGTAGTCAAGGTATCTCCTCCGTCTCAAGTACTCCGTACGCGCGCTACACCTTGGCCGCCAGTCGCTCCCGGCCCTCGCCGCCGCCGCCGCCAGGTAGTCACGCCAGGAAGGCGTCGAACCACGTCACGGCCTGCCGGAAGGCCTGCTCCTTGGCAAACTTCTGGACCTGGACGTCGAGCTTGCCGCGGACGGCGAAGCCGTGCTCGACGCCGCTGTACAGGTTGATCTGGTAGGGCTTGCCTGTCTTGATGAGAATCTCCTCGCTCTTGTGGCGCTTGTCGGCCGGGAAGATGGAGTCGGTCTCGGCGGCGGCGATGGACAGCGGGCCCTCGATGGCGGCGAGCTCCTCCTCCGTGACGAAGGACGGGTGGGCGAGGAAGCCGGCGGCGATGCCGCTCTTGTAGTGGCGGACGACGTACTGGTGTTTCGCAAAGCAGTCAGTCAGTCAGCCGCCAAACACGACACGATAACAACGGAGGAGGAGGAGAACGGGAAACGCACCTTGGCGCCGAAGCAGTAGCCCACGGCGGCAATCTTGTCGACGCCCAGCTCGCGCAGGGCCTTGATGCCCGCCACGACAATGGGGTCGACCTGCGCGGTGGTGTGCGGGTTCTTTCCGTCGGAGCCCTCGTTGAGCCACTTCATAAAGTCAAAGGGGCCCTTGTTGTTGAGCGGCACGGGGTCGCCGTTGAAGGGGTCGATGATGAGCGTCGTGTAGCCGCTGGCGGCGAAGCTGTCGGCCATGAGCTTGCTGTTCTGCCAGATGCCGATGACGTCGGGGATGTAGAGGATGCCGGCGCCCGCGCGCGCCTTGCTCTCGGGCGCCTTGGCCACGTAGGCGTCGATTTGCTTGTTGTCGCCAATCTTGATGTCCTGGCCGGTGGGCGTGCCCCTGTTGAGTTGTGCGACGTCAGCTGTGCGCTCGCCGTCAAGGAGGTTTGCGGCGCTCGGTTCTCGGGCATGTCGCTGTGGTCGGGGTGAGTGGTGGTGAAGCGCTGCCCGCCCGCACTGTTACAACAGCCAGCTGCGGCGCGGGGCAGGGGGGCATCACCATTCATTCCACTTGACTGCAGAACCCCACGGCGGATGGGCATGGAGGTCTCGCGACTCACTCAAAGAGGGTGCCGACGCTGCAGCACGAGCCGGGAGGGTTGGACGACATTGTGTTCGGTGATTGTGTCTGTGGTGACTATGTGCTGTCGATGTGACGGGCAAGAGTTGTACGCTGTCGATGAAGCTCGGTTGAAGCTCTCCAGTCGATCGAAGGTAAAACGCCAGACGCCCAACGTCTTAATATTTATTGCACCGAATCCCATGTCCAAGCTGCGCTACGGCCCGGCGGGGTCTCACTTTTCGGGGACCATGCCGTCATGGCCCCAATCTCGGCAGCGAGCCCGCGCGCAACGACACTGTATGGATGGATGGATGAACAAGCGGTTAGTCAAGTTTGGCACCGCAGCATCTGCGGCTGCTGCTCCTCCTCCTGCTGCCGCCGCCGCAACGCCGCTCTCGGGCCCGAACGCCATCAATTGCGGGGTTGTCCAGGTTCCATGATCCATCATCCGTGGGATGGATGATGCAAAAAACGTGCCCCTCCTTCGGCACATTTCGTTCGCGCAACCCACGCAGCCCACTACGACCCGCCACCGTGACAGGGGAAACTGTAAGAAAAAAACCGTATACGCGCCAAACTGATCCTGCAGCCTGCTTCTCTCTCTCTCTCTCTCCCATGTCTGGTTCGACTGCAAGCGAGGCTCAGCCGCGGCGCTGGCAAGCCCGTGAGAATTGTCATCAATCGGCCTGGCCCGTCGCCCCGGCACGTTCCCCCCCCGCGCCGCCTCTCCACGGACCTTCCGCCCGTGGAACCCGAGGCGCACGAGCCCGTGGACCGCCCGGAACCCCGAGTCCCTGCGTCAGCAAGCCAACTTCGGACCCTGGCGGTGGTCCAGTTGGTGGGAATTCCTTCCGAACTTCGCACCTGCTGCAATGACATTCCGGAGTTAGGGCTTTGCGAGCCAGCCGCACCGCTGGACAACCAGGTTTTCAATCGAGGGCAGTGAGGCGCTCGACCTTGGCGTAAGCTGCTTTGGAATCTGTTTCTGCCTATATGCGCTCTCTGGCATTCTTCTTGCACGTTCCCGGGGAGCGGGAAGCCGGGTGCTGCACCAGAAGGCGCAGAGGAGGACTGGTGGCATTGGCTTGCGTCCACGAGCTACAAGCTCCGCTGGCCGGTCTTCAGTCGAGTTGCGGCCCGGCTAAAGCCTCAACGAGCATTTCTGGTGCCCATCGGGCGCTGGGGGCAGTCCGCTCTATCCGTTTACCCTGCCCCAATCCCATTCAGCCTCAAGAACGCCGGTGCGGGTCTTGAAGTTTTGTTGACTCTCCACCGCGTGCCTACCTGCGGCTCTAGTACTCCGTAGACCACCCAATGGCCTTGATGCAGCGATTATATAGAAAACGCTGTACGCGCAGGCGACTGACTGCCGACTGGAAGCACACGGAACCAAGGCGTGTCAACTTCGAGCTCGCGACGCCTATAAACCCGGGGGAATGGCATCCCTTGTAGCTCTACTTTGTGGGCTTGCTTGGGTCTTTGACAGATCAGTTGGAAGAATTGTCAACTCAGACCCCAAAGCCAGCACATTGAGTGAATGGGTCACCAGTTTCACACATGCTGATCACACCGTCAAATGCCAGTCGTATTTCCATTCCGAGCAGCGGGAGCTGCCAAAAGGCTTTAATCATATTAAGCATCTGACTTGCTCATACTGGATCCTTAAATCAGGTTCGTCGCAACAAGCGCATGTCAGTCTCACTTAGCCATCTACGTAGTAACTCCCGTCTTGGATATCACGGTACGGGGAGTAGTGAGGGATCGGTTCTCTGCGATCGCAGCGACAGACCATGGCGCTTCCTCGAAACAAGAGCGCCACAGGCCAGGAACGAAGCATTGTCGCCATTGGGCCGAATGCGTTACAGCCTTACACGTGCCGAACCGAACCGAACCGAGCCTGCAGAACCTTATTGAGCTTGATTCGATGGTGTGTGTCGATGGTGTGCGTGCGTGCATCACATCAGAGATGTCCTTACGAAATACGACGCTTCGGATATCCCGATGGCCCGTTGCCGATGTCCCGAACCTGCCATTCATAAGCGCGGGACATGTGCTTTCGGCATTTCAAATGCAAAATGCAATTCAACTTGGCTGCTTTGGCGTTCCGCCGGTGGGACGGATCGAGCCTGGTCCGTGGCTATGAGGATGGCAGGCAGTGCGGGAAAGACTGATGCGTCTCCAACGAAGCATGGAGCTGCGTTTATGTCAGTCATCTCGCTCAAGTGTCCGAAGTGACCAGCCGTCCCAGCTTTCGCTTCCCCTGCGGCGACAGCACAATAAGGCAAGTCAATGCAGAATCGCAAGTAAATAAGAAACGTCGCTTCCATGCCTTAAGTCTATATGGGGTATCTCTGACATGTAGCTGCACATCTCCTTGCCGAGGCCATCGCTCAGCCTGTCCCAACCCACACTGTTCACTTCGCTCGCAGGCCTTTTGCCTTTCTCTTCTTGAACACAACCGGCGCGGCTCCTGTATCGGTACCCTCCTCCGCCTTGACCTCCGCGTTGCTGCCCTCCGCCGTCTCCGCGGCGGGCGCCTCGTCCGCGATCCCAGCTGACGCAGTGTCCGGTTCCTCCTTCACCGGCGCGTCTTCCTGCTTGACATCCTCAGCGACAGGTGTTGGTACATCGCCACTCTCCTCCTTCTTCACCACGTCTTCCTCGTCCTTGACCTCCCCCTTGAGCGGTATCATCGACCCGCTCAACAGGGCATCCAACTCCTTATCCTCCTCCTCGGGCGCCGCGCGTGTATCCCTCCCCCACTTCCTCGGCCGCTTAAACAAGCCCTTCAAAGCCTCCTCCTCGTTGGCTCTGCGCTCCGCCTCCTCATCATCCAGCGCCTCCCGCTTCCGCACCCCCGTCGCCACCTTCTTCTTGTCCTCGTCGGTAGCGCCGGCGACCACCCGCGTGTTCGTCACCGTCCAGTCCCCCGCCATGGCCATTTCCGTGCGTAGCTCGCTCGGCATCGCGACGCCCATGGCCGCTAGTTGCTCGCGCTGCTTCTTGCGCTCGGCCTCGAGTGCCGCCGGGTTCGAGGGCTTAAAGGTCGTGGCCGCCCCCGCGGTGCTGCCCGCCGCATGGCCCCTTGCTGATGAGGATGTGGATGAGGAGGAGGGGCCCGTGACGACGCCATTTAGTCGTGCGATTTCTTGCTTGGCGCGCTCCTTGTCGCGCTCTTCGCGCTCGTGGTTTCGGTGCAGGTCTCGCAGCGCGCGCTTCACGGCGCCTTGGTGTCGGGCCGTGGCTTCATGGTTCTGCCGCTCGAGCTTGGTGTCGCGCACGTAGCAGGCGCAGTGTTTGCACCAGTATCTGGGCGTGGATTTCCAGTGTTCCGACATGGTGGCGGGGATGTGTGTGGTGGAGGTTGGCAGTCCGAACTCGCGATTCCAACATTCGAGGCTATCCCCTTCCCCGTCCGCTTACGTCATCGTGCCTGGCTGCCTGGTTCGGCGCGGGTTTTGACACCAACCGCCAACAACTCGCTGCTGAACATCTCCTTCACAAGACAAATACGAGCTCATCGAATTTCATTTGGTTCCAATTTCAATTCCATGGTAGCCATGGTTGATCTGTACCTATACTATGTGACAAGATTATCACTATGTTCCCTGATACCCTAACGTCCGTCCCATTCATTACATCCATCAGCTTCATAGCATGCATTCATTAATGAGGGCTCGACAACGAGCACATCCAATCCAATTTACACCGTGCTGTCACACCGATGTTCCATCAAACATGGCATATGCATCGCGCTACTGATTATCCCGCAGCCTTCCAGCTTAGAGGGCCAGGGCGGCGCCAAAGGCAGCCAGGAGGAGCGCCGGCGCGCCAGCGGGATTGGCAGCGGCCGTGGGAACGGCGACGGCGCTGGTCGTGGCCGGAGGAGGTCGGACCGAGCCGTTCGTCGTGGGGGCCTGGGGCTGGCCGTCCGAGATCTGGGTGACGGGAGGCGGCTGGGCAGTGTTCGTGGGAGCCTGGGGCTGGCCGTCGGAGATCTGCGAGACGGGAGGAGGCGGCGCAGCGGTGTGCGTGGGCGCCTGAGGCTGGCCATCCGAAATCTGCGAGACGGGAGGAGGAGGGGCCGCAGTGTGAGTGGGAGCCTGAGGCTGGCCATCAGAGATCTGCGAGACGGGAGGAGGAGGGGCCGCAGTGTGAGTGGGAGCCTGAGGCTGGCCATCAGAGATCTGCGAGACGGGAGGCGGCGGGGGCGCGCTCGAGGGCGCCTGGGGCTGTCCGTCGGAGATCTGGGAAACGGGAGGCGGGGGAGCGACCGTGTTGGTCGGGCCCTGAGGCTGGCCGTCGGAGATCTGGCTGACGACGGGAGCAGAGGCGCAAGGAGTGGTGTGGACCTGAACCTGGCCGTCGCCGATCTGGCACATGGGGACGGGGATGGTCGTGGGAACAACCTGGGGCTGGCCGTCAGACAGGACAGTCACGATGGTGGTGACCTGCATGCTGGTGCCGACGGTGCTGTGGCCGCCGTTGCCGGGGTTGTTGTTGCCGGGGTTGCCGCCAGAGCTGCCGTCGCAAGGCAGGACAGCGATCTCAATGGGCTCGCACTGAGCCGCCCAATGGCGGTCGTACAGGTTGTAGAAGTTACCAGAGAGGCAGCGGTAGAACACGGTTGACGAGCCAAGCGCCAGAGAGCCGTTGGTGCAGGTTGAGAAGCCACCGGTGTAGATGGCACCGGCCTGGGGAGGGCCGTCGAACTGGAATTGGTAGTTCGAGGCGATGTAGCCCGTGCGGTCCTTGGCATCCTTGAGGACACCGTTCTGGAGCGTCATGACCAGAGTCTTTTCGCTGTCGCAGGTGTTGCGCTTCTGCATAGCACGTTAATGAACTGCCCCTACTACGCTCCATGGTAAAGGAGGCTCACCTCAATGATGTCGCGCTTGCCCAGCGAGTAGACGGTGACCTGGAACTTGCCATCGCGCGACGGGCTGCAGCCGGCGGGCGCATTGCCGTCAGGCTTGATGATGCCGGTGACAGCGGCACCGTCGGCGTAGGTCGTGGCCGCGAGGCCCAGGAAAGCCAGAGGAGTCCACTTCATTATGGCTCTGCGATATGTTAGTGACTTATACGAAGCAGTGATGTATCCCATCGTAGAGTGTGGAAGCCCTCAGAGTGAGCCGACGACGTGGTGGAATGAGGTCATTCTTACCTATTTCAACGATTCTTAGATGAACCGAGTGTCGTCAACGAGCGGGCGACTGTGAGAGTGAGACAACTGAGCGATGGGCTGATTGTCGTTGCCAGCGATAGACGGAACGAGCAATCGGTCTGAGACGCAGCGAGCGCAACACGTGAAAGGCTTGACCTACGCACGTGTTTGAGCGAGAGATGTGACACGAGACAAACCAGGAGGAGCGGCCGGAGCGAGATGGAATGGGGAGGGGGAGATCATATATCCATGAACCGAGAGCACTTGGTCGGCGGCGACCAGAATAGGGCTCGCCTCCACCTCGATCCAACAGATCCGGGCGACAATCACCTCTGGATACGGCTGGGGAGGCGTAGCGCCGGCCCACTACATCCCGTCAGGATGGGCTCTAGGAGAGGACCGTCGGTCCACATCGGGGAGGTTGGGTGGTATCTCTGATGTCAAGCAAGTCAAGGTAGGACCTGCTCCGGACCAAATCAGACGGACACGGAGTTGACCCAGCTCTCGACCGTCTCGCCAATGAAACCCTCGCCCAGCGGTGGATCTCTACTTGAACGGCATTTTCTTAATTTCGCGTAAGCTACTTCGTACGGGACGAAGGTTTGTCACAAGGCTTTCAGGACCTCGACGGCGCCCGTTGGGTCGGTTCGGGGCCGGAGTGCGAGAACAGTGACTCCCAAGCGCAGCGAACCTTGTTCGGCTGCCTCACCCATGAGGCTGGTGGGCAGTGGTACGTTGCCACGATGTAGGCCGTTGCCATGCCCCTGTTGCTACTGACAACGGCCTCATGAAGCCCAGAATGGGGTGGTGGACGGCCGAGGCTTGAGCAAGCTTACAGGCTGGGCAGGCTCACGTTGCAAGCCGGCTTGCCAGCAGGTTGCAGCAGCGGGGGGTTGGCAGTTCTCGGTGGCTGATCGGCGGGAATGTCTCAAGCATCATGCAACTCTGATGGGTGGGTGTGATGGGACTTGGGCCGACAGCTATCGAAAAGCCCCAACCTCGCGACCGTGTCGTCGAGCCGTGTTGCTTGCACGGCAGGGCTTGGGTTACCGGAGACGCCCAGACTCGGCATGTCTCACAGAGGCATCACTTGATGCCATACTGACGTTTATACCCCAAAAGCAGATAGATGCCGTCGCAAACGACTTGCTCAGAGGATGCCGTGCCTTGTTGTTCCCCGTGCCATGACATGGGTCGACACGGTTGACCAGGGTCAAGCCAGCACTACTGTGGGCCATCCTTGGGGGATACCTTAGTGGACCTTGAGGAGGTGGAGGCGTGGCATCCGGCTCAGGCTCAATGTGTTTGGCGCTCGGAGTCGATAAGTGCTGGGAAACATTGCCGTTGCCAGACGGACAAGACAAGAGAGCGTGAAATTATGCTGGTGGGGAAGCAGACGGGCAAGTGGCCCGACGACTGCGATTGTCACGAGAAGGACAGCAGTTCTCGTATTTTTGGTGTTCAGATGCCGTTGATCCGCGGGGTAACCAAGCAGGATAGAGTGAGAGCTACTGCCAGATAGCCCGCAGCATTCATCAAGCGTTGGATACGTGCGTCGGATGAGGTCAGAGACGGCTGGGGGGAGGCCGGTCCTGGTGCGGTGCGTGAGGGGGCGACGAGACGATCGCCCGCGGCCGTGGGCAGGACAGGCCAGAGCAGAAGGCCAGCCCTCTCACCAGTCGAGGCGAGCGAACGACGGGAACCGTACGAGATGGAGTGGTTGCGCATGCGCACAAGAGGAACGGACGGAGTGATGATGGTGTGTCGTCGCCGCGTTTCATGGTGGGGCGATCGCCAAGGAGGTGCCAGCGCGGGTCCTCGGAAACGGCTGTTGCGGCGCTGTTAGTGGCTGGGCGCGCTGGCGCCGGCTCCTTGCAGTGGGGCGGGTCCAGGGGCGGGGCAGCAGCGGCAGCCGCTGTGGATGCGGGCAGCTTCCAGGTTGTGCACGGAGGCTGTGGCAGCAGGTTATGGCCGCCGGCCTGCAGCCAGGCCTGCAGCGGTTGGTGCCAGTGGAGGGAGGCCTGGCGAGGCGCCCCGTTGGACGGACGGAACCTTGGAACGGCATGGAGTCCTGCGCGGCGGCCTCGGCCAGGGGCGCTCCAGCGAGTGGGTGGGGGTGGGATGGAACCTCAGGCGTGCCCTGATGGCACCTCACAGCAGCGACGGTTGGAAAAGTCGCTCATCATTCCTGTTGAATCGACGAAACGTGAGCGACGAGCCGACGCTTGAAATATTGTCAATTGGCGCTATTTCTCCGGCTTCCAGTCCAATTGCCTGGAGCGGACCTAGAAGCCACCAAAGAGCCCACGATGGCTTCGTATCCGTCCCAGCGCGACGTGCACCGAGCTGCTCCCTCGGAGGAAGAGCAGCAGCACCACCTTTCGTCCGCCCCCAGCATCTCGTCTGGACGCCCTGCCGGCCCGGCCTGCATCGTCCGGACCCCCCTCCCTAGCGCAATCGGGATCGATCACGAGCGCTGGCGGGCCAGGCGTGCAGAGCGGGCGGACGGGCTACTTTCCTCAGGTCAGCCAGTCAAGGCTCGACCAGGGCCGCAGAACCATCGTGGGCCCTCGGCCTCCACAAGCCATGGCCCTGCCCGGTCTGAGCGCCGCGCTCCCGCCCGTCCCGCTGAAGCCATCGCGAGAAATTACAGCTTCTGCAAGGTTTCCCCGGATTGCAATTTCGATTCCACGTGCTCCATCCAGCTTCCGGGGCCTTGCAGCTTGACGGCGACCGTAGCGATGGTCGTACGCGTTGGACATGCCGTGCGCCGCTCTCGCAGATGCAAGCCCGAAGCTGTGTAGATGATGATGCTTCGGCGCCGCGTTGTGCAACGCGAGCCGGCTCCATCGCAAGCAGACTTTTCTTGCCATCCCTTAGGATCGCGGCTCCACGCTGCGGTCCACAGCGCAGGCTCTTCGGACTGAAGCCGATGGCACGGTGCATGCTTCCTCGGGGGATGCTAACTGGCCCGTCGTGTGGCCGTCGTCGGGCGCGCCAGCAACGCCGGTGGAAGCTGTTTACAAAACGCCTCCATGCGTTGTGCTCCAAGCTCGAGCTCTAGGTGGGTCGGGACGAGCGCATCTCCTGACGAAGCCTCGCTTGTGCCTGCCTGCGAACGCACTCTGTGGCGTCTGCCTTCATTCCTGTGCCCCAGGGCTCCAGTGCTCCAGCTCGCGAACCTCGTTCGAGCAGGAGCTGCAGACTAACTGGGTACTTAGGGGCAGTCCGTTGCGTCAACACCGGAGCTTGAGTGCCCCCAAAGCTGAGCCAGCTGCGGCTCATCGCCATTCCACAGTCCTTTCGCCCCGAACAGTCTTCAAAGCTCCAGCGTTTCCCTCCGTACTGGCGCTGTACCATCAGGCCTGAGAGCAAATCCTAGAGCCATATCTGCCCGCCACCCAGCGAACGTGGTCCCCCTTTGTCTCCATCGCCTCAGGATTCCACAATAGATACGGCGTCTGATCCACTTACAAAGCCCGGTCGCGATGACAACCACTGCCGCGCAAGTCGTGGCGACGGCTCGCCACCCCCTTGCAGACTGGGAGTGCCAAAGGCACCATTGGTCCCGCCTCGCGGACCTGCCCAGCCCCCTTGGTACCGAAAACAGATGGCGAATGCTCGTCTTGTCAATTTGTCCCGCAAAGCTTGGGGAAATGGGAGTGTAGAAACGCCCACACGTCACCAACACCGCATCGAGTGCTCTCTACAATCACTAATCTGGCAATAGCCAACACGAATTGAGTGACGATGTCGCAGGCTTTGCGCTTGTGAGGGACCATTACAATGGCTGTCTCGTATTCACGGGAGAGGCTTGCCTCGTGCGTAACTGGAATGGGGGTCTGGCGAAGTGACCGACCCAGGTGAATGTCACGAGCGCTCACGACGGCGATCGCTCTCCCATCACAGCCAACTGATAATTGGGTACTTCGGACAGTACACCACGGACTCGTCAGCAGCCACTTGTTGACAGAGACGTCAAACGTACGCAACTCGCTTTCAATTTCGTGGTGTAGGGTAGGCTGCAGCATGGCAAGGTGACGGGGACATCTACAAAGCGTTACCTCGTCGTCTTGACAGGGCAGGATAATGTCGCTCGTGGCAGTAGCTTTCCGATTGTGGTTGAAAATATGATGCGGCGATGAGGCAATCTATCTGGAGTACGGCGGATGCATCGACGTGTTAGACCAGGGCTGGACAAATACGACTCGATGTGTGCTTTGAAGACGGAATGCGAGACCGTGTCAACTCTCCTGTTGCTCACAACACCGCCTCGGAAATGCCCCGAGAAGGGCATGGAGCGAATGAAGATACGATAAATGACATCCGCCTTGGGCAGGCAAGCCGCATTCTTGATAGCGACATCCGCGCGAACTTTCCAAAAGGAAGGAAAGAACCCTGATGGGTCGCCCTTCCCCGCGAGCTGCGTCATGTAGCAAAGCGAATGTCTCAATTCGGGAGGAACAGAGCCACGTGATGATGATCAGCCTGAACAATGTCTCTCTTTTTAGAGACAGCTTACCCCGGATCTCATCCATCAATTGCCATCCTCAGGCCTTTCCTCCAACTTACGCTGTCTGCGACAATCATGGCCGTGTTACCTCTCAAATCAGCGATCCCTATCTGTGACCGGAGAGAAACAGAGGGGGGTATTCTCGAGAAAAGGATGGCAGAAAAAAAGCCTCTTTGGGTGAGGTGGACAACCAAGGTAAGGAAAGCACACGTTCATGTCCCGGCGGAAACGTTGCTAATATGCCGAATCACTTCTAGCTGCCCCTGGGCAGCTCGCATAAACAGCTCCCCAAAGTCGGTTTCGGCTCAAGAAGACATAGCCTGCTATCGGTTCGACCCCAACTCCCGTACGTTCCGATGCTACCTGCCGGCGACGGCATTGCCCATTCCTTGCTTCCTTCAATGAGCCGCTCTTGGCCGGACAATGGTTCTGGGATAGGTGCACGATCGAGGACCGCGACTCTGCCGACAGTGGTGGATGATTCCCTGGCACGAGCGTTCCAGCTTGAGCCCGTTGGGAAGGAGATAGAGAAGGACCCTTGTCGCCTGCCGACATCAGCAAAGTCATCCGGTCCACAGCCATTCTATCTCAGCCGCCGAGGGATACAGCTACCACCACCAGCATGAAACCAAGGGACCCATTGCTTCGATAGTGGGTGAGCATCAGCTGCCGACGCCAGCAGCGGAATGGAAAATTCGACCCATGGACGACAAATCTTGGGTCATGAACTCGTAGAGGCATCCGCTACCGACCGACGGCACCTTGGAGGCGCTGGACATGCGCCATACCTTCTTAAAGCAGCTGGATTGAGCCTCATATCGTGGTTGCCGTCTCGCCTTATCGCAGCACGTGTCCGACGCGTGCGACCCTGTGACTGCGATTCGGGAAGTTGGGGAAGCCTGCAGGAATTGCTCCCCGCCTGCCGCATGACGCCTTCGGCCGACACGATTGAGCAAGCAACGCTGCCAAGGCCGCCTCCCCCGCATTTCGCCCGCACGCGAGCCGCCAGCCCGTAACCCCCCTCGGATTCTTGCTGCAGATTGGCGCTCGGCGTGTGCGGCGTGAATGGCTTGCGCCAGAGGGAGGGCATGGAATCGAATGAGAAGCCGTTGGCGGTTGCTGATGCAGGAACAGGGCGTGAGTCGGGAACGCGCTGAGCCGGACAATGCTGATCCCCATCTGCCAGGAACCAGAATTCGCGCCATCCTTGTCAGGGACTTGAGACGCCGCCCCCGCCAAGGGCCGCGCCGGCGCCATGATCCCCAAATCTCGCCAACTTCACCGCGTCATCCTATCACAACTTCGCAAGGGAAGTACGGTTGAGCAACCGAGCTGGTAGTTGGACCACAATCCCCGCAAAATAAACGAGTATGCTTCTTCAACAAGGTGTGCTCGTCAGCCTTTGGCTGGACCCGGCATTCGCCTTAAACGCCCTCGGGTGAGATGTAACCCCTGAATCGGCGGAAATCAACCCGGATCCGGCAGGTCCCTGCACTCGGACGAGACCGCGGCAAGTGACTCCATCCTGACCGCTCGTGATGACATTCGTCAGCACACGGCTTCTGTCTCGACTACACGATTGAGAACGAAGCGCCTTCCCCGTCGGCGACATTCAAAGGTTCGGGATATATCCGCGCTACATTGGAGCCCGATGACTAGCACGCCTTTGTCTACGATCCTCTTCTAAAGTCCGACGCGGCTCAAGAGATGCGAGGCTCCCAGTGGAACCTTGGCTAAGCTTAACTTAGAAGTTGAACTAGAGCTGACCGGCAGTTGCGGTTACGAAAACATCCGCTCTTACGATGAGGCGCTGGTCCATCACGGGCCACAGACGTTCCGCTTTATGCGGAGGGAAGCGACAGTGATGCCGGCCTCTCCTCAGCTGCCCGGCTGATCGATCCGTCGGTTGCCCTCCAGAAATGATTTCCTTCAGTGGCTTCGCTGCTCCGAGTCCCGACGAGCAGCTGAACAATGCGCGTTGGTTTGATGATCGTCCATGTCCTTGACTAGGCCGAGTACCAAGACCAGCAACCCCACATCTTCAAGGAGTCTTGGTACCTTGGCTTCTTCGGTGCAATCCCATGGTGGCATCGTGCCGTCTCATGGCGCGTCTCCATCTCGCGCGCCTACCGAATAGTGCAGGTCGGCCGAGAAAGGACCCCAATCTGCAGCGGACTTTCGAAAGGGCCAAAGGATGCCACGCCTGGCGGAACCTACACACGAGCCACCTTCCTAATCGTCTCGTGCCTGTAAAGCATCGGGCTCTCACTCGCTCCTATGGGTGGATGATGAAGGCCATGGGGAAGAGGGCTTCCATTGCTCTCGGAACGCCGAGAGTCGCCTCTAGGATCCGGACAGGGTACCTTGGTCTTGATGCGAGATCGATGTAGCTGAGTGAGCCCGCGTCCCGGTAATAGACTCACGCTTCCTGAATATAAAATGTGCTCCCCTCGTCGTTCAACATGATGGTCTCAACCTCCTCGACAAGGCCAATCGCCGGACACAAGCTGTGCTGAGCACCAAGATCGACCTCAACCCGGCTCTACATTCTCCGCCATGAAGTCCCTCTTGCTCCTTGGCCTCACGGGCCTCGCTGCCAACGTCCAGGCTCACCCTCAGAGGCGGGAGCCCAATGAGTCTCCTCTGTCCAAGCGCGGTATCGACCTCGAGAAGTTCCGCCTTCCTGAGATTTCCGACTATACCACCTCGTCGAGTGCCAAGGCCGACGAGTCGGTCGTCTCCATCAACAAGCGCGGCGACTACATCGAGGCCGCCAAGGAGCTGGTCAAGACGGTCGCGCCCGGTGCTGAGTACCGTCTGGTCAACGACCACTACGTCAGCTCTGACGGCGTCGCCCACGTGAACTTCAAGCAGACCCTGCACGGCATCGACGTCGACAATGGCGACTTCAACGTCAATGTAAGCTCTTTTTTGGAACTATGCACATCTGTCCATTCGCGACTGACAGCTCTCCCAGGTTGGCAAGGACGGCAAGATCTTCTCGTACGGCAACAGCTTCTTCAAGGGCGAGGCGCCCAAGGAGAACCCGCTTCACAAGCGGGACTTCTCCGACCCCGTGACTGCCCTCAAGGGGGCCATCGACACCCTCGGCCTGGGCGTGACGGTCAAGGACGCAAAGGCCGAGGCCAAGGATGGCAAGGAGCACTTTGCCCTCAAGGGCACCAAGGGTGCCGTCAGCGACCCCGACGCCAAGCTCGTCTACCTCCAGAACAAGGACGGCAAGCTGTCCCTGACCTGGAGAGTCGAGACCGACGTCATGGACAACTGGCTGCTGACCTATGTCGATGCCACCAACACCAAGACCGTCCACGGCGTCGTCGACTACGTCGCCGACCTGGCCACGTACCAGGTCTACCCGTGGAACGTCAACGACCCGACCGAGGGCCAGCGCACCGTCATCAAGGACCCCTGGAACTCGGCGACCTCGCCCTTTACGTGGATCAGCGACGGCAAGACCAACTACACCACCACCCGCGGCAACAACGCCATCGCCCAGGTGAACCCCTCCGGCGGCGACAGCTACCTCAACAACTACAGGCCCAACAGCCCCAGCCTGAAGTTTGAGTACCCGTACACGCCCACGCAGTCCAACAAGGAGGCCTACCGCGATGCGTCCATCACGCAGCTCTTCTACACTGCCGACAAGTACCACGACCTGCTGTACACCCTGGGCTTCGACGAGAAGGCCGGCAACTTCCAGGCCAACAACAACGGCAAGGGTGGCGCCGGAAACGACTTTGTCATCCTCAACGCCCAGGACGGGTCGGGCACCAACAATGCCAACTTTGCCACTCCCCCTGATGGCCGGAACGGCCGCATGAGGATGTACATGTGGACCAGCGCCACGCCGGCGCGAGACTGCTCGTTCGACGCCAACGTTGTGCTTCACGAGTACACCCACGGCTGTAAGTGCAATACCCAGCCAGCGCCATAGAGCACTTGATAGCATTCAAAGCTGACTCCTTTCCAGTGTCCACCCGCCTGACTGGCGGCCCTGCCAACTCTGGCTGCCTCAACGGCCTCGAGTCGGGCGGCATGGGCGAGGGCTGGTCCGACTTCATGGCGACGGCGATCCGCATCAAGGCGACGGACAAGCGCACCAAGGACTACACCATCGGCTCGTGGGTCGCCAACAAGCCCAACGGCATCCGCGCGTACCCCTACTCGACCAACACCAACACCAACCCCTACACGTACGCCGACGCCAACCAGCAGCGCGAGGTGCACGCCATGGGCACCATCTGGGGCACCGTCCTGTACGAGGTCATCTGGAACCTCATCGACAAGCACGGCATCACCGACAAGGACTTCCCCGAGTTCGACGCGGCCGGCGTCCCCAAGGACGGCCGCTACCTCACCATGAAGCTCATCATCGGCGGCCTGGCCATCCAGCCCTGCAACCCCAACATGGTCTCCGCCCGCGACGCCATCATCGATGCCGACAAGGCCCTCACCAAGGGCGCCAACCAGTGCGAGCTGTGGAAGGCGTTTGCCAAGCGCGGCCTCGGCGAGGGCGCCCGGTATGGCTCGACCAACCGCGTCGAGAGCTTCGATGTCCCCGCCGGCGTGTGCTAAATGGATCGCACGCCCGAGGAGTCTGCATCCTCTTTTTTTGATTACTGTGAATATTTTTTTTACCCCCCCGTTTCCCAGTATATACTGCCGCGCGGAGCGTGGGATGCGAACAAAGCGGGTTTTTGGATGAGAGCGAGGCGAGACGCGGCGCTGGCAGCGCGGCCGAATCCATGTCGAGCGTGCGGTTCGGGAGCCCCTTGGATTGTAGGGGCGAGTATATACTGTCGTGAATGAATACACGAAGTAAACAAAACACGAGCCCACGATGTCCATGTGCATTTATTTTCCTGTGCTCGAAAGTGTGAAGTTCCCAAAACAAGAACCCGTAGAGGAAGTCATCCATTGGGCTGCACGCAACGTCGGCCAGATGGCGTAGTCATTATACTCATATCTCGATTAGATCTAGTCAATGCCATTTCGTACTCTACACGTAGCCACACATCCCTCTACTTCTTCAACCCCTTGAGGCGCCCCATCAGCGCCGCCAGCTTCGCCTTGAGGACGGGCGGGGGCGCCTCGTCGGCCCCGACAAGCCTCCGCACAAGGATGTTGTACAGGCCGCCAAAGGTCAGGGCGATGGCGGTGGAGGTAAAGATGATGACGTTGTAGGGCATGCTGAAGTCCGGGGTGGGCAGGTAGAGCAGGAGACTGGTGGTGCGGAGGTTGAGGCCGCGGCGGGGCGCGCGGGTGGTGATGACGGCGGCCGCGACGTCGAAGCCGCGGTTGGCGTCGGGCGGGTACTCGGTGTAGCGCAGGATGGACTTCTCAAAGTCGTAGGTGAGGAAGACGGTGCAGTGCGGGGGGATGCGCATGAGGAGCTCGAGCTGCGTGCCGCGGGTGCGGTCGAGGGCCGGGCGGTAGTAGATCTCCTGAATGATGGAGGAGGCGTTGGTGCCGGCGAGGGCGGCAGAGTTGGTGGTGGTAGCCGTCGTATCAGGGGAAGAGGAGGAAGAGATGCGCGTCGAGAGTGTGTGAAGGTAGATGCGCATGAACCACGGCAGCGACTCCATGTAGACGAACTCTACCTCTTCGTCGCTCGGGTTCGTGAGGATGGCTTGCACGCCGCCGTGCTCTTGGCCGTGGCCCATGAAGCTGCGCTCGGCGTAGAGAAGGGGCCGCTCGGGCTGGACGAGGTCCCTGCCGGCGGCGGCGTCGTCGGGCTCGGGCTTGGCTAGGACGAGGGTGAAGTCGCTGTCCTGGGGCATGGTGTAGCAGCGCAACATGCCGTCCTTGCTCTTGACCTCGTGGGTGCCCTGCGTCGAGAAGACGGCGCGAGAGTTGGGCACGTGGAGACAAACGGGGGCCTCGTCGGGGTTGGACAGGGGACAGGTGCCTTTCATGGTGCGGCCAAAGATCTCCGAGAGGGTCCAATCCTGGCCCTGGAGGTGGTCGACGGGATAGCAGGTCTCGTCATTGTGGTACGACTTGGACGTGTCGCAGACAAGCTGGTCGGCAGGAGGAGGTCTAGGAATCGGGTTGTCTGGGGATGGTTAGCAAGCAGGCGCGGTGTGATGCTGTGCTGTGCTGGGGGACTTTACCCCTAGGTCGCTTCGAGCGGTCGACGTCGAGAACCATGTCAATGGTCTGCTCCATCTCCAAGACGCATCCTTCGCCGCCGGGTGGGCAGATAGGTCGCACGTCAATGGCCATGCTCTGAAACGACGCGTCAAACAGCTTGTGACCGTCCAGCAGACTCGCGATGCCAGCCTTGCCCTTGCAGGGCAGGAGCTTGAGGAAGGGGGTAAGGTTCTCCGTGCAGACGACCTCGTGCGGCAGCACGCCGTGGAGCAACCTCAGGTTTGCGAGGGTCGCATTGTCGTGATCGCCCTCGGGCTGGAACGAAACAACGGGGCGAATGGTCCGCGTCTCGTCGATGAAGTTGAGCGAGGCGCAAAACAACCCGGACAGCGCATTCGTCAGCGTCAACCAGTTCTCGGCGGCCTCTGCGTCCGTCTTGGCGTCGAGCCACGCCCACAGCTCCACGCCGGTGCCGCCTTCGCGGGTGCCGTCCCAGGGGCGCGCTCCCCAGCGCTCTGCATCCCAGCGGCCCAACGTGAAGCGCAGGTGCAGCTCCCGAGTCCCTGCATACTGGAGGATCTGCGCGAGCGACCGCGGGAAGAGGCGGAAGTTGTGGGCCTCGAAGTCGGCGAGGGAGGTGTTGGAGCGGAAGTTGAAGCTCGCGAGGAGGGAGTTAAGGGGCAGCGGCCGGAGGTTGAGCTGCTCGTGGTAGTCGGAGGACGGGGACGGTGGTGATGATGCGGCGGCGGCGAAGGAGCAGGGGACGAGGGAGCCAAGGAGCAGCGTCAGGAGGCCGCGCATCTTGACGACGGAGGGAGGAACAAAGAAGAAGGGAAGGAATGGACGAATTGAAGCAGCCAGGCGATTCGGCAAGGTCACATTTCACCGCGTCGCATCGTCGGCCGGTTCAGTCGAGAGGAAAGGCAGGTTGTCAGTCGCGGCGGTTGAAGGTGGTGGTGGATGGACAGTGAACGCGGCCGACAGCTGGGTCAACTCGTTGGATGGCGGCTCCGGGCTCCCCAGACCTGGCCAGCGTATCCCAGAGCTCCAGCCAGGCACAGGGACAGGTGGCAGCCGCTGACACCTGCTGGGCGGGCGGTGAGTAGCGGCCGGACGGCAGAAAACGCGGGACGCGCTTTCCGGTGCGGCAACATGAGGTGAACCCGCCGCCGTTGGCCACCCCACTAAAAAGTCTACTCCACCACCATCTCCGTCCCCCAGCTCGCCTGGCCTCCCCAGACCCTTCAGCCTCGTTTGTCACCACCCGCGCAAACGACTGGCATTTCGACCGCCCGTGCAGACCTCTCCGCAACCCATTCTGTCCTTTCCGACGCATAGTCGCTACCGCAAGCATGGCGGCGGAGCAGAGAAAGCTGCTCGAGCAGCTCATGGGCGCTTCGACCTCGCGCCAGGCCCAGGTGTCCATGGACGACCCCAAGGTCTGCCGCTCGTACATCGTCGGGACCTGCCCACACGATCTCTTCACCAATACCAAGCAGGACTTTGGACCCTGCAGTAAGATCCACTCCGAGGGCCTCAAGGCCGAGTACGAGGCCATGCCCGAGCGCGACCGCCAGCGCCTCGGCTTCGAGTACGACTACATGCGCGACCTGCACAAGTACATTGACGACTGCAACCGTCGCATCGACTCGGCCCAGAAGCGCCTCGAGAAGACCCCAGAGGAGATTCGTCAGACCAATGATCTCGTGCGTTCCCCTCCCCTCGCGTGACTCAGCCAAGATCCGTCACTGACCATCTGGGTAGCTTGAAGCCATTGCCGACATCGACGAAAACATCAAGTGCGGCGTCGAAGAGATCGAAGTCTTTGTCAGAATCGGCCAGGTCAACCTGGCCATGGACGAGTGGCACAACCTCAAGGTCATGGCCCAGACCAAGGCGGAGAAGGAGCGGGAGCTTAAGGCGCTCTCGGACACTTCTGGTCCCTCTGGCCACCAGAAGCTGCAGGTTTGCGATGTGTGCGGTGCCTACCTCAGCCGCCTTGACAACGATCGCCGCTTGGCCGACCACTTTTATGGAAAGATGCACCTCGGCTACGCGCAGATGCGTAAGGCGTACGAGGCGTTCCCACGCGAGATGAGACAGCGCGCCCGACAGCAGCCGCCTATGGATGACGATGGCCCCGGTGGACCTCGTGGCCCTAAGGGACCACGCGGCTATGGCGGATACGGAGGCGGTCGTCGCCACAGAGGCTAGGAGCCTGACGAGGTCGACGAGAAACCCGCCAACCTTGGTTACGATGGCACTCACCAGCGTGGAAGCGACGATACTGGCAAGGGCGACATGGGACCTGCCGAGCACGACCACGGAGGCGATCGCCGTGATAGAGGCTACGACCTCTCTGAGGGCGACATGGGACCTGGAAGTGACTACAGCAGTGACAGGTGAGCAAAGGCGCGGCGTGATCAGGAGGACGATCGCACCAGGACACGGTAACGAACGGTACTCGATGTAGGCGTGGTAGAGGTTGTGGTCGTCGTCGTCGCGGCGGCCGGAAGGGTCGTGGCGCACGCCGCTACAAATGAGCCTACTGGGGTTGTACACTACGGGAAGAAGGCAAGATGGGAATCCTTGGGCATTGGTGTTTGCGGCGTTTACGGACAGAGTGCTTTCAAAGGGAAATACCCCACTGGAAAGGAAGGAATATGGATGTTTGACAATCTTGCGAGCGCATTAGGGCCCGGCATGGGGGTCCGCATCTGGAGGTTTGCCGCTCGCGAACAAGGAATGACTTGACAGCTGGTCACTGAATATGGCAGAACACCCTAGGTACTTTCATGCATGATGCCTGATACCAGGTACTTTCTTTCGTTTTGTTTCGTATCCGTGACATGCAACGCGCCGCTACTCCCTGCGGCCGCGAAACCCAACCTCGTTTCCTCCCTGGTCCCATTACTGCCACCATCCCGTCCGTCCAGTCGTGCCCGGTCGTCTAACATACTTCATACTGTCATTGTGGTATTATCCTGACGTTTCCTGGTTGGTCATCGCTCCTTGTTCCTGCACATCGCGTTGCCACACGTCGTCTGCGAGACGTCGAAGCTACTTCCCCTGCTGCTGCTGCTGCTCGTTGAGCTCGTCCATCGCCTCCATCTCGTCGTCCCACTTGCCCACCGCGGGGGGCGTGGGCAGCGCAGGCGGCGTAGACACGGCGGGGGCCTTGCTGGAGTCTGCGGCGCTGCTGGTGCTAGGCTTCTTGCCGTCGGATGGCAGGGCTGGGAAGTCGTCTGTGCCGAGGGACGGCGCAGCGGCGTTGGCGGGCTTGCCACCAGCCGGCGATGGTTGTTGCCGTCCTCCTCCCCTGCCGGCCCCTCCCCGACTGGGACCGCCGCGGCCGGCTCCACGTCCGCCTCGGCCGCCACGATCGCCACGGTACCTGTCGTCAAGGAAGCGGTCCACGTCGGGCACCTCGTCACCCTCGCGCGCAGCATAGCGACTGCCGCCGAGACCGCCCTCCCTCCTCACGCCCCTAACGCCGCCGTTGGCACCACGGAAACCCCTCCTATCCTCCTCCTCCTGGGCCTCGAGCTTGCCCTCATCCCAGCCGCCCTCCTTGGCGCCCATGGCCTTGAGCTTGCGCTCGCGGTTGCGCGCGCGCTCGTCGTCGAGGCGCCTGCGGTCCTCGTCTGCGCGACGCCGGCGCTCGGCGTCCTCGGCGCGGCGCTTGCGCGCCTCCTCCATGCCGCGCGCGTACGACTCGGCGTGCTGGCGCTGGTCCTTTTGCGACATCTCGAACTTGCGCGTCTGCTCGGCGGCGAGGAGCTTCATCCGCTCCATCTTGGCGGCGAGCTCCGTGTCGGTGAGCTTCTGCCGCGGGTTGGCGCCGGATTTGAGGCGCGACTCGGCGTTGCCGGCCGTGTTGGGCGCGGGTCGCCCGCCTGCGCTGGTGCTGGTGCTGCTGGCCGCCGGTGCTGGCGTCGAGGATGATGCTGCCGCTCCTGCTGCCGCTGCTGTGGCTGCCGGGGCTTTGGCGGCGGCGGTTGGGGACTGAGATGATGCAGGCTCGGTGGGCGCGCTGCCACTGAGTGGTGCGGCGGGCGAGGACGTGGAGGGCTCATCGCGCGGGGGAGTCGAGCTCGACGCGGGGGCAGCAGGGGGTTTCGAGTCTGCGGCGGTCGAGTCTTTGGGCGGCGCGGGGGATGACGCCTTCGAAGACTCGGTCTTGGTCGTGGTCTTGGTCGTAGTCGTGGCGGCTGGCTTGTCTGCCCATCGCGAGGTGGCGAGCGAGGGCGGGATTTTGGTGGCGGGGGTTGTTTTCGCGGCGGGCGGCTTCTTTGCGGCCTGCGTCTGTTTCTTGGACGACGCCGCGGGCGCGGTAGGAGGAGTAGCAGCGGGTTTAGGCACGGGTGCTTGCTGCTGCTGCGGAACGGGAGCGGGAGCGGGAACAGGAGCAGGAGCCGGCGGCGGAGGAGCAGGTTGTTGATGCTGCTGCGGCGGAGGCTCGTCTGCGACGACGACGGGTTCGCTCTCGACGGGCTCGAAGTCGTCGTAGAAGAGGTCGTCGTCGGTGCGGCCGCCAAACTGGTCTTCCATTGCGCCTTTTCTTCGGGAAAGAGAGGGGAGCAAGGGGGGAAGAAGGACGTAGAATCCGCAAGCCGGGGGAGGGCGTTTCTTGCGGAGTGGGAGGGAAGGGAAGGGAAGGTGGGGAGAGAGAAGTCAACGAGGCTGATGGCGAGCGCGAGTGCTTGACAAGGACAGTCAGGCTGAGCTGGAAGCGAAAAGGCTGCTGCTGGGCAAATGAACTATGACGGGGATGGATGGAGGGAAGCCGGGCAGCGTCAGTGGTTGGTCGCCCTGCTGTTTGTGGGCGCCACCCCCGCTGTGGTGCCAGCTGGGGATTTATGTAGGCGGGCGATTCAGCGGGGGGAATGAATTTGAATGAGACAAACTTACCTCGAAGTCTCGTTGAACTCTAGCACTGGTAAGCTTGACAGAAGGCATGCAGCTATAGCACAGACTCACTCTCTTTCTAAATGAGACGGTGCAAACTCTGCGGGCTAGAAAGCTTTGCCTACATGCGCAGGCCACGCCGGCCCTTTCGTCCGGACTCTCATGAGAACCAGGCCAGCGAGCACCTCATCAGTCTTCACGCGTAACTTAGCGCCCAGCATCCTCTCCCCGCCACCTGCACTGTCAAGTCATCATCGTCATCTCCTCCACAGCCGCCTCCACAGCCACGCCCAGCTCCCCCTCCGTTGCCACCAGCACGACAAGCCCATCACGGTACCTCCTACACACGGCCTCGACATTGCCCCTCTTGCGGTACGCCCCATCCGCGCAGACGACGACCCTCTTGCCGCCCCCCGCCGCCAGCCCCAGCTCCAGCAAGCTCACGGGCGCATCCGTCGCGGGGCCGAGGTAGACGACCACGAGGTCCGCCCGTTCCTGCATGTCGAGCTCCCACTCCACCTGCTCGGCCCAGCGCGCGTCCGCGTAGTCCTCGCGCCAGGTTGCGTCCCAGTCTGCGCGGTGCGGGTTCAGCACGGTGACGGGGTGGCGGCGTAGCGTGGTGGCGATGAGGCGCTGGCGCCAGTCGTCGTCGCCTGGGGTCCTGGTGGCCTGCGTCGTCGTGCCGGCGAGGAAGATGTACGGTCGTGAGGAGTTGGATGGGGGGCGCTGCGGCGCGAGGTACACTGCTGCTGCCCCCTGGTGTGTTGCGGCCATGCTTCTCCCTCTTGGACGGTGTGACGAGCTCGTGTGATGTCTGGATTGCTAAAGGATGTCGCTTTGGTCTCCGTCTTTATGAAATGCGGCTGACAAGTGCCGGGCCCAATGATCGAACAAAGCAGTCCTCTCTGGGCACTTATATCGGATTGGCCGCGACAGCGGCATCTCACCAGCCAACTTCCTCTTGGCGTATCGTACAGATGATGCGCATGAATATCGTACATAGGGGTTACAGGAGCCAACACCCTTCGCCAGCTACAGATCGGCCTCCAGGAACCGCCGCATCAACAGATTGAACCGCGTGTCCTCTCCCCGTATCACCTGCGGCGTCAGCCTCTCCAGATACCCATCCTTGGAGACGTGGTTCCACGCATGATACGCCAGCTGATTGTCAAACAGGCTCCCCCCCGTCCTCCAGATCTTATTCTCCCAGTGCCGCGCCTCGGTCCTCTCAATCTTCTCGTGCATCCACCGCACGTGGTCGTCGGTCCACGTCGGCCAGAAAAAGGCGTCGGGCGGCAGTGTGCATATCTCGTCCGGGTGCTTGCCCGACATCTCCTTGGGCAGCAGCACGCTGTGGTAGTTCCACTCCTGGTTGAGGTCCGCGCCCTTGTACGTGTCGAGCCAGCGCCGCACGAACGTGCTGTTGGGCCGCGCCGCGATGATGGCGTTGCAGAGGCCCCATCGGTTGCCGCCCTCGTGGCCGAGCACGAGGTCGTGCGGCGACGGGGAGGCGAGGAGCTTGGTGAAGGGCCGCAGGATGAAGACGTCGGTGTCGAGGTAGATGCCGCCTTGCGAGAGGATGATCTCGAGGCGCAGAGTGTCGGCTAGGTGCGCGGCGTGGACGAGGTGGTTGTCTAGGGCCGAGGTGATCTTGTCAAACTCGAGGTGCGGCTTAAGCCTTTTGATCCATTGGTTGTTTTCGATCAAAGGGTCGCCCTCGAGAGACTCGAGCAGGGACGGATCCGACGACGTGTACGCGTAGTGGAGGATAATCTTCTTCGGCTTGAGGGACATCAACGCACTGCGCACGGACAGGTAGTTGAGAAAGTCAAAGTCTCCCTGCCCGTCCTCGGCGAGCGGCAGCCTCTGCAGAAAGATGAAGTGAACGATGGAGGGGATCGGGTCGCTCTTTGATGCCAAGCTCAGCCCGAATCTGTGCCTGCCATCTGGCGGAAATGGCTTCCCTTGGAGGCACGCCATCTCCTGCTCGGTCGGCGTAAAGACTTGCTCGACATCCTGCTGCGTCGACAGAGGTCGGATCTCCGGCTTGTACACGTAGTCGTCGTAGTGTCGGTAGAGGAAGAAGGACGGATAGACGGCGGCGATGAAGAAGATCAGGACCAGCAGGTAGGCCGGCACCCCTCGCACAGGCCCTGGACGGCATCGCGGGAACAACATCGTGACGAGTGTCTTGCCACAAAGAGGGTTGTTCTCGCCAGTGGACGAGAGACCGCAGCTTCAACCTCTCCATCTTGCTACTGATGGGCACTCATACCGTCTGCTCTAGCAACACACGACCACTCTGGAACCGAAAGAACGACACAGGTCGTTCATTCTTCCCACGTGGGCAACATTACGATCAGGAACCCGGGCAGTAAGGGACGGTGTTCCCATTTTGGACAGTGTAAGTGACGCTGTTCGCTCCTTCCCACATCGTATCCTTCACGGGAGAGCATCTAACCACCAGGGGAGCATACGCGATTGGCTCGACATGGCGACTACATCCCGCGAGTCCCGCCTCTTCCTCAGCTGCGTGAGCAACCTTGGTAGCGATACGGGGTTCCGTCGACGACAGAGGGCCGCCGATTCGCCGGGTGGCCGTGTGCGGCTCGGTATCTCCCCTTTGTGGAATCACGCCAACAGAGAACCGGCAAGAGCCTCCCTCACGATGTGGATGCAGACATGGCTCGGGCAGCACGCTACGTATCAGTGTCATCTGGACCGCGGCGGCGAGACCCGCGCTTGGCACGGGAAGACCACAGTGAGGCTCCAGGGGACGAGTCGAGCTTGGCCCCGCCACGAAGCGAAGATGGAGCTAGGTAGTGTAAGCAGGATGTGGAATCAGAGGAGGCGGGAGGTTTGGGTCGTTGTGTATTTCAGGGCCCGTGTCCCCCTGAACGTTGTTGCAAGTGCGGTGATCAGACCTTGATGCTTACATGTCCTAGTCTCTAGCAAGGCATGTCTGATCTTCTTCTTGGAAGACATCTGGAGAGCCCCTGAGCGGTCACCTTCCAGTCACAGATCAGACGCGGCATTTGCTGATATCTGCGACGCAGCTCTTCTCATCTCCGGCAAACCCAAATCTCAGTCAACGCAGAGATGTTCGCGTCAAGCGAGTTCCATGAGGCCGTCCGGCCTTGAGGCTTCACTCCAAGAGTTGCTTTGAGCTTGAGGTCGTGTGCCAGGGACATCCCGTTTCGTATTCAACCTGGCCACGAGGCGCCTCACACGCCGGGTACGAGTCCGTGGCGCACCCTGGGGAGCCATGGCGGGAAGTCACCGAAGGGTTCGGGTTCGGGTTCGGCCTGTTAAAGCTTAAGGGCGCGGAAATGCACATCGCGCAATTCTCCCCCCAGACGGGTTGGTTCAGCCAATGACGGGCTCATGGGTAATAGCGCCCTTGGGCGCCGTCGAAAAAAAAAGCCAAGAATGGGTGTTGGTCAGGGCCAGTGTCTTGGCCTGGTTCGGTCGTTCGGGCGGGCGCTAGCTTAGAAAGATGACATTCCCAAGGGTCCAATTCTTCGACAGAGGCCCACGTGCGTTCGAGACCTTTCCGGACGCACACTGCCCTTTGTCAAGTAAGTTTTGTTGGCTTGAATGAGGGCCCCACGAGATGGCCAAGGAGAGAGATGAAGAGCAGAGTTGCAGCGCCGGCGGTCATGCAGGGGGAGGGAGGACCACAGCCACAGGGCTGGACAAGGACTGGGCTGGATGGAGTCGATGGACATGGCTGGACCCAGTCGGTTGAGTTCGTTCTGTGGCATCTGGTGTGCCATGTTCGCTCGCTCGCTTGCGGGTACCAACACTCACTCAATCTTGCATGTCTCCATCCCGTCCCCTCCGGTCCCCTCCCCCATCTGTCCTGTTCCCCTTTCGTGAAGCCATCACGTATCTGTACTCTCTCTCGACGCCGCCATGATTGCAGCTGCCGCGGCGGCGACGTCGCCTCGCGCGCGGCGGTGGGCCATCGGCGCCCTCCTCGTCGGCAGCGTCTTCTACTTCACCGTCGTGTTCCCACGGCTGCTCGAGTTCGGCCGGCTGTTCGGCCCCCACGCCGGCACCGTGATGACGCAGGAGCAGGTCCTGGATGCCCACAACGCCTCACTCTCCTTGCCGGATAGCCGGCCGCGGCCCGTACCGCGCATCATACACCAGGTCTACCTCGATGGGACGACGCAGACGACGCCCGCCAACAGGACCATTCCGCAGGAGCTCGAGGCTGCGCGCAGGACGTGCGAGTCATTGCACCCGACGTGGGAGTACAAGGTCCGTTCGTTCTTGTCCACACCACACCCCCCCCGTTTCTTCTATCCGTGCGCGCGCGCCGCTCCGTCTGAAGAAGCATTGGAGTGATTGCTTGGATCGGCTTGACGTGCCGAGGAGACCCGCAATGGCTATGTCCCCAGGACCAATATACTAACATGATCTTGTCTGGCTGCAGCTGTGGCACAGCGACGAGGCTCGAACGTTCATCAAGTCCGAGTACCCCTCGTTCCTGGGCATCTACGACGGCTTGAAGACTGCCCAACAACGGAGCGATGCGTTGAGCTACTTCCTCGTCCGCTACTATGGCGGCATATACATCGACATGCACATTGTGAGGCCCACCCAACTCCCCCCTCGTCGGCGCCGTGACACCGTTAACCTGTGGTCCTCTAGCACTGCGATGCCAATCTCGAGCCGTTACTCTTCTACCCTGCCTGGGTTGCTTACTATGGCCCCGGGGTCCTGAGCAACGACATCATCGCCGGCGAGCCAGGACACCCATTCTGGGTCCTCATGACCACCTTAGAGTTCGGCCCACCGCAGCCCAAGACTCCGGACGCCCTCCCCTACGCTGCCCCTCCCCATGCCACCATGGGCGCGTGGTACGAGACGGAGATGTGGGAGCGCTACCACGCCGAAAAGCCGGACACCAGCCCCGACCTGATGCTGCTGTCCGTGGGGCACCGAAACGCAAGCCACCCCGGCGTGTTCTTCCACGGAGGCGAAGACCTGATCGAGCGGCAGAGGGTGCGCCCCGTGGCCGAATGGGTCGGCAGGCACCCGTACCAGACTACCTTGTATGGTTTCGCCGTCGTGTGCGCGGCTGTTGTCGCGTACTTTGGCCTGGGCCAGACGGTCTTGGAGTATCAGACTATGAAGAAGGGCTACCGCGTTCTTGAATATCTGCCGACGACGTGGAGGCCGAGAGCGCACGGCGGATAAAGTGGAGAGAACTATCCGCGTGGCTCGTGATAGGGGGGTGGTGGCTTGCTACAACTGCACTGGATAGCACGGCGTTTGGGTACTTTTTACGGGGAATGCCTCATGGTTACAGGATACTGGTTATGCATATGTACTAATTATCGGCCAGAGAGATCTGCGTATTGTACGGGCTATACGAAATTTTGCATACGGGAGTCGCAGTCTCGAGTCCGACTTGCACTATCATCGACGAGATATGGCACATCATTACTAGACCACACATGCATGCAGTGGCGTAACCGCTTGATTGCAAAAGACCTTCGATCGAGGTGCGTTCAGTGTTCATGTGAGGGCAAGGGCATGGCGGCCGTCCATCACATCTTCGTTGCTTCTGCATCTCTCTCCATCACCGCATCATTGACCCTTCCACGATCTTGCGTCCCCTTGCGCCTCTGGCAGCATCTCGGCACCGCCAGCACGCTCTTCCCCATGTAATCCGCCGGGTTCACATCAAACGGCAAAGACGACCTGGCATACTCTCCGCCGTCGTGCTCCATCTCAATGATGTTGATCTGCAGCACCTCGGGGTCGGTATCGCCGGGCGCAACGAGATGGTCAAACGTGACGCCATAGTAATCAATCTCGCTACCACCAGCCAGCAAACAAGTGCCGAAAGTCAGCCAAGCACTCACTGAACCGGCTCAGAGGATGAGAGGCTCACTTAAGCGGCTCTGGGTTCGTGATCCAACCTAGGTACTCGTCTCGAACGACCATATCCTGCGGTATACCAGTGGAGGGGTCCCGCCCGTATAATGCACGGTAGGTCAGCTTTGCGAGCAATGGCCCGCTGGGTTGAGGAAATATCGGGAAGATGGCGTCGGGGCTCCATGTGACTCCTGGGAGCAGCTTCTGTATCGAGAATAAAGGCCCCTCGATCTGGATTCTGAGCGGCTGCTCGACCGACGGTGGGTGCAAGGGATGTCGTGGCGAGTGGATGCACGGCGGGATTCTGAGCTCTAATGGTTGGGGAGGGCTGTCATCAGGCCCATGAGGGTCTATGTGCGATTGATACTTGAGTGGCTTGGGCAATGCCATTATACATCTAACAGAAGTCCGACCGGGCAGTCTTAGTTGGCGGTCCTGTCAGCCGTTGAAACGGGATGATGGCGATGTGCGTTGGTGATGGATGGCTGCTTGTGGTGCAGGGACTGGTGAGACGCAGGTTGCATTCCCGCCCACTGCGAGCCGTGCACGTGGATGTTCTGCGCATCGTCAACGACGGGCCGCAATCTCTCCTCTCTTAAACGCAGCCCACGCTCAGGAATGGCATTGATTCATGGTGCCTAGGCCGCTCAGAGGGATCTCAACCCAACCAGGACATTCATCGGTATACTTACACGCAAGTCACCCACGCCCGTAAAGGCTACCACTGCGTGTCCCACAGACCTGCCCTTCCAGCAAACGCAATGGCGACGCGACGTGTGATGGGTGACGCCAGTCAGGTGGCTGTGGAGTGTAACTTTGGGTTTTTAGTTTCAAGTCACCGGGCGCGATGCCGAGCTCTCCCCCAAGCTTCAGCCGACCCCTCACCTACATCATTCGTTGGATGCAATGCGACCCCTCCAATGCTTGGTCTCTTCGTCACGCCCAGGCCATCAATCGTCTCTCCCGTTCCATCGTAACAGAACTGATATCGCCGCTCTCCCCCACCTCCCCGTCGGCTGCCATCGTGCCCGGCTGTAAACGATCACGCTCCTCTTAGACGGGGACCACGAGCGTGTGGTGCACACGGAGCGACGGCCAGCCCATAACCCATGCGCGTTTGCCGTTGATGCACCACCAGAGTCTCAAGTACAAAAACCCTCCTGATCCTGCCTCCTGGCTTCACGTTTGTTTGAATTGAAACCCGTAATTTTGGCCCCAAAAGCAACTCCGCCATGCCTGACAACTCCCCGCTCGCCAGCCTCCCGGACTGGAACAACATCGACGTCATCCACCGCAAGACCCTCCCGCCGCGCAGCTACTTCTTCCTCTACCCCAGCGAAGCCGACGCGCTCACCTTGGACGTCACCCGCGCCAGGGCCAAGTGTCTCTCTGGAACTTGGAAGTTCCACCTCTCCAAGTCTCCGTTCGAAGGGCCTCGGAGCTTCTACCAGGATGACTTCGCCGCGGAAGGGCGGGCAACGACCTTCACGGACATCCAGGTGCCGGGGATGTGGCAGCTACAGGGCCACGGCAAAGGGCCTCACTACACAAACTACCTGTACCCGTGGCCCGTCGACCCCCCGCACGTGTCGTACCAAGACAACGAGTGCGGGCGCTACCTCCGGGAGTTTTCCGTGAGCGACGCCTTCGCCGCCGAGGACCACCAGCTGCGGCTGCGCTTCGAGGGCGTCGACTCTGCGTTTTCGGTGTGGCTCAACGGCAGGGACGTGGGGTACTCGCAGGGCGCGCGCAGCCCGAGCGAGTTCGACGTGACGCACCTGGTCCGCACGGGGCACGGGCAGCGAAACGTCCTCGCCGTCGAGGTGTACCAGCGCTGCGACGGGAGCTACCTCGAGGACCAGGACGAGTGGTGGCTGAGCGGCATCTTTCGCGACGTGTACCTCCATGCGTTTCCCAGGGTGCACCCCGTGGATTTTTACGTCGTGCCGGACCTTGATGACAGGTATGAGGACGGGACGCTGAGGCTTAAGCTTGAGATGAGCGAGCCTTGCTCCGTCGAGGTGAAGCTGCTGGACAGGAAGCACCGTGAAGTACTCAAGACGACCAAGAAGGTCGACAAGACGGCACATATCGAGCTGCCCGTCGAGAAACCGGACAAGTGGACGGCCGAGACGCCGAACCTGTACACGCTCGTGCTAAACTTTCCAGACGGCAAAGGGTACAGTCTGGTCCAGCGCGTTGGCTTCCGCAAGATGGCTCTTGTCGACGGCGTGTTCTGCGTCAACGGCAACCCTGTCAAGCTGCGCGGCGTGAACCGCCACGAGCACCACCCGGATCATGGACGCGCAGTGCCGTACGACTTTATGCGGCGCGATCTCATCATCATGAAGAACTGTGGCATCAATGCCATACGCACATGCCACCAGATCAACGATCCGCGGCTCTACGATGTCGCCGATGAGTTGGGTTTATGGATCATGGACGAGGCCGACTTGGAGTGCCATGGTTTCGCGGCTGTAGGTGGCGACGCGGCATCGTACACGTCGGACAATCCGGCTTGGAAGGACCAGTACGTCGACAGGGCACGGCAGATGGTCGCCCGCGACAAGAACCACGCCTGCGTCATCCTGTGGTCCCTGGGCAACGAGGCCTTTTACGGGCGCAACCACCAGGCCATGTATGACTGCATCAAGGCGCTCGACGACACGCGCCTGGTGCACTACGAGGGCGACGGAGCGGCGCGAACAGTCGACATCTTCAGCTGGATGTACCCCGAGGTGCGCAGCATCGAGGACTTTGCCAAAGAGCGCGACTGGAAGAAGCCGCTCGTCGTGTGCGAGTTCCTGCACGCCATGGGCAACTCGTCGGGCGCGGCCAAGGAGTACGTCGACGCCTTCTACAAGCACCCACGCCTGATGGGCGGCTTCGTCTGGGAGTGGGCGAATCACGGCCTGCGGACCAAGACCAAGGACGGGATCGAGTACATGGGCTACGGCGGGGACTTTGGCGACGAGCCCAACGACGGCAACTTTGTCATGGACGGGCTGCTCTGGTCGGAGCACACACTGACGTCCAACCTGGCCGAGTACGCCAAGGCGATTGAACCGGTCCAGACGGTGTCGCTGCACCACCACGAGCTGTCGGTGGTGAATCGGTACGACTTTCTCGGCCTCGACCACCTTTCCGGGACTTGGAGCATAGTCATCGACGACAAAGAGGTGTCGTCGGATGGAAACGTGACGATTCCGAATGGTGAGCCGCCGCTGCAATTGGCAGGGCGAGGCTAAGCTGACCGATGACCTAGGCATCCGACCCCATACCCACGGAACAGTGACGCTCGATGGGTTCCACGAGGGCATGCTGCGTGAGGTGGACAGAGAGGCATACATCCAAGTGCAGTTCCGCCTCAGGGAGTCGGCGAGATGGGCTGCGGCTGGGCACTTGGTTGCGACCGGGGAGATCCGGGTGTCGAAGCCGCTCTCCGTTGCGGCCATTCGCTCACTCGAGCCACCGATGCCGAAGCCTACCATTGAGCAGATCACCGACGGACTCCTTACTATAACCTCGGCTTCGGGAGGCTCGATCTGGGGCATCGACATTGTCACGGGTATGCTGGCGAGCTTTCGCCGGCCGGAGCAGCCTGGCGTAGAACTGCTCACGCAGCCAGTCAGGCTAGGCTTTTACCGCGCCCTGACAGACAACGATCGAGGCGGACATGGAAGGCAGTGGAAAGAGCGGCGGCTGCACCAGACAACGAGTCAAGTCCGGCGGATTCAGTGGCATGTGGCCGACGACGGGGTCAGGGTCGAGGTGGTCGAGCGCATCGCGCCACCAGCAGTGGCCTGGGGAGTCGACAACGCCTGGACTTACAGCTTCCGCGGCGACTCTCTGTCCATTCGCATACAAGGAAAACCTGGCGGCCTGGGCCTCCCTGACACGTTTGCGCGCATTGGACTGACAGTCGGCCTCGACGGCGTCGAAAAGGTCCGGTGGTGGGGCCGGGGCCCCGGCGAGTCATACCGCGACAAGAAGCACGCGCAGCTCTTTGGCAACTGGCAGGCAGATGTGGACGATCTCTGGCTTGATTACGAGTTTCCGCAGGACGCGGGCAACAGGACCGACGTGCGATGGGTCGAATTCACCGGGGCCGAGAAGCGACGCATCCTGAGAGCCAACTTTGGGGCGCTGGCGGGCGCGAGCTTCTCGGCGACGCGGTATTCGACCGCAGACGTAGATGAGTGTACGCACCCGTACGAGTTGCACGAAAGAAGACGGGATGACGTGCTCGTTCGGCTGGACTGGGCGCACCACGGACTGGGAACCGGATCCTGCGGTCCCTGGACGCTGCCGCAGTACCAGCTCCGGGCGGACAAGGAGTTTGACGTGGAGATTCTGCTGGATTGATGCTCGCGAATCGTAGGAGGCTTTCACAGTCAGAGCAACCAGGTATGCGTTCTGCAAGTGGTGCGCGATCGGAATATGATACGGTGGTGGTTGTCATGTCTTGCTTGCTTTTTGCTGAGCCAGGACAGTTGAGATAGGCGGCGAAACGCAGCCAAGAGTGGCAGCTTGACGGCACAGACAAGCGGTCAGGCCCGGGCGCACATGTTTGACCTGAGTCACAGGGGACGGTGTTAATGCTGCGCTCGTTGGCTGGCCTGCAGCAGGGATCATGGGATCATGGCGCAAATCTGTGGGCGCTCAGTCGACCTGAACAGAGTATAAGTATCAGGCTCCATCCGCAGACACAGCTTAGGTGCACTTTAAAAAGCTCACCATGGAGCTCGCCGTTGATGCCAGGTCGTTACCATGTTGATGTACCAGTCGCGCCTCCTCGAGCAAGCGGGCTTCCGCCGGTGGGCTGCGAAACTCGACGATGAGACACCGGACCTGCGGCGAGTCGTCGACGCGGGCTCGTGTCGGGCGTGTGCGAGGATCGAGGCGCTGAGCACGAGCAGGGTCTCAATGGCGACAGGTGAGTGTAATTTCGCTTCTTCTGGTTTTCGCTTTCGTGTCTTTTCTCGTGCCGAGCTCTGCCAGGGAGGGCGAGGTGCAGCGAGCAGCGAGCAGCGAGCAGGGAGATGATGTCAGGTGACGTTAATGCCCTGGCAGGTGCATTCCATTGCGTGCCGTTCGCTGCCTCGAGGCAGGCGCTACCTTCTGAGGCTACCTGGCATCATCAGCGTGGCCGTCCACAGGGCAGCCTGGAGGTTTCCAACTTCCAGGTTGCTGCAGCGGCGGCTCTGGTGCCGGCGGACGGGAAGCTGCAGCGGCACCCCGGCACTAAAATCGCCGCCAGCGGGGACAGGGCGGGCGGGACCCTGCGCTGGCTTCCAGCCTTGATCGCGCCCGGCCCCACGGCACGGGGCAGCTGGAGGGTAGGTAGCGCAGGTGGGCCTGGAGTTCCAAGGTTCCAGGCGGTGGCCCAACACGCGCCGAAGTCGCAGTGGAGCTTGGCCTGACGCCATCGCATCTTTGCTTTTGTGTCTTGAATTGCTTCATTGCTCTGACTCTTCCGCCACAACCGCGATCTCGAGGCAGCACGCAATCCCCCCGTCTTCCACAATTGATTCAGATATATTCTTGCGCAAGCATCTTTGTCTCGTCGCGTCCCGATCTCGTCCTTGCCGACCAGCACAAGCATAAGCAGCAGCCTTCGCATCGCTGCGTGCCATGCTCGCGTTCCCGGCCCTGAGCTGACGAGCGAGCCCATCTCGCATTCCACAGACACCGTCCCGTCCTCCACGATGCCAACCGCCACGGTGCAACCAGACCTCTCCTCCTCCGTCGCCACCAGTCTCGAAGCCCCCGACTGCCCCGAGAACCCGCCTGAGCTCGTCCACAGCCTGCGGCACAACAGCACCATCCTCGCGCTCGCTGTCAGCCCCCAACACGATACCATCTTCGCCGGCACCCAGGACGGCGAGATTGTTGCCTGGTCCCTCTCGACCTTTCATCAAGTCAGCACCGTTCAGGCACACAAGCGCAGCATTCTCTCCCTCTCCCTCTCCCCCGACGGATCCCTCCTCTTCTCCAGTGCCGGCGACCCCATCATCAACGTCTGGTGCCCTCGAACGCTGCGGCGGTTATACGAGATCTACGGAACCCACGATGTTGGCGACATCTTTTGCAGCGCCTACAGCCCCCAACACGAGACGCTATACATCGGTGCCCAAAACACCACCATACAATGGGTCACTTTGAACGATGCGGCCGCCCGGGTCTCGCCCAGCTCGCAGAGTCATCCGGATCGGAGAAGCCACAGGTTCTTCGACTCCAAGGCCATTGGCGGCACCAGCACACCGAGACGTAATGAAGACCGGTGGGGACTGATTCCAAAGGCGCAGGCCGTCTTGGAGATTGACGCGGGCTCGGTCCGGCCCTTTGCCCACTACGGCTACGTCTACTGCATGCTCATGGCCAAGGGCCCCACGGTCGAGGTTGACGCCGACGACGACGTGCTGATATCCGGTGGTGGAGACGGAACCATCAAGCTATGGCGGTTGGGCTCTTCATCTAAGGACCGAAGGCACGACGAGGACGGCGAGCATGGAGGCATCGACGAACTCATGACCCTCGGCACGGACGATGCTGAGTCCGTCCTCTCCCTCGCCCTGGATGGCTCGTTCCTGTATGCCGGCAAGCTGGATGGCATCGTCGAGCTGTGGGATCTGGATACGACTCAGCGGCTCCGCGTTATCAAAGCTCACGAAGGCAATGTCATGTCATTGCAGATGGGCTGGGGATACTTGTGGACTGGCTCCACCGACGGATGGTCGAGCGTAAGCGTTCCATTACGCTGGCTTCTAACAGGGCAGCTCAAAGCTAACAAATGAAACAGAAATATAGCACGGCTCATTACGGTGCCTATAAGCACGCGTCGGCTGGAGATGTCAGCCAAAAGTACCAGTGTCTGAGCACTTGGAAGGCTCACCAGGGCAAGATTCTTGCCTCGGCCACGACAACCTATAATGACAACAAATATTACATCACTGGCGCCAACGACAACGACATCACCATATGGTCCGTCAAGGACAAGGCCTGCTCGAAGCCCGCGACCGCCGAGGAGAGCGACGACCTGCTCGTCTCCACCCTGTCGGATTTTGTGTCTTACAAGACCGTCTCTTCGCGGCCAGAGTTCGCCGAGGACTGCCGCAAGGGGGCCACGTTCTTGGGTTCCCTCTTCAAGCGGCTGGGCGGACATGTGGAGCTGCTGAGCACCGAAAAGGCTCACAACCCGGTCGTGTACGCCAAGTTTTCTGGCAAAAAGGAAGCAGCGGAAACACGAAAGCGCATTCTGTTCTATGGACATTACGACGTCGTCGCCGCCGATGGAAAGAAGGGCAAATGGGCCAGCGATCCATTCACTGTCAAGGGCACTAATGGGTTCCTCTATGGCCGCGGCGTCAGCGACAACAAGGGGCCAATTATTGCGGCTCTCTACGCCGTCACGGACCTCATGCAGGCCCAGAAGCTAGAGAATGATGTCATCTTCCTCATCGAGGGCGAGGAGGAGTTCGGCTCTCGGGGCTTCGAGGAGGCGGTCAAACGACACAAGAGCCTCATCGGACACGTCGACTATATTCTGCTGGCCAACAGTTACTGGCTGGACGATGAAGTCCCATGCTTGACATATGGCCTTCGTGGTGTGCTGCACGCCACGGTCTGCGTGGACGCACCGCGCCCCGATATTCACTCTGGCGTGGACGGCTCGTACATGATGGACGAGCCCTTGTCCGACCTGACAGGCATCTTGTCCAAGCTCAAGGGTGCCGGCAACCGCATCCAAATTCCCGGATTCTACGATGGCATTCCAGCGATGACGCCAGAGGAGGAAGCTAGATACGACGACATTGCGTCCATCATGAGGGAGCACAAAGGAGAAGCCGTATCCGAGGAAAAGCTCAAGCGGTCGCTCATGGCCCGATGGCGAGAACCCAACCTCACCATCCATCGGTATAAAGTATCCGGCCCCGACGGCAGCTTAGTGAGCAGTCACGCCAGCTCGCACATCAGCCTGCGACTCGTTCCCGGCCAGGAGGTCGACCAGGTTACGAGCGCGCTTAAGTGGTTCCTGCGCCGCGAGTTCTCACACCTCAAGTCGCAGAACAGCCTGAGCATCAACATCGACAACAAGGCCGAGCCCTGGCTGGGCGATCCGACCAACGCCATTTTCCGCACGCTGGGTCAGGCCATCATCGAGGCCTGGCCGAACCGCTTCGATTCGTCGAGCGCCCCGGCGCCTGCGGCGCCAGTGTCGGGCACGGTTGGCAAGGGGGCCTCCAGACCAAAAGGCCCGCTGTTCATCCGCGAGGGAGGCTCCATCCCGGCCATCCGATTCCTCGAGAAGGAGTTTGGAGCCCCGGCGGCGCATCTGCCTTGCGGTAGGGCCAGCGATGCGGCGCACTTGGACAATGAGCGGATGTGCCTCGTGAATCTGCTCAAGGCGCGGGAGATTTTTGGCAAGGTGTTTGCGCGGCTGTAGACTGCTGTGGTCATGACGGTTCAGTGTGGTCTCGACTGAGAAAAATACGCATCGACCCGCAGCCATCGTCAAGATAACGGCAACCACAAACTGTATTACTGGATAGCCTTTGTGTTGGGACTTGGGGGTATTTCTTATCCGGAGCATACGCTGTGTGCATTCAATGGGTGGGTTGTGACGCAGGTCCTGTTTGGGCCGGCATTCGCACAGCTGTGTGTATCATTACCTAGGGACCTGTGTGGGCGAGTCTTCTTTAGGAGTTGGGTGTTGAGAGTCCGAATCCAGATTGGCTGTCGGTTCCGGGCTTGGGCAGAATAGAAATTATAGAAGCAGTGACAGGCAGGAATTCAAGGAGCTCAGCTCCTTAAACACGTATCCTGCCATCTGTACTGGTTAAGGCCCTTTGTTCCGCCATGTATCCGTGGACTTCAATAGGCAGGCAGCTCCGGAACGCAAGAGCACTCTATGGTTGTTATTCAGAACAAGCAGCTCCAAATTCATCCATTATCATAGCTACATGATAAAGTAATAGTGTCGGATAGATACTTGGTCAGGTATAGAACTTGTTCTTCAAAGAACATAGCGAAAGTTTTCATCGCTGTACGGGTTGTCGGCCTGGTCATTCGTGTTCCCGCCCGCGGCAGCCCTCGCCGCCCTCTCGCGCTCCAGCTTCCTATTGCTTTGCCAAAGGACCATCATCTGGAGCGCCGCCGCCACGGCCACGATGAGCGAGCACGCGCAAGACACCCACATGCCCCTGCGGTAGAACGGCTTGTCCTTGACGGGAAAGATGTTGGTGCCGACCATGGGCCCGCACTGCCCGCCCGTAGCGAGGATGGCCAGGGCCACGGCGCGCCGCGAGTCCGTGGCGTGCGTGTTGCTCACCCAGGCGAGGATGATGGCGATGCACACAAACATTTGCGTGGCGAGGAAGAGGCCGAAGTAGCGCGGGGCGACGCTCGATGTGGTCGCGAGGACGGCGTAGCCGACTGCTGCGCTGACGGCGGCGCCGATGATGAAGGGCCCGCGGATCTTGAGGCGGTCGGAGATGAGGGCGCAGGCGATGATGGTGATGAGGCAGGCGATGTAGGGCGGCGCGGAGAGGCCCTGCGACTGGACAGTCGTGAAGGCGCCCATTTGCGAGATGATGGTGGGGATGAATAGGGGTAGCGAGGAGAAGGCGACGTTGGAGCCAAAGTACATGATGGCGGGCAAGTAGCTGCGGTAGTCCAGAATTGCCTGCAGTGCCTGTTTCTTTTGCAAGCCTGCTCGGGTCAGTCAAGTTCGTTGCCCGTGGCCAGTCACAACCCGCATCTTATGGACTTCATGTTGCTCACCTTTGATGCCGGATCTATCACCAGGCTGTTGCAAGGACAAGTCGATGGCAATCTCTCTCTCCCGAGGCGTCAGGAACTTGGCCGTGCTGGGCCCGTCGGGGATGAAGAAGAAGGCCACAAAGGCGAGGAGGCAAGTCGGCACTCCCTCGACGATGAAGAGGATCCGCCACGGGGCGATGCTCCCACGCGCTTGCGAAATCCCGTACGCCAGCACGCCGCCGTACGTGCTTGCTGCTGCAGCTCCGGACAAGAAGATGCCGATGCGGAGCCCAACCACTTCGCGAGGGTAAAAGTATGACAGGTAGAGTGTGACGCCTGGCCCGTAGCAGGACTCCATGATTCCTAGGAATACCCTAGAGATCATGAGCCCGGCCCATGACGTGCATACGGCCTGCAGCGTTGACACTAAGCCCCAGGAGAAGACGCAGAAGGCTACCCATATGTGCGGGGGGACGACCTGCCAGCCAACGCATAGCCACTGGGAGAGGACATCTAGGTGGTGCATGTTATTAGATGTCGGCTTTATACACAGGCTGGGCCACTCACAGGCAATGTAAAAGGCTGTGCCTAGCCAGTCGTATCGCCGCCCTGAGATGTCAATGTCCTGCTCCATCCCTGCGATTCGAGCATTGCCCAGGTTGCTGCGGTCAAGCACGGACAAGGAGTAGAGGACAAAGAGCAGGGGCAAGAGGTGCCTGTCGAGCTTGTAGATTACTCGCTGCACCTCTTCTTTTGTATAACTTGGTCGGCCGGTGCCCAGCTCGATGCCCTGCTCCTCGCCTTCGTGGTGATCGGTCTGGCTCTTCTCGTCGGGGAGAGGCGCAGCCTCCGCCGTCTTGGCTTCAGGGGGGCCGCTGGTGGCCATGGTTGCGTGTACGCTGGAGCGTTGTGGAACGTCGTGTGGTCAACTCCCTCTGCTGGTAATATGAATCGCTGGGCAGAGTGGATAGCTGTCGCACAGATAGGGCGACGGCTCGTGCCTCGTCGATTATATAACTTGTGCCACTGATAGGCCATGTGAACCTGGCAGGCTATATATACTGGGCTGGGTGCCATCCATCTCATTGACTGCCCTACCCTTGGGCATGCTTGCTCGACGGGGTGAACGGCCGCAGTGTATGACGCGTAGCGGTCATTTTGCAGCACCGATGCTCGCGCTCGCGCTCTCGCTCGCGGAAATTTGGCCGTCACCTCCCGTATGAGTCCAGATCGCCCCCAGCCAGGAGACTGAACCACACCTGAACACGCGGCAAGCATATCCAGGTCTCCAATCAGTGAGCTGCCGACCCTGCTTCTATTGGCGCAAGACATGAGCTGCAGGTCACTATGACTTGTCTACCAATGCTCTTCTCCGGGTACGCTGTGACGCACGGGACCGAGAGTGCACCCAGCGCCGATATGGGGGGCGTTGGTTCAGTCCGACACATCGAAATCGCGAGCAGGGGGAGGGCTGCACAGACGGATCGGATTTGCCTTCTTCGGGACCTGGTCCCCGCGTTTGTGGCTTCAGCTGCCACGACGTTTTGACTGTTGGATATTGCGCGCCAAATGCGGCTGGTTCGTGGCTACACCATGTTCTCATGGTGTTGTGAATCTCACGCATCGCGGGAGGGATTACTGAGTGAATGAAGGTGCTCTTACGTGCTTCGAGCCGCAGATAAAGCTGTAGATACCACCCAACGGCAGAAATTCACTACCCTGGTACATAATACAGGGAATGTAGCCGAATAACTTATGGTCGCTTGCTTGCAGCGCTCATGTTCCACAAGTGCGAGCACGAGAGCTGACCGCCAGCCTGGTACCGAATATGTCGGCGTTCACACTGAAAAGTATCCTACGGGATATACGGAAAATACAGTCGTTCTAGCGCTGCCGATCAGTCCATGTTGGCATCGTAGAAGTCTTGGCATCGAATGCAGGAGAAAAGGTCCCGACTCCTGAGTCTTAGATCGTGTCCCGGATTCAGTGTCCTTGTTTCGCACTAGGCTTTCGATAACATCCCACCAACAGACGAGACACTCCCTGCACATGCTGTTGGTCGAATGCGCTGGAAGGACCAAGATAGGCTTAAGTTTAGAATTATTAAAATAAGAAAAGCAGGAATTAAACCAGAAGAGCAACTCCATGAGAATCCAGAGAATCCTCGCCCGTGACAGAAGAAACACATCTCGCTACATGCCCTATACCGTACTTACGCATAAGGTCTTCCCGTGACTTGTCTTATACGCCCGCATCCGAAGTAGACGAGTCTTCCATGTGTCTCTCAAACGTGATCTTACCCCGCACAAATCCTCCGGCTGCCGAACTCAACCAGACCCTCTCCCCATCGACAACGTCCTTGACCACAATCAGACCCTCTGTCACGCCGGCACGCTCCAGCGCCCATCTCCTTGACACCCCGAGCTTGGCGCCGCTCTCCTCGCGCGGCGTCCTCCAACCCCATAGGCCACAATCATCCTGCCGCCAAAAGTACACCGTCGTGAAGCCCCCATCCATGACCTCGCCCTCGGTATTAACAAGCAGCACCTCGCCCTGAGTAAAGGGTGTCGTGGGGTGCAACCCCACACGGGCCCGAGCCTCCGAGTATGGTTGTCGGTATGTCGTCTTGTGGCGCGTCAGAAGCGACGGCACCATGAAGCCGTGGTCGACGTAGACTGGCACTATGGGGACTTGCTTGGACATCTTCTTGTTGGGCAGCGGTAACGTAGTCGGGTACATGGGAATGGCGGGGACGATCGGACGCTGACCAGACATCAGGGTCAGTTGGCCGTCGACCTTGAACGACACGCGCACGATGAAGAGCCGATCTGGCGCGGTCGGGTCGACGTGCTCCCAGCGCAGATGGCTCTCGATCTCGCGGAGGAGGACCTGGTGCGCCTTGGGACTGCTGAGCCAGGACACCACACTCGTCCACTTGAGCTCCTTGGCGGCCAGTAGCAGGCGGTCGATGGCGTGCTGGAGGAGGTAGCACTGCGGCGCCTCGTCGACTTCCTCGTCGGGCACCGCCGGGTTACGAGGCATCCCATGGGAGTACGCAAGAGTTGATATGATTTCGAAACCCGGGGCGGCCACGACCTCGTCGACCCCGATCAGCTGCTTCATGCTGTGCCCGAGCATGGCCATCGGCGGGTGTCTCCTCCTTGGGCTTCGCTTCGACGGCTGCTTTTTCTGGAGAAACTGCGAGTGCAACGAATGGGCCGTGGCCGCCGAGTGACGAGATGGGGGACAGGCAGAAAAGTTCCCAAATGTAGGAAACAAACATGGCTTCCACGGTCAGGGGAGTCATTGTTTAGAGCGGAGGGCGAATGTTCTCTTTGTATCCACACAGAACCCAGTCGATGCGTTGGAGGATTGGGGCATAGTTTTGACTCTTGGCCTGAGCCAACGTCGCCGACATTTCACGGGGAGGCAGCTTTGTGTGGTGGCGTAGCAGCCGGTGTCACGGATGACAATGGCACGTCGTGAATAATGCCTGGGATGAGGGACTGCTCGGCAAGGCCCGTTACACGAATAGGTGGCGGATATGGCCAGATGGGGAGCTTGCCGAACGACCCCTGGCATCGATATCGTATCGGATTGTCGTCTCTTAACCATGCTGTAACTTGTCTGAGTCGGGGGTCCAGGGCCGTTGCCGTCGACTCGAGCCTACCCTGAGCCCGCCCACTACGCCCTCAGATCATCGAGACAAGGCTCAATCATCACCACCGCATCTCGGAGGGAGGAAGCGGCACGCGCAGGGAGCCCACATGGCCTGGCGCTCACATTGGCGGGCCTTACGTGGAAAGGTGAGATTTAGGATCCCAAAGGATCGGCTGGTGGTCATCCTCCATGCGGTTCCTGGATGGAGGCCCACTGGGTGAGACGCTGCGGCGGCGTGCCATTGGCAAGCCCTACGTCGTAAAGCCGGTGGACAAAACCCATTTGGAGGAGATGCTGGCGACCTCCTTGAAATACCGGCTTCCCTCCGTTCGGGATGGATTTGATGCGTCGTAGTCCTGGTGTGGGCTGTGTTACGAACTGTCATCCGAACCACCGTCCCTATGGGGGAGTTCAGCGAGCAAGAGATCCCGGATGCCATGGCCACGAGCCCGAAGATTGTGTAATAAATCTACGCCGCAGGATCCGAGATGAACGAAGTTGCTATTGTGGTTAGATGGATCAAGCCAGATCCCGAGTATGGTTGGAGCGACAAGTGCGAACATCGAGGGTCGGCGGACAGCCTGATCAAGAGACGACGCAAGTAGACCGCAGGTAGCTTTACGTTGTCCACGCGCGAAAATAGTCAACGTTTGCCGACCGCCCTTGTGACACATCTCACGAGACTGCAGTCGAGATCAATATTGTGATGTATCTCGAGGATTTCTGTAGCCTCATGACAGGTCCCAGTATTGGGCCTACGAGGGAAGGCGCCAAGCACAACACTAGAGGTCAATGTTGGAGACCGCGGGGTAATTATCGACGGCGAAGGTTTACCTCGGCCCACGACGCGACACTAGCCATGGTAGCTGGACCTCGAACCAACGTGCCGATCTCGTGCAATAGAGCATGTTGACAGAGTTGACACTATCGACGTGCTGCATAGCTCCCCCACGCATACATACAAATGCCGCCCCGGGCGATATTGAGGTGACGACGACGCCATCACGGAGAGATTTCGAAGCTCGTCAGGCACGCGGCCAGGAACACCACCGGCTGCATCACCCCCACGTCCCGTCACCACCATCATGGGCCCGACGCTCGCCGAGCTCGGCATCCCGGCGTCGCTGCAGGGTGCGTCCACGGTGAGGCGGTTGGACGACACCACCTATGAGGCGAACCTGGATCCCGCCTTTTGCGTGCGTGCAGGTATGAACCATCCCTTGCCCGCCTTGACCCCAGCGCGCGTAGGCAATCAGATAGACCCCCAATCTTCTGTACCGCACAAATGATGTGCACATCCGCGGCGAGACGGACCCTTGGACGACTCCAAGACTGACTCAGGCTGACTGCATCGACGAGCAGTCCCCAACGGCGGCTATGTCGCCTCCATCTTCCTGCAAGTCGCCAAGGCGCACATGACGCCGCGGGGCCAGCCCGACACCATCGCCGTCCACTGGCAGTTCCTATCGCGGACGTCCAACGGGCGCGCCGTCCTCAAGGTCGACGAGGTCAAGACGGGCCGCGCAATGTCCGTCCTGCACATCACGCTGCACCAAGCGGACCTGCTCCCCTCCCAGCCGTGGGTGGCGCCCAACAGCCGGGACCGCGGCCAAGTCGTGGCGTACGTGACCAACCGCAACATGGACGACGAGGGCGGCGTGTCGTTCCAGACCGGGTGGGCGGTCCAGCCCGCGCCTCCGCCGCCCATCGACTTCTCCAAGGTGCGGCTCGGCCAGGACCCCCATTGGGCGCGCATGGAGATGTTCCTCATGCGCCAGCTGCCCATGCTGCACAACCTCGAGTACTACGTGCCGCGCGCGGGCCAGCCCCTCCCGGCCACGATGGACCTCTGGATCCGGCTCGCGAACGAGGCCGACGGCCGCTTCGTCGCCACGTCGCTGGGCTACGTCGCGGATGCGGCGGCGCCGCTCATCGTCGAGAACTACCGCCAGCCTCGCGGCGATGGACCGTTTCCCGCAGACTCGTTTCCGCGGAACAAGGGCTTCTGGTTTCCGACCGTGTCCATGGGCCTCGACGTGCGGAAGCGGTTGCCTCCGGAGGGCGTGGAGTGGCTGCGGCTGCGCATCGCGACAAAGGCCATTATAAACGGGCGGTACGATGCAGAGCAGGTGGTATTCGATGACAAGGGAGATTTGATCGCCACTTGTCATCACGTCGCGATGGTCGTGGACGTGGCGAGAAACACGGCCGGAAGAGGCCAGGCAGTCAAGGCGTCTCCCAAGGGCAAGATGTGACCGCTCGCAGCGCTATGCTTTCGACAACTAGAGGCATCTCACACCTGTACTATATAGAGGCTTCTTTCTTCCTTTTCATGAATCGACGCAATTAGCAGCGAAAATGATTTCTGCGATAGGCCCTCATGCTCTAACCCGCCCAAGCTGGCTCGGGGCTTGCTTCCGGTCTCCGAGAGCACCACTTGCACGTCGACAACACCCCAACTGCTGCCGTGGCGGTATTTGCAAAGGAAAGACACATCTCGAAGCGGGTTATTGAGCGAGGACGCATTGTGAAGCTGGGTAACTGTGAAGACAGTAAACGCTTTGAGCTGGCCTCGGGTTGGACGCACTCCAGTACATTGTAAACGCATGGGCTGTTGTGCAGCGCTGCAGGTGCCGATGTAGAAGCAATGCTGCTATATCGAAGATGCAAGCGAGACGTTTGTCAGCAGCAATTAAACGCAGTTCATGAGGCGACCTCGCTCTGCGTGAATGAGAATCGTCCCATCTAATGGCGGGTGATCCTGGCATCGTTGATCCATGTCAGCGGAGACTGGGGCGCATCAAGTAAAAGTGCAGCCCACTTTCAGGTCCAGGTCCTTCCACTCCAGGGCCGGCACGAAGCCTGGGCAGCACCAGCGGACACCAGAAAACCTTCAGCACAGCTTGGCATTCGGCGGCGAGCATCCAATCTCGAAACATCTTCGCATACCCCCTCGTACCTCCATCCCGTGGCAACTCAAAGACAAACGCCACGACAGGCCCGGCACGATGCCGATGCCGATGCCGACACACGGCTGTTCCCGACGCACTGCGCCCCCCCTTGCACTGCAACTGCACATGGAGCCGCCAGGGCGTGGAGGCGCAGCTCGAAACACCGACACCCCTGTCCGTCTGCCTGCTCCCCAGTGCAGATTGCGGGTGACGGGTCCCTGTCTGCCGTCGCAAATTCCGGGGCAAGCAAGCTCGACCATGCGATTGAAATCCTGGATCCTGCTCGCAGCACCGCCTGCGATGCGTTACACCGCGCGGTGAGAGAGCCGCCCAGCGCTTCGTCTGCGACCACCGCCGCCGCTTGGGCCGCAATCGCTCAAGGCCTCTCCAAATCGCGAGCGACGGCCATCGGGGAACGCGAGCGAGCGAGACTGGCGAACCATCGTTTGTGCGACGCGGGTGCTGACGACGCACGAGCCCGCGGTGCCGCTCGCCCGCGACGGCAGACCACCCCCCAGGACGAGGAACGCACAGCATCGACGTCGATCTCGACAATCGCAAAGGCAAGCAAGTGAGCTGTCATCGCGGGTGCCCGAACCCTGAACCGCCGCCATGGGTGGCAGCGACGAGGTCATTGTCGCAGTCGTGGCGCTCATCGTCTCCGTCGTGGCCCTGTCGGCGACCTTTATGCAGGTGCTTCAACAGTACTATGCCTCGGCGTCGGGCTACTCGCAATGCAACGACAAGGTCATGGGGGCGTGGGCGAGAACAAAATCACGGCGCTTCTCGTGGGAGGAGCTGCGGTTCGAGGTGCAGTTCGACGCGCCCGTCATATTCGTCTCGCCCCCGGACAACAAGAATGGGCCCATCCTCGGCGCCCCGATATACTTTCTCGACGGGACGCAGCGGAGCATGGAGGAGACGCACACGGCCGACGAGATGGACCTGCGCAAGGAGTACCACTCCCGGTCTGTGAAGGAGCGGATACACACGGCCGACAACGAGCGCGCCTCCTGGCTGTCGCTGCTCTACGCCGTGCAGAGGATGGAAGCCAAGTCGCTCGAGTGGCAGCAGAAGCGCTACGAGCAGCTGGGTCCGCCTGGCAACTTGTGCGAGAAACACGGGCTGCCGCAGAAGCCCCCCTCGCTCCAGGAGAGCCACACCCTCACTGTAGCGCTGCAGCGCAAGCGCAGGAGCTGGGACACGATGCCGTCCTCCGTGTCGAAGCCGTACGCCACGACCACCATGTGCCATCTCATCGAGATGATGGCCGCCCTTGGTGTCTACTGGAAGGAGTTTGACCGGCGACGGGATCGCTACCGGGGCGAGGGAAATGGCTTCATGGTCCTGGGAGAGAGAATCAGCGACCTGGGCCTCATGTTCGCCTTTCAGGTGTACGGCGAGTGTCGCTTCGAGTACAACCGCGTCATCCCTGTCGACTACATCAAGGAGCTATGCTTTGGCTACGTGCCCACCATCTACCGCGAGACGTTTGACCAGCGGCGACTCGGCGCCCCGAGCGATGAAGTCGAGAACTTGGGTTCCTTGCAGATGGCCAGCAGGAGAGAGGTTGCCGAGACCCTCGTCGTCATTGGATGCAACAAGAACACCGTCCAGTACTATTTGGAAGAGGATAGCACGACGACACACCTTTTCCCGTGTAAGCAACGTGTTTCCTCCAGACATTGAATATTCGATCTGCTGACACATGCAGTCTCGTTTGAGATCCTGGGCATGCTGAGCCAGACGTTTCACATCAAAAACAGCTACTTTACTTATATACCCAACCCAACGTCTGACTGTTGGGACGAGCGGTCACTGTCACTCGTGGGGGTGCTGGAAGCCTACAAGGACTTTTCGGCTGTCCGCCTCCCGGGGGCTACCCGCAACGAATCTATATATGGCCGCATCGTTGCCCACATCGAAACGATACTGAGCCACCAAAACAACGGAGACGCCGCTTCGCAGCTGCTGCTCCTTGCGGCGCTTCACAACGCTCTGGACGATGCCGACGAGGTCTTGACGGCCAAGGCCAAGGGGTCCTGCCCTCCGACAGATCCGCCGAGGTCGCACAAGAGCTCGTTATCCCGCGGCAACAAGAGGCCCACGCCCGCCCAGCTCGACGGCGCCGAGACGCAAAAGCAGAGACGAAGGCGCGAGATCGTCCAGGACGTCCTGCGGTCTCACATCCAAGAGGTGCTGAAGCTACTAAACGATCCCAACGACAGGGGCTCAGACACGCAGTCGCTGCTCGTCCCGGACATGGCTCCCCCGTCGCCCGGCAACTCCCGCTACCTCAGCATGGTGGGCCCCTCGCAGGCGCGCTTCGAGGACATCAACGAGGAGGCGCCCGAGTTTAGGCAGCACAAGTTCATGGAGGTGTATTTTCAGGTGATCCGGGGCAAGGTCATCCCGCGCGCGTGGGACTCGGCGAACCGCAGGGCAAGCTTCACCGGGCAGGACGGCGTGCGCCGGAGGGCGAGCGTTGCGGGTGCGCCGCCGGGTTTCGGGCTACGGAAGCGCGGGACGGGCGGGACGCACGCGAGCGTGGCGGTGCAGACCGATCCGGGGACGGTGACGCCGAGTATCTTGCCGCCGGCGATGGCGGGGGCCGACATCAACAAGCCTCGGCCAAGTCCGCTGGAGAATGAGATCCTGCCCGATGAGGAGGCTGGCGTCGAGTCGGACGACCACAACATGAACCTGGCCGTGGGCATAGACGACGATACAGACGGCGAGGAGGGGGACGGCATGCCGCTGCGGAAGCCAGAGTCGCTGGCCAACCAGCCCGTCTCGCACGACGATGTGTGGTGCACGCTCGTCTTCCGGATGATTTGCTGGCTGATGCTGCACGACTTCAACAAGCAGGACGTGCAGGTAAGCAAGAGCGAGCTCCTGGGCAGCCGGATGCCCGTGTACATTGCGTAGAAAGAGGGCCGACCCGCTGGGGAGACTGGCCGTGGGGATGGTCGGACGGCATGAGACTACGGGGGCGTCCATTGCTTACACTCGACGGATAACGTACATGTACATGACGACACGGCATTTAGGCCGCATGCGCAGATACAGCAGCGTGGCTAGTAGTACACTGCACATAATAGAAAAGAAAGGGGCGAGAGATCGCGCCCACGATGGTTATGGCATGGCAAAGTACGTGTGGGCATCAATACTTAGGCTGGTGATGACATTATTAGCAACCGGGCATTTGAAGCTGAAATGGCGGACGCGGGACGCCACGGTTGGTTGGTGCGCTGCCTGGGTAAGCTGGGTTGCAGTCCGACGTCATGGTGAGGCCGTGGGGACAAGCCACGGCGGAGAGGCGGGACGAATCTGACGTGGGAGTCGGATAATGGTGGCGACACACCAGAAGACAAACCACACACGGTTGCACGCCGTGGTAAGTCCACTGCTTGCTTGTTCAGAAGCCCGAATGGCTTGAATCAGGCGTCTGTCTACATACCACGTACGTTCTTCGTACCTATATTCGCTATTATGTAGTAGAGTCAGGCATCGTGTCATGGGGCATGGTCGATGAATCAGTCGCACGCTCGCATGGATACCCTGGACCCCAACGCGTCGTCGACACGACTAGAACAAAAACATCAAACAAAACAAACACGCGGTTGGAACTGCATGAATGAATGACAGAATCGATCACCAAGGAGTGCGTGGCGGCTCGGCTTCTAGAAAATTTCTGGGCCGGCTTGTTCCGCCACCACCACCGTGTGAGAGGGAGTTGAGTTCCCCCGGACCAGGACGGGATGGGGGACTTGGGGGCCCGGCCGGAGCCGAGGGCCGGACTCGCCGTGATTGGTGGAGGGGCGGGGGTGGACGGCGGGCGGACGGCGGTTAGGGACTGGCGCTGGCACTGAAGGCCGCTGGACTGTCCGGTGGGCGGCGGTAGCGGGTCGACAGCACGGCCCCGGCGGTCGGGCTGGTTGCTGGTGTTGCTCGTCAGGGGGGATTGATCGTGGCATGAATCGTTGCGTGGCCGGTGCTGGCGATGATGATGGCCGTGATGGTGGTATTGCAAGAGCTCGGGATGCGGGGGGAACGTTCTCACGACATATCCCTCGCACCTTGTGCGTTGCAGACGGCTGCAGCTTTGCTGGCACGGCCCGCGTGGGCGGCTGCTTTTCCCGCTTTGTACGACTGGAGGGCTGGGACGGCATCAAAGGCCAGCCAGCGGGTTAGGGGAAATCCCCCGGCGGAGGGTGGTGGTGGTGTTGTGGGTTCATGTTGCGGGGGGGGGGGTTGAGTCCCAAGACAGTGCATCTATCATTCATCCCTCCGCAAGCCTCGGCACCACTACTGTTTCGTACACTTAAGGGGTTCTCGCTTCCTGAAGGGGACTGCACTGGCGAGAGACAGGGACAAAAACAGAGACAGGACGGCGCGCGGGCGGGGGTAAGGGCCTGCCAGGTGAGTCGAGCTTACAATCACGCGGGCTGGTGTCGCGCGGCGGCAGGGATGGAGATGGAGACGGGGCATGGAGATGTCCTAGACATGTCTCTTATACACATCTAGATGTGTATAAGAGACAGGGCTGGTGTCGCGCGGCGGCAGGGATGGAGATGGAGACGGGGCATGGAGATGTCCTAGACAAGCGGGAGGGCGGGCGGGCGAGCGACGCCTCAGGTTCACCGAGAACAGCACAACAGCACATACATACCCCGTACTTCGCACAGCACATGCACATGATGCGCCGCGCCGGCGTCGCATGCACTGTTACGTGCCATGCCGCGCCCGGCTCATGCCACGTCTGGCGGTGCCCGGCCGCCGCCCGTTTGGTCGCGTCTGCTGCGGTGGACGAGGCCACATCCCGCATCCGATGGGCTCGCGATTGTGTGTGCGTCTTTACTCCCTCCCGGGCCGCGAGCAAGCAAGCCCAATGCCCTGACGAACAGGGTCGCGCCCCGATGACGGTCGACAGTCCAAAGAGCCGCAGGCCTCGGGCTGTCTCACTCGTCAGCTTGCGGCTGCTCGTGCCCAGCCCCGATTTATCGATCAGGCCATGTTGCAGTATGGCATTGTCGAGAGAGTCGAGACTGGGGCGGGCGAGATGGGGACGTGGCCCGGGTTGTGGCGATGCTGACACGGGTCGCGGACGTGCCTTTTCGCTGCTGCTCGTGCCTGATGATGCGTGGCACTCCGATCCCGTTCCCGCGGGGACGGCAGGCACAGGCATCTGGCAGCGTGATGGGGAGCGCACGCGATGCGGCCTGAAGGGGGGAGATATTCGTGTGACGTGCGAGATGTGTCCTTAGGCCGTGGTCGGCGGCATGGAGAGTTTCTTGTACCTGACGAGGTTGTTCGGGGGAAGGAGACGGGACCGGGGGCAGGACAGCAGCGGCCTGCTAACCGCCCCCCTGCTGGAAGTCGAGGCTGGCAACGTAGGTAACCAGTGGCTGGCCAGCAGGCCAAGCCTGAATTGACACGCTGGAGGCGAGCCCACAGCCTCCCTCCCTCCCTGCAACTTGTCCCGTCATGGCCGGCATCCCAGCCGCGGGCTTCCATCCGTTCCATTTCCTCGCGCCTCCAGTTCGATTTGGCCTACGATGGTGCTCCACCTCTTTATCGCCTGGCAAGTAAAGTGCGGCCCTGCGCCAGCCTGGCTGCAGGCTAAAGTCCCCCCCGCGAAACTTGCAACAGTCGCCCGCTCTGTGGCGTTCAGGGATCTGGAGGGGGGCAACAGTGGAAGGCTTGATTTTTTTTTTTGTCCCGTGGAGGCGTTGGAATCGGTTGATGAGCAGCAGCGCGCCACTTGAGCACAACGGCTGGGGACATGCATCGCGTCACGACCGACGCTGCTGCCGAGTGTCCCTAACGCGCTGCATGCATGGCCGGCAGGCTCATGGCAAGTGGAGGAGCGAGTCCAAGGCGTCCGTAGTGCGTTGCCTGAGTCCGCCCGCGTCGTGTTTGTGCATGCTGTGAACATTTGCGATACCTAGCGGGCGCCGCGAGCAATGTGATGGACGGATGTACTTAGTACCTCGCGCCGCACGCAAACACTGATGCGCCCGTCGAGTACCGTAGCCCGCACCGTATCTAAGGGACGGCGATTAGCCTGCCGGCCGGGGCCACTAAACCTTACAGCGCCTCGTGTGCGCTGTGGATCTTACCCGGCGCGAGATCAGGTCAGCGAGCCGCCGCCGCTAGAGCGGGCACAGTGGAGCGGGCTCTGCGCGGGCGCCTCCATCGCCCTTGCCTCGCTGCCCGCCTTCCTCTTGGGGCGGCCTTGGGCGGCGTCCCTCGGCGTGGCCATGGAACCTCCACTCCACTGCGCTGGCCGTTCAGGTTTTCTGCCGCCGCCGCCGACGCCGCCCGCTGCGACCGGGGGGGTTCCACCTCCTCTCCCTCCGCTCCAACGGCAAGTGCCCAGCGCGAGCCTCACGCGCTTCTCTCCTCCTCCTCCTCCATCAATCTCCAATCTGCATCCTGCGTGCCGACCCTCTCCCCTCAACCCGAACTGATAGACCCGCGTGCCCTCGCCCATCCCATCTCTCCCACGTTTCCCCCCATCGTCGACTGCTGTTTTGCAGCGCCCATCCCTCTCCCCCCCTCCGCCGGCTCCACGGCAGGCACGGCACGCCAACTCTGTCTGCCCCTTCGCCTGAGCCCGCCGCTCGCTCCGATGACGCCCTCGCCCTCACCTGCCGGCCAGGCCGCAGAGCCCCGGCGTCCGAGGAGCGCCCAGACCGTCTCGGTCAGTATTGCCGACCCTCAGCAGAAGCCCAGTCGCCGCTTCCAGCTCGAGGTCAGCGAGTGCGTCGAGACAAAGACGGTCACCACCACGACTCGCCTGACGAGGAAGTTTCCGCACGTCTTCGTCCGCGACCCGACCCCGCTTGCCAACCTCGACTCCAAAGAGTATCCCTTGGCCATGAAGGAGACACCCCCCGAGCTTTTGCAGTTCCAGTACAACATGTCGGGCCAGGTCCACGATCACGCCGATTCCGACCAAGGCGACGCCGCCGGTGACGTGCCAGACGACGCACCGCCAATGGCGAGGCCGGTGAGTTCACCCCGAGTCGGGAATGGCGTGGTGCGGCGGAATGCCCTCGACCCCCGACGGTTGATGCTAATGTCCCATAACCTGCAGATGAAGCAGCTCAATGCCGGCACCGTCACCCCCACGGCCGTCAAGTCTGAGGCTTTTGTCCACGAGACGCCCTCCCAGGGCACCACCCGCCAGCCGGCCCGCTCGCCCTCCGATGCGTGCCCCCGACGCACGCGACAAACACGTGCCAGCATGGCCGACTCCCCAACCACCAGTGCCCCCGTCTCACAATCCAACGCCGCCGCCGCATCCTCGAGGTCTTCCCAGCGGCTCGCTCGCTCGTCCAACCTGCACGCCGTCACCGACAAGCTTCGACGTTCCATCATCCAGGGCGGCACCACCGCCAGTGGAGGAGACGCCGGCGGCACGAGCACTGCCGCGACCCAACGCCGCGGCCCCCTCCGCGGCGCGTCCGGCTTCCTTGCAACCCCCGACACATCAGAATTGATGGGCTCCTCGTCGGAGCGGCCGTCCCGACGACGTTCGGTGCAGCTCGACCGCATTCAAAACTCGCCTCCAGAGTCCCACCCGAGCATGTCCCAGCCAGGACCCTGCGATGCCGCGAGCCCTTCCGGCAGCGACTCGCACACTGTCTTTAGCAGCACCGTCGCCACGCCCCCCATCACCGATGCCGATGCCGATGCAGAGCCCTTCAACGATACCGACGAGTCGCTGCAGCAATCTGTTCGAGCCCTCCAACACCGACCAGCCATTGACGTCGTAGCTGCCCAGGACGCCAGTCTTCCTAGTCCGAGATTATCCCCGACCTTGGCCGCTTCGCAACTGCTTTCGGCCGATCACGATGAAGCCCACTCCAGCTTGCAGACCTCGACAGATCAAGGCTCGTGGATGGACGAGTCGCAGATCAAGCAGGAGAATGATTCAATGGAGCTGATGGCGTACGACGACGACGAGGACCGGCTCCTCGTCAAACAGACAGACGCCTCCTCTCCCGTCGTCGTGGACACGCAGACTCTTCTCGAGGCCTTTGACTCGATGACGACCGAGATGAAGACGTTTATGATGTATCAGTTCCTGCGCCGATGCAACCGGTCCACGCTGCGCGTCGTCGCTGGGGCAGTCAACCCGGCTCTGAAGACCGACTTCCTTCGACAGCTTCCGCTCGAACTGGCATATCACGTCCTGTCCTACCTCGACTGCAAGGATCTGTGCCGCGCTGCTCAAGTGTCGAAGCATTGGCGCAACATCGTCGACCGCAACGAGACTGGCTGGAAGGAGCTCTTCGACCGCGACGGCTTCACCCTACCGCCCGGTGAGCTCAACAAGGCCATTATCCAGGGCTGGGGCTGGCAGGACCCGGAGGGTGCGACTGGCTACGAGAGGGACCTCAGCATGCACGGCCGCCTGACGTCGTCGGACTTTGAGCTCACGAGACATCTGCGAAGCGAAGCCCCCAAGTCGAGAACCTCGAAGCGCAAGCGTGCACTTAACAGCTACTCGGCGTCGGAGCGATCGAAGCGGCGCGCGGCCACCCAAGAGGCTGCTGCGTCCCGAGAGGCTACAAGCCAGGTGGAGGTCAGGCAGCACAAGTCGGAGGGCCCATTGTCCGCCGCTAACGCCGCCGCCGCCGCCGTGCCGGACCCCCAGCTCGGCCTGGCCAGCCTCCGGGAGCTCCATCTCTTCAAGTCGCTCTACCGCCGACACCATATGATCCGCCGCAGTTGGACGAGCGGCGACGTGAAGCCGGCTCACGTTGCATTTGCGGCCCATCCGCGTCACGTCATCACCTGCTTGCAGTTTGACGACGACAAGATCATCACCGGAAGCGACGACACGCTCATCCACATCTACGACACCAAGACGGGCAAGCTTCGCAAGAAGCTCGAGGGCCACGAAGGCGGCGTGTGGGCCCTGCAGTACGAGGGCAACACCCTGGTGTCCGGCTCGACCGACCGATCGGTGCGCGTCTGGGATATCGAGAGGGGCCTCTGCCAGCAGGTGTTTTACGGGCACACTAGTACTGTGCGCTGTCTTCAGATCCTGATGCCCACCGAGACCGGCAGGGACACCACCGGACGGCCCATCATGGAACCGGCGCAGCCGCTCATCATCACCGGCTCCCGCGACAGCCAGCTCCGCGTCTGGCGCCTGCCCGGGACTGGATCCCGCCGGTACACCACTTCGAACCCCAGCGCCAAGGAGACGGACTGCCCGTTCTTCATTCGGGTACTGGCCGGTCACCTGCACTCGGTCCGTGCCATCTCGGCCCACGGCGACACGCTCGTCAGCGGCTCGTACGATAGCACCGTCAGGGTATGGCGCATCAGCACAGGCGAGTCGTTGCACGTTCTCCGTGGTCACTCTCAGAAGGTGTACTCGGTGGTGCTCGACCACGAACGCAACCGCTGCATCTCCGGATCCATGGATTCGCTCGTCAAGATTTGGGATCTGACGACTGGCGCCTGCCTTCACACTCTTGAGGGTCATAGTCTATTGGTGGGACTCCTGGACCTGCGTGACCAACGACTCGTGTCAGCCGCAGCCGATTCGACGCTGAGGATCTGGGATCCCGAGAACGGCCGTTGCAGGCACACGCTGATGGCGCATACTGGTGCCATTACGTGCTTCCAGCACGACGGCCAAAAGGTCATCAGCGGCAGCGAGAAGACGGTCAAGATGTGGGACGTGCGCACCGGCGAGTGCGTCCAGGATCTCCTGACGGATCTGAGCGGCGTTTGGCAGGTCAAGTTTGACGGACGGAGATGTGTGGCTGCTGTCCAGCGCGACCAGCTCACATACGTCGAGGTATGAATGCGACTGATCCCCCCTGTAACTGCACGAGACTAACACGACTGCAGATTCTCGACTTTGGTGCGATACGCGATGGCCAGCCGCCCGAAGATCTCGGCAAGCGCGTCCTGCTTAACGAGCATGAGGTGCGGGAGATTATCGACGAAGGCCCTGCATAAGTGGGTGCATGGCAGAGGCGCGGAGGTTTCAGGAACACGACATTACGGAATGCATATTGAAGTTGCTACGAACGGGTTCGTTCGGTCGCAGGCGAACGCACTGTCTTTTGGCATTGGGCCCAAAAGTTCCAGTTACGAGGACTGGCACGGTCACAGATTTGGAGTTTGGCGTCAACAGCCATTTGATGTGGCGGGAGGCGTATATACCTTTTTGACATGTTGTTCCCTGAGCAGTGTCTGCACGTCTTTCATGCATGTATCGCACGACACTGTGCGCGGGGATAGTGCTTCAAGGAGGCGCATGCTAGGAGCATAGTGTATATACGAATTATGACTCTACTTATGTAATGAGCCCGAGGTATCGTGACGATGTGTGGTGTGGTCCTGTGCTGGGTGCCATGGGGGAGTTGCCCAGCCAGCCTCCAGAGACAGCAGTGTTGTTGTCATTCGCGGGCTCCAGCTTGCACTTTAACTGAGGCCAGATCGTCCGAGTAGGTCTTGCGGATTGCTTTCGCTGACGACCTACTCTACCAGTTATTTGCCATTTGCATGCGCGATTGGACTTGTACAATTAACTGAGCGAGGTCTAGGGTGGGCAAAGACGGCAGACACTGGATCCGGCTATACCAAGATCATAGCTCGATCTTCCGACTCGGAAGCACATGATGGAAAGTTGAAAAGATGGGTCGCTCGTCGGTCGAGTTGGCGACCTTCCTACTTTGTGCGTCGTGCTGATGTGCATTTTCCTAGGTGCCAGGGGGAGAGCGGCTCGTCCAACCCCGCTTCATGTTCGTGTGTGGACGGCTAATGCAGGACATATCATCTACCCACCTGGAATTCTTTTCAACGCAATGTCCTCTCTTGCTAGTCGAACATCTTTGAGGGTATATTCTTGGCGCGTTAACTGACGAGTTGGAATAGAAAGATGACGAAACGTGTCGCGACCGCGCATGAGGCCTCTCCGGCCACGACACCACGAGCGCAGCCTGAGCTCGCTGGTGGCTTCGTTGCCACTGGCGAGGAGGGATCGCGCCGCCGCCGTCAGGAGCTTGCCGACCTGAGATGCCTAGGGTTACCGACTGCCAGCTTTGCCAATCGCTATAGCCAAGTCGCAGACACGGAGGCTTCAGCGGCCAAGGAGCGCCCCCGCCGCACCATCATCACGTCCAGCCTCCTCATCCCCGGCGACGGAGAGCCGCTCCCCGATGGCGCCCTTGTCGTCGAGGGCAAGACCATCATCTGGGTCGGCGACAAAGCCGACATACCACAGGAATACACGCAGAGCCCGCACAAGTCGTATCACGTCCCGTACATGATGCCCGGGCTGTGGGACGTACACGTGCACTTCCTGGACCTCCCCTCGGACCCGGACCAGCTCCCCGCCGTCATGGCTCTCGAGTCCCTCAGCGAACACCCAGCCGGCACGGGGGCGCGCCTCGCCAAGCAGTGCTGGGAGGCCATCCAGCTCGGATACACCTCCCTGCGCGACTGCGGCGGTTTCGGGTGTGAGCTCGCCAAGGTGATCAACGACGGGGGCATCGTCGGCCCCAACGTCTACAGCGCGGGCAGCTACCTAAGTCAGACGGCGGGGCATGGCGACATCTTCACGCTGCCCCCCGGCGATGCGCTGCTCAACCTCGGCATACATAACGTTACGGCTGGGTATTGGGGCTCTGGGTTCTGCATGATGGTGGACGGCGTGGACGAGTGCCGGCGCGCGGTGCGGCTGCAGATCCGGAGGGGCGCGCGGTGCATCAAGGTGTTTGCATCGGGCGGCGTGGTGTCCCGCGATGATAATCCCCTTGATCAGCAGTTTTCCGACGAGGAGCTGCGTGTTATCGTCGAGGAGGCGAACCGCATGGGGCGCGGCGTGGCGGCGCATGTGCACGGCAAGGCGGGCATCCTAGCCGCGGCCTCTGCCGGCGTCACGACGGTCGAGCACGCCACCTTTGCGGACCAGGAATGCATCGATATTCTAAAGGAGAAGGATATCATCTACGTAGCCACGCGTGCTGTCGTCGCGCGGCTCATAGAGACCGGCGGGGAGGGCATCCCGAAGAGCACGTGGGAAAAGGTACAGCTCATCAACAAGAACCACCTCGCGGCGTACAAGCTCGCGGTGCAGAACGGCGGGATAACCTTTGCGCTGGGCACGGATGGCCGGCCGGGCGATGGGGGCAAGGCCAAGGAGCTGCAGTACGCGGTGGAGGCGGGGATGAGCAACCTGGAGGCCATCAGGGCGGCGACGGCCAACGGCCCGCGGACGCTCGGGGGAGGGCGGGGGGGACAGGCGGGACAGGTGCCCAGGTCGGGGCGGCTGGAGGTCGGCTATGATGCGGACATATTGGGCCTGCTGGAGAATCCGGCAGAGAACGTGAGGGTGTTGCAGAGGGGGGAGGTGGTGCGGTGGGTGTGGAAGGGGGGGAGGCTGTATAAGGGGCCGGGGGTTGGGCCGTGGGGGGAGGAAGCCTGAGCTGTGATGGAGCTGTCTCTTATACACATCTAGATGTGTATAAGAGACAGGGGGGAGGCTGTATAAGGGGCCGGGGGTTGGGCCGTGGGGGGAGGAAGCCTGAGCTGTGATGGAGATGTTGAGGGCAAAGAAGTGCGAGGGGGCTGGCGGACAAGCTGGAGTCAGGAGTGGACTGGAATATCATGGGCTTGGGACTCGGAGGAACGAGAAAGGCGACGTACGTGGATGCAAAGCATCACGAGTCTGTTCACAATCATATGTGAGGCTCATGAGTAGGGCCATACCTGCAGCTAGAAGCAAACTCCCAACTCCAAACCCAACACATTTGAAGCATACTGAAACGGCGAGGCCTGCATGTGTTGAAACAGGACCGACTGTCCCCTGGTAGTACCAGACCGCAAAGAATGCATGGTCGAGCAACGCCTGGCACGCCCGGTCCACGACCAAAGACCTCGTGTGATACAGGTACTCGGGGACGGGTCGATCGGATCGGAGGTTGCCGTTGTAAACGTCGTCCCAAAGCGGACGGTGTTTCGCCGCACTGCATGAGCCTTTCTGCAATTCCTGCTCACTCACACCAGGCCCCAATGCCGGGGCTTTGGGCACTTCGCGTTGGGCAATGGTATCGGGGATCAGGCTGTGTAAGTCAGACCTTGGCTGGCAGTGCTGAATGCTGGCATTTGTGACCCTCCCGTGGGCAAGACTGTGCGTCGGCTGCGCAGGGCGCTTTTACGATGATGCTCAAAGACTGCGGGCATATGCTATGGGTTCCCTCTCGTATGTACTCCGTATCCGATCCCGAACTCGCGGGTGTTGATGCCAGCTGAATGGTGACGAGGCCGGTGGCTGGGCCCTCGAAG